GCAAAATCCGCCGAAAGGTTCGCCTGTAACCACAATATAGAAGACCATGCGTCCTATGCAATAAAATTAGTGCCACTGCAGTGTCTCACACACACATGGCAAGACATTGAACCAAAGAAAGGGGACACCAGCAAAACAAGCCAGCAAGTGCAGGAGATTGAAAAAAAAAGAACGATAAGCGCAAAAAATAACAAAAGGTTTGACCTGTGCTATCATGAGCATATGAAGAGCAGCCCTCTGAAACTTCGGTTCAATGTCTAGCTAATGCTTCACAGATTTCAAAAATGTATACTTTGTTGGGTCTGCAGGCCACGGTTATCTCAGTAGCTTGGTTAAGAGTTGCGGGAATAGCCAAAAAAAGGGGAAAAATTGCAGTATAATACATGTATTTACAATCTGTGTCCACCACGCCAGCTACTTTTTAGAAGGCCCCAGTCTCATAAGTGAGACCTTCGTCATCAACAGTCTGCTCCTCCACACCCTACCTCACTCTCCTTCGCCTCTTCCTTGCACTCTTCACTTCATCTGAGGATTTCCTGGCTGCATTCTTGGCTTGCTAACGGTCTAACTTCTCAAGCGCTGTCCGCGTGTAGTGACCAGCTGTCAGGCCCATCGCTTCAAGAATCTCCTCCAAGGCCTTGTTCTTCTCGTTGAAGCAAGCAGTGACTATGGCAACAGCTGTCTGGACAGTCCTTGACGAGCAAAAGACATTCTTTGGACAAATCTGCCAAATGAGGCCATTGATGCACTCGTTCTGATTCTGAGTAGCGCCACGCAAGCATTTCTCGAGAAGTTGCCTCTCAGTCAGCCGCAAGTACACAGGCTTGATAACTTTGAAGACTGCATCCGGCAGGCTCTTCTTATGTTGGTATTCAGGGCCACCAGCTTGATGACTCTGCCACTTGCACCAACTATCTGGTCCAGGAGGGCAGAACTGATGCTGCGGCTTGTCATCTGTTGAAACACAATGCACAACCGATGCCCATATCGCGCATGCCATGCCTTGCAGGTCATTGCCATGTCCACGTACGTTGGCAGTATACTGCTCCTTGCTGATCTCATGTTTGCTCAGCTTCCTCTGGAATATTGTGCACTGCTGGCAGTGCCGGGAGAGGACTTCGTAGTCGATGACTTTGCCAGTATCCCACGAGATGGCAAGAAACGCTCCATGTAGCGAGGTAAAGCCGCGTCGCATCCACGTTCCGTCGTAAGTGACGGCAATATCAGGGGAAGACGCCAACTCCTTGGCATTCGCAGCTGCACGCTCATGCTGCTGGTGGCAACAACTCTACTGGCCTTTGCTAGTACCTTGGTGTGCTTCTGGTATGCAGAGACATTCATGGGTGCAGGCATATTCATGACAGTGCAGAATTTCACAAGGGATGCCCGCGTCCTATCCATGTCATTGCAGTAGCCGGCTTTCTGTTCACATCCCAGCAGTGCCCAGTCTTCTTGGACATAGCTTCACGGCTTTCAGCCTCGCAGCTGTCACAGGCCAGCGATAGAGTTGAAGTCAAACCTTCACGACGCACTTCACATAGTGTAAGGGTGCCATGGCACGCTGAGCAACAGGCACTATCAGCAAGTAAATTTTGTAAACATTCTAAATAAATAATTCGGCTCCCGGTCGTCAGGTAATCATCACCGTCGCGCTCATCTCCAGAGCTGTTGCTGTCACTGTCACTAGATATCTCACTCTCACCAGAATTAGACTGTTGGACTTCGGCATCATCCCTATCTTCTGGCAACACAGAAGAGTCCTCTGCCACGACAATTTTCGTAATTTCACTCGACAATTTAAAATTATTTAGCACATTGATTTCCATGGAATTTGCGCTTCTTTGGACGACCAGGACGGCCTACGTACTGCCTCTTGCCCATAGTGATCAAGGAAGGTTCCACAAAACAGATGAAAGCCAACAAAGCAGCTAAACTGATAAAGAGCTACAGTTTGGAGATTGGAGCTGACGGAGATTGCTGGTATAAAAATATTTACCAAAAATTTGAAGTACGACATGCGCACTGTGTGTGGTGATGCCGATGGTGATGTCAGCTCTGCGTGGGGTGCAGCAAGGTAAAACCAGGGAGATTTTCAGCCTTTCCGCGAAGTTTCATCGCTAAAATGTCAGCGAAATCAAAGTTACACGCAAAACATGTGTAATGTAAATTCTAATGCGTTAAAATTTGAATTTTTGAATTTACAATTACTATTTTTGACAATAGCGGCCTTTGAAAGTCCATATCTCAAAAACTACTGAAGCAATTCACTTCAAATTTTCGGGATGTGCGGTTGGGACCTAGCCAAAGGGTCTGGAAGCGAAAATGGGGTCAAAATCCAAAATTCGATTTTTGACCCTCTGAAAGGTGCCGGAAAGGTGTAGCGCCACCTTAAGCGGGATTCACAGAAGCTTTTTTGCGATGCGACACGCGATGCGACGCGATCTGCGACGGACGCGTGCGATGCGAACTCGCGAAATGCCATTCACAGAAGAAGTCAGTGATGCGACAACATCTTGCTGATTTGGCTACGTCACCATGATATTCGCGCGGTTTGATACAACTTACTTGTACAAATTTATAGGCATTGAACCTTTGTACAACTTTGCTGTAGAAAAGGTCAAAATCGTACGCCAAATCGCTTGTCGCATCGCAAAAGTTGAGCCAAGCTCAACTTCTGCGATGGCCCAGTTGCGGCAGTTGCGTGGAGTGCGATTTGGGGTTTTCCCGGTTTCGCGCCTGTCGCATCGCAAAAAAGCTTCTGTGAATCCCGCTTTATGCAGCTTTTGTGGTACAGTGGTCCCTCTATAATCCGGCACCATTTGTGCCACGAAAATCTGCTGGATTAGGGAGGGTGCTGGATTAACAAATCTGATTTACTGCTGCAATGTACATGAAGAGGACATTTTGGCTACTGAAAATTGTGCTGGTTTATCGAGGGTGCTGGATTATAAAGTGCCGGATTAGAGAGGGACGACTGTATTATGAAGGCATAGCTTGTGGAAACAGAGTGATTTTTGCACAGAATTCTGACACTATTTGCTAACAATTTTAATTGATTACTCAATCGTTAAGCTAAAGAATAATCGATAGGTGAAAATCCACGATCGTTTCAGCCCTAACTGCTCATGACCATGCCAATCCGAGTCTTGGTGCTAAGTAGTTGGTAGATACTACTTGAAGTATAATATTTATAGTAAAGAAAAGGACCAAGGAACTACAAGTTACGCTATAATGTCCACTAACGCCACCAGTTACTTGACTATCAGCTCATGCGATAACATTGCACAAAACTGACCGACAGTACTGACGTTCTACAACATAATATGTTGTAGAACGTCAGCTGATAGTCTCTCTCTCTCTCTCTCTTTCTCTCTCTCTCTCTATTATTGTAATTGGCTATCAGCTGTAGCACGTCTAGGGTGCGCACTCCAACAGCCTTCCAACTTGGAAGGTTCTAAGCCATAGGATAAGAGTTAGTTATATAGGAGGGGAAGGTGAGTGCAACCAAGACAAGAAGAAGCTGAAAGTCTCAGTTTTGCCTCTCCCTCCCTCCCTTCCTCCCTCCCTCCCTCCCTCCCTCCCTCCCTCCCTCCCTCCCTCCCTCCCTCCCTCCCTCCCTCCCTCCCTCCCTCCCTCCCTCCCTCTCTCTCTCTCTCTCTCTCTCTCTCTCTCTCTCTCTCTCTCTCTCTCTCTCTCTCTCTCTCTCTCTCTCTCTCTCTCTCTCTCTCTCTCTCTCTCTCTCTCTATCCATCTTTCAAGTAAAAGTGGTCGCTGAAGCCATGTGGTATTTAAAACCAGGTCCCACCCTTTCGCGGCATATCGGTGTATCTGAAATGATCATGCTGGGGAGTTGCAATGGGTGAAATAAAGAGCATACCCCCCCCCCCCCCCCCGAGTGTATAATTCCCGTATACAGTTCTGTCCCAACAGAATTTCAAGTTGACGGAAAAAGATGAAGACGGTGAACCGTGTGTCACTGTCCCAGCTCGTCACAGGTGTCGCAAGTCGCATGTTGCGTCGCAAGAAGTTGTATTGTGAATTGGCCTTGAGCCATCACGATTGCGTGCTACAGTCCATTCATTGGAAACTGGCACCCTAACTTTTTGGTGTCTCTCTCACATCGTTGTAGATATCGTAAAAACAACAGTACATCCTGCATTGTGTGACCCGTGCAATTACTCCTTGCCACATTTGAGGCCAGAAAAGTCCAAGAGCAGGGAAATAGAAATTCAGCCAGGTTTTACGAAATTAGGACAGGTATGCCATGGGAAAATGTATGGAGAAGCAGATCCAAAACCCAGAGTTTTGAGATTTAAAGTGAGTTTTTGATCCTCAATTCGGCCCAAATCCGACTTTCAAAAGCCAGCGGGCCAGTTTCCGATGAATGGACTGTAGGCTAGGCAGAGCAAGTGAATCCATGGACTGGAACGGGCATGGGCAGCTGTGTGTGTAGTGGCAGAACGAAGGCAGAAGCAATCAGAGAGCAGAGTACTACACATGCCACGTAGGGCCCGAAAGACAAGAATATACAGTGCAATAGGGGCAAGGCCGTATCTGGCGTGTAAGACTGAAATATCAAGGGAAACCGAAAACAATCCTAACAGTGCGGTGAACAATATGACTTGTGTCATGTGTGATGTGAAGGCAGTGCACGAACGCATTAGAACCATACTCAAGCTTGAACGAATGAGCAGTAGGTCTTTCTCGCAGCTGATGTCAGGTTATCCCTCGGATCTTGCGGAACATGGCAAGTTTTGCTCCCACCTTTTTCTCAAGTTCACTAATATGGGTGGAGAAGGATAGGTGATTGCACACTGAGAGGGGAGAGCTCTGACGGATGCTTTGCTGAGTTTGTAGGAGTTTTGTCTGCTCTAAACTACTTCCTATGCGGAATGAAGCTCAGTGCAGCAAGCCTCGCCACCGCTTGTGCTGGAGACCATAAAAAAGGGAACAGGACTGAGAGCGGCCAATAATGGGTGAAACTTGGTGCATGTAACGCCTTTTTCAGTCTTGAAACTCTACTTCCCAAGCATTGATGAGATTTGGCCCTCTACAGTTTGCACATGTACTGTATGCCAGTCATGATTCTCCCTTGGTTGGCTACCGGCGGCTGGAGTAATGGCAAGTGCAGAGATCACCGGCTACAATCGAGAATAATGAAGCTTTCAGAGTCTATTCCATGTCATGGACAACGGTCTAAGCTGGGCCGGGCCGTTGGATCAGCGACTGCCCAGGAAGGCTGTTACCAAGTTTCGAGGCATGATGAAGCAATTCAAAGCACACACAGCACACTGTGCCGGCAATAAGACAAACATTTTCACATGCAAATCCCTCCGGATGCCATCATTCTTCACTCAGACTGGCCCATGAATGGTGTTCTTCCATGTGCAGAAGCAGTCGTAAAATAACGCCAGCCGCGGAACTTCCTGGACGCAGCGTTGAACCATTCACGGCAAAGATGGTCGGTGCGTGCCATTGTTGACAGACACTAAGTTAGAAGTGCTCATGACCATGCCAATACTATGCCTGCTGGGCGGTAGTGCCTTACTGGTGCTGCCAGCCATGATCAACGAACTAGAATTGGCTCTGGGTGTTCTGGGCTTGATTGAAGGTATGCTAGGACTGCTGGTCAGGTCAGCTACGGTGTCCTCTTCGCTTACAGCATCGTTGGAGAGAATTGTTGACAGGCTGTCAGCAGCAGCCAGGTTTGATGGCGATGCACTTGGTAGTGAGCCACTGTTCTGCTGCACCAGAGCGGCTAGAGCTTCTGATGCTACCGGGCTAACGGTGGCATTGCTCTCAGTGTCACCAGAACTACGCTGGGATGGCAGTGAATCGGTTCCGAGACCTGAGTCGGCACGCTGGCCCCGGGTCGGCGAGCTCCTCACATCGATGTACATTGCCTGGCTTCTCTGACTGGCTGCCGGGTCCGGAGTAGTCTCATTGACTCCATACACACCAAGATGAATGTTGGTGCCACTGCCGACCGCTTTGCTGGCCTGACGCGACGTCGTGCGGTAGGAGAGATAGTTGAGGCTGCGCGACTCCCTGCGAATGCGCTTCATGTCCGTCCACTGGTGCACAAATAGCAGAATGCCCTGCGTCGAGACAAGCACTGTGAACAGCCACTGTGTGGCAACGTGACTGGTGGCAATCAGGGCTATCCCACTTGCCCAGGTCATGCCCAGCGTCACCACCAGGATCAGGAAAGAACGTGCCTGGCGCTTGAGACGATCGCGCCGCTTGCTAATCGCACTGTCGCCCGTCGCACCCTGAGCCTGCTGGGAGACGATCACCAGCCAGATGCGCAGGAAGAAAACTAGGTTTACAAACACAAACACCGCCAGCGGGAAGACGACGGAAGCCAGGAACGACGTGCCGTACTCCAGGCGACATCTTCAAACAGATCACAACGGGGGGAAAAAGCAAGCACATCAGCAAACACCCGGCATGATTGTAAGGAAGGAGAGGAACTCAAATGTGAGAAAAAGTCAACAACACCATGATTCTAACATGTCATCACAGACATGGTCTTGTTCAGAGCTTTATATGTGCTAAACAAAACAAAGTCAACATGTCCCTGGAATGTGTTCAACCATACACACTGGACTACATACATTACAGGCCAGTGTCCCAGAAAGGAGAAAGGAATCGGTCTCAGGAATGCCTCAAAACTTAAAAAGAATCTCTAACCTCCTCTCACCAGGGTACAATTTGCTCCATGACATCATCAAGTAAGCATCCCCAGTGTCATGACATCACCACTTACAGTCGTTCATTGCTGGGTATTCCAATCGGATAGTATGCATTCCAGTTTAGAATTGCTGAAAGAGTAACAATGAATGCTGGTACGCCTGTAGGGATACGCAAAGATAGAAGCATATAAAACATGTTTCAAATGTTTATAAGGATACGTTTAATTAAAGCGCTCTACCTACATATTTAATGAGTGTGGGGTATGTACTGTACTAGCAGAAATATTCGTCTAGAATTTAATTTCGTCTTTTTCGTCCAAGGAGCTTTGGGACTATATGAAATGCCGGACGAATGTCGATTTGTCCAGCATTTCAATACACTGTTATAGTCCATGGACTAAATTTTCAACCGAAAGAAATCCCTTTCTTTGGAGTTGGACGAAATTATTGACCGACGAAATGTTCTGCCTGTACAGTATGCTGTACTGTGTTGCATAATGGGCTAAACTTGGATGCTGAGCCAATAGTAATGTGTTCATGTCATGATAATTATTGAGCTGATTTGAACACATGGCTGATTTGAACAGAATTATAGGCCCTGCATTAGCTTTAGTAAGAATATACCCGGCTCTACGAGGTGATTTTTTATGGTGCACATGCATTTGCTTGTCACATACCCTGTGCGCCGATTCCCAGTGAGATGAGCGTGACCTTTGTTGACTTGGTGTGCGCTTCCCACGACTTGCACACGTGATGATAGACATTGTAACCCTGAACCATGCTCCATGCAAACACTGCCAGTAAGAAGTAGTGGATGAGGAGCGCCACTCCGCGGCAAACACCCGCCACCTCAGTCCTCTCAACCCCCGCCACAAACAGCAGCAACAGCAGAAGCAGATTTACTGACAGGACACAGCGTAGTTTGGACTTTGAGCTGCAGCGCAGAACTCTGTGCAGGAAAAGTAGATGCAACAGGAAAATTATACACGAATTTCCACTTTATCCTAGCACCTGGTGGAGGGGAGGGTACTTTGAATGGATAACTCCATTCTTGCAGTACACGATGCAAGAAGATAGGGCTCATTACTATGATGCGGGTGACCATGTCAGAAGAACCACACTGGAAGAATGCTCAGAGCACACATGGCATACTGGGCTCATTGAAACAAATTGGGCAGGACAAGCAAGAAAAAAAACAGCAATCATTCCAGGACAGCAATGGCCGCATATGACACAGGGAACATTGAAGAGCAAGGTCAAACAAATCAACACAATGGTACAGATATCGTAGAATGAGGTTTCCGGTTGCGACTGAAGTTTCATACGTACGCGATCATCAGGCTAAATCATTCTAACACAATGGCATGGATGTTAGTAGACCTCCTATGACCTAAAAAGAGGGGTAAAGGGTCCTCCCTCGTTATAACAAGTCCGGTTGGTACATAAACCCCGTTAGTAAATAGAATTCTGAAATCCCCTGGCGAAACGTAGTCTATGCAACTGTTTCCAGGTCCGGTTAAACGATAATTCGTCAGTACATAAAATTAGTTATAACGGCCCTTGTCCCAAGTCCCTGGAGTGCCAAACCCTCAGTATAAGATAGTTTTGTCCAAGCAGGACCAAGGTGGAAACACACCTGGTAAAGAAATACAATGCTGCATATTCTACTGTAAGACATGTTATTATAACGAGTCGCAAATTTAACGATTGTCCAAAATTCATAGGTTAACGAGAAGATATGTTAACGATCTTGCAGTATTCTGCCATATCCACACACAGCATATATGAAGCAGTACGGCCTCAACGGATCTTATTATAACGAAGAAATGTCATCCGTTAAAACGTTAGATTTGCTTCCTCGTTATATATACATGTCTTACAGTATATGTGTATCCATAGATATGTACAATCTTTTTGGATCTCAGGAACAGTCGTGATGGAGATTTTCAGTTATCTAATAACGAGTTGAAATGGCAATAGCCTAGGATTATGTTGTGTTGAGGGTATCCCATGAAAGTTCGAATCTTTGCTTCAAGTCTTATATCTTTAGTTGCCAGTCCTGTTATAAGATAAGTCTCATTATAATATAACTTTTTCGATGGCCCAGAGATTATCTACTAACGAGTGAGGACCTGTAGTCGACTTACAACCCAGGTTTAGTCGCCATTGAATCGGGAAATCGAGGTCCTAAGGGGGGGGGGGGGGGTATAACCTGCCAATACGGTAAACGTCAAGTGGTATTCACATGCCCTGAATAGGTACTGCAACTGACTATGCTGGTACATACCTCTTGCTGAAGTGCAGAGCAACCAAGGCCAACAGGGCAGTGATCGATACGCCACAGCCAATGTAAGTCACCACCGTCAACGCTTTGCCAGCCTGCACAGATCACAGTATACATATTCACATACACACAGCACATGTTATATTCACATACACACGGCACATGTTATATAATCACACACACACACACAGCACATGTTAATCACATACACACAGTACATATTAATCACATACACACAGCACATGCTACATACAGTATTCACATACACACAGCACATGTTACAGTGCACAGGAGAGCAACACCCTGTAAGCATGATCATGTCAGCTTACTAAATTACTGATTGGTGATGTTTGACTGCTGACAAAAGTGTTTGTGGCGCTTGGACTGTGCAGCACCCTGGCGGTGCTGTTTCATTCATGAGGGCAAAAATTCACTGCATAATACTTCACTGGTAAATTCTCCTGGTGGAATAGCAGACAAGGACATAGCGGCTAGCACGTATGCACGGCTATGAGTTCAGTCCTGGGTAAATCAACATTAACGAGCTCTCGTACCTGCCTTTCATAACCAGGGTGTAATGTGTGTACAACTATACATATCCCAGGACTAGAGTCTCAGAGCCACAGCAGAAACGCTTTGTTTCCTTCTTTCAAGTTTGCATACTAGGCTCTGCACCTACACGGTACATGTAGGTGCATTTAAAGGGGCACTCCGGCTTCATTTTCGACGCCGAGTTTTCGATGCCAAGACGAAGGTAGGTGAAAGAGAAGACCCCTCGAACAAGAACGAGTCTCCAGAAGCGATCGAGTCGAGCAGGAAGACGACTTTTGAATTTAGGCCGAGCGAGCGCTGATGACGTAATGAGGGATTAGCTTGCCAGTGGAAATGCATCTGCGCACATACATTTCACACACTTTTTGGCCAATTTTCAATCGAAGAGGAGGTTGTTTGCTATGTTCTCCCAACGCCGTGAGCGATCCCGTCTTCTATACCCTTCCAGGTACCCTGAAGGTCCTCCAGAGGAGAATTTATCTCCATCAAAGCGTTGTTGATCCGCTAAATTCGTCTCGAGACATATTCACCCAGTGCAGTGCTGATAAATGTAGAATGTTGAATCTGTGATAATTGTCGACGATGGAGAGAGAGGTTGATAGCCGCTGTCGCAGGGAAAGTGAAGCTGCTGGAAGTAACAACTGGGAGCTTGTTAGCATAACTTGATCAAAGCAGCTTGACGGAATCGGGGAGTACTGACTATTTGTCTCGCCCTCAGTTTAGTGAATTTTATGACCAGAAAATTATTCGATCAGGATCCCTTCTACAAGATGTGTAGTACAGGTGATTTCTGAACTTGACGATATGGAGACCGACCAGTAGACCTACCAACAACGTGTACCTGCAGGAAATTCAGCCAAGGCTATTGCTAATGCTATCCTCTTCAGTGGCTGTTGTTTTTTTAGTAAAAATATGTTCACTTCTCTCAACATACTCCTGCATGGCAGCAAGAAGATGCGCTATGGAATTCAACACCACAATATTCGCCTAGCTGTGGATGAAGCATGGTTAAGTCATGGCAGTACATATACTTGAACCAGATGAGAAATTGAAGTTCATTTGTGATGCGAAGTTTGACAGCCCCAGTGACGGAGTCAAGCGTTGTCTTTTGCCGTGGCACAAATTGCTGAAGAATCCGAGATGGTCTTGGAATTATGCACATGGATACTACCAGAAATAATGGTGGCATGAACCATTGTGGAATGGGACAGCTCACGGAGAATACTGGAATAGCTCAAGTATCTCTAGGTGATTGTAAATCCTGTTCTGGCTTATAGCTTCGGCCTGCTGCGCCCGTCCATGTACAATGATGGGAAGATGCATTTCTGTTTTCTACATATGACCAGCGCTTTGGCCGAGCGGTTGTGGGCTTGCCTGCGAATCACAAGGTCCCAAGTTCGAGACCCGCGCTGGGAGCAGGGAGCGTGTGCTGTGCTAGCAAATGCGGTAATGCACGCATGAACCACTTTACATGCAGTGAACTGCGCCGATACCCACAGTCAACTGGGTACTCACTACTCGGAGTGAGGGCAACATGGATGCAGCTAACAAGGTTAGCCCCCTTGTCATGCATTGTTTGTGAGACTTACCACCTCACCCTCGCCATTAGGCGCTGCATCTGCCACCCTGGCATCATAGGCATGGTGGTGGCCTGGCACATTCGAAACTTCCGCTGGTTGTGTTTCTCAACAAACTTTACTTTTTTTTTACTTTACATATTTGCCATCTACTGTACTGTGGTATTACAGTTGCAGGTCCCTTATATAGAAATATGTTCAACCCCCCTCCCACATACCCACATAAATATGAACTAACAATTTCACTGTTGGACTCGCCGGCGGCTAGAGAGCAAAGGATTAATTTATAGCAAAGAAAAGGACCAGGGAACTACAAGTTACGCTATAATGTCCACGAACAATTTCACTGTATTTGAAATAATTTTGTTTGATACCCTGAGAACTCTGAAACTTTGCAGCACTGTGGATTATATGTGGATACAACATTTATGGAAAGAACACATTGTTCAAATAATTATAGCACTGAATTGTTGAGATTGTGAGCACATTCCAATCAGTACTCTACATAAGTGGTGGCAATCGTTAGGAATAGGTCGTGAGTTGTCAGAGTGCTCTAGTATATGAGAGAATGTTTTGTTTGTCTAATCGACGGCTCGTTTGAAGCCAGAGTTGTTTGAACTTGTTTCAGTCGACTTGATTCTAGACAGTAGTCGAAGGAGTACTATGAAGTATACACCAGGCGTAGTCCGTAAGGTATCTCGTGAGAATTCTGTCGGTACACATCAGGTATCAGCTTGCAAAGATGGCTCCTCTCTGTTTCTTGAAAGCCTGTATAGTTGGACTGTGGCTCCAGCGATTCCCTTCTCAGAGCAGGTACCATACCCAATACGGTCAATGCATATTGGACAGACCTGTGTGCACAACAGAAATAGTGGAGAGAAATCTCTCAGCTCATGAACACATCAGTGAAGTTTGAACTGCCGTTGTTTGTGGCCATCAGTATAAACCTATCGACTATAAGAATAATGTGCAAACACCCCTCTATAACTACAGCTGGGGCCATGGAATTAGAAAGCATCTAACTTAGGGAACTGCCAATTCTGGTCGGAGTTGCGTTCAAGGCCTGCAATTCATGATGGCTATCGCATGTTGCATTGACCAGAGATCATATAAAACTTCCATGCCACATTGAAACACGCACTACTTTCGAGTACTTTGGTATCCCCCACCAAATGAGCATTCGGTCCCAGGGTGGCAGACATCACCATTCGTTATACCTGGATCAGATTAGATTGACCCCAACTGTCATGAAGAATCATTTTTACTTTGACTGGATTTCAGTACAAGTTGTAGAACTGCAGAATAAATTTTGTTGTATTTGGGCAACCATTTCTCTACAAACGCTCTATTTGGAAAATATAATTTTTTCATAAAATACATGTCCAAATTCCACATCTACCCAAATCGGAATACTTGATCACGTATTCAGTCCTACACGGAATGTTTAGAAAACGCCAGGGGATAGGAATTTGCTAACGAGAACTCCAGGCCAGGGTACTAGCATACGAACAAAACAAGATAAAAACTCACCAGTATACATGTACTTGTAGTAATTCATGTCGGTGTAATATTCACGATAAGCAACGAGGCACCCTCCGATTTGGTCAAACTGCTTTGAAGTCTGGTTGTTCAGGTGATACAAACGGGCTCCCCGTTGTTACTTCCAGCAGCTTCACTCTCCCTGCGACAGCCGCTATCAGCCTCTCTCTCCATCGTCGACAATTATCACAGATTCAACATTCTACATTTATCAGCACTGCACTGGGTGAATGTGTCTCGAGACGAATTTAGCGGATCAACAACGCTTTGATGGAGATAAATTCTCCTCTGGAGGACCTTCAGGGTACCTGGAAGGGTATAGAAGACGGGATCGCTCACGGCGTTGGGAGAACATAGCAAACAACCTCCTCTTCGATTGAAAATTGGCCAAAAAGTGTGTGAAATGTATGTGCGCAGATGCATTTCCACTGGCAAGCTAATCCCTCATTACGTCATCAGCGCTCGCTCGGCCTAAATTCAAAAGTCGTCTTCCTGCTCGACTCGATCGCTTCTGGAGACTCGTTCTTGTTCGAGGGGTCTTCTCTTTCACCTACCTTCGTCTTGGCATCGAAAACTCGGCGTCGAAAATGAAGCCGGAGTGCCCCTTTAAAAGCACTGACACGAGCTACCACTACTCTCCCCGAGTGTCCCAGGACGTTGATGGTGCAACCAACCACACTTCGGAGTTCCCCACACAGTGTTCAATACTATTTATGCATGTTGCAAGCTGGTGCGTATCCATCATGTCTCATTGTTCTTTTTAACCTCAAAAATAATGCTGCCGTGCTCAGGTTTCTTACCCCTCCGGCCCCAGATGGAGGTCGTCTTGCAAGAAGCACGGCAAAGTTGGTCAGGTGATTGCAATGGCACAGCATGGTAGTGGCGGTGTTGGATACAAGTTGACAGCCGGTTGTGTTCCAAGCACCCAGTCCACCTGGTGACCACGCATACACACAGCGAGACGCACAGAAGTACAAGTGCAGAGAATTTGTCAAGGCACGATCACCATTCGGATGGCGTAGCACTGAATCCGTCAATTTCGAGAAAGATTTTATCCGGTTGGGACAAATGTCTGATCCTCACCATGGCTTGACCACACCACCGGACTTCAAGCACACAATCTACGGTTCTCAGGCCATTCAAGTACATGTAACTCCTATCTGGGCGGTACGGACAGTGTATGCAAGTGCGAGGTATGGCATACAGATCGCGAGCGCGGCAATTTACTTCTGTGTGTCTCAGAACTCACCACTGGCCCGCGGATCCCAGTATGCACACTCCGGCTCCAGGTCGACAGCTGACATCTGATGTACACACAAGCATACGTGAAGTCATTTCAAACGAGCACAAATCGACAAACGCAAATACATAATCATCTACAGAAAAGGAGAGCTGGCGTGAAAGTTCAGTTAAAACGTACCACAAAAGGGTCATAAAGCCTGAACTGTATACACTGATGTAGAAGAATCTTATAATCCAGGAAAACACTGACATATCACGGTACAACTGTTGCGTCCTACTGTCCGGCCGCACTGGAACACTCCTAATGACTTGCGTCTCCCTGTACACATCTTGCATCAGGCATGCCATCCATCACGTTTATGGCCGTGCACTATCATCGTTCACCCCACTGCTACACTGCCATGCTAACACCACTAGGTTAGCAGCCATGCTTGCAAAGGCACCGTGACAACCCAGTGAAACAACAAACTGCGCACATGCTTACACACCTGTAGACGTGTCTTGTCAAACTGAATCTCCACCGGGCGTTTCAGATTTTCAACAGGCGTGTCAGCAACGGTTGCTGAAATAACTGGGGTTGCAACAACAGCATTACGTGCAGCAAGGGACGGGTCAAGAAACAGAGCTGGGGAGTCGAAGAACGTGAATGCCATCAGCAGAGAGAATGCTGTACCATTTGCCATTTCGTTGGAAACAGAACCGCTGTTCTGTGCAGTCTGGAATACTTCGTTCGGCACAAACAGGCTCCCCTTGTACGGGCTGGTTGGCACAAATGAAGACGGTGTTCCCACGATTTCCACATCGTTAAGTGCTCGCTGTGTGCGCAGCTCAACTAGTGAATCATTAGCTGGCAGAGATGACAGGTTAGCGTTGTTGTTAAGGAACGTGGCCTGGACCCCTATGCCCTCGTCGACGTCATTGACACGCATCAGCACAAGATTGAGGCCCGGTGCATTGGCAGCAGTGATGTCCGCGGACAGGTTGACCACGGGCATGCTGTTGTTGGGCGTAAGCGACAAGGCAAATGCCAGCTCCTCCAGTCCAGTGTAGAGCCTACAGAGGCACACAGCCATACAGCATACATGCCATGTAGCCTTTCCAGAACCCCATAGCACCATTTAGCATTTTCACCATACAATTTCCAGCACACAACAAAGACGTAATGACCCCTCGCCATGCATAGGCTTTAAAAGTACTAGTACATCATGGTATATATCCTGCAAAGGGAGAATGAGCCTCTTTTGGTATCAGGAAAACCTACAAGTTACTAGTATAGTGAAACCTGAGTTAACCCGACCCTGTGCCAAGAAAAATCCTGTATTGACCGGACAACTTGTCACGCACCGATGGGCTGTGGATTGAACGTGCATCCCTGGAGCAAGCGGAGTCCTGTCGCATCAGGACGGTTTCCGCTGCAAGAAGGGAGTCCGGTTAGGGCAGATCAAGTTTACTGTGCATACAGTACAGTAAAACCTGTGACTAACGACCACCCCTGGTTGGGGCCAGAGAAAACGGCCTTCAGTGGCAGGTGGTCCTTAGTTAGAGGTTTGCACTGTACAACCATAATACATGAATGTGAGACCGTCCATGCCTGACGAAGTGGTCTGCAGTAGCAGGCTGATCGCTAGTCACGGTGGTCTGTAGTACCAGGCTGGTCGCTAGTCACGGTGGTCTGTAGTACCAGGCTGGTCGCTAGTCACGGTGGTCTGTAGTACCAGGCTGGTCGCTAGTCACGGTGGTCTGTAGTTACATGTTTTACTGTATGGTGCTTGATCGGAAGCCACTGTCTCATCCTGTACCTGGTGGTGAAGTTAACTGTCTCCCGTGCCGCTTCTATCGTGCTGGTCCGCAATGCCGAGAATCCGCCAGCAATCAACACATGGTTCTGGACCGCCTGTGACAATGACAAAGCAAAACAAACAACGACGGCATTGACGGTATACCGTTCAGTATTGTTGGATTAATGGCATGACTTGTAGGCCGGGAAGAATGGCATATCATAGCAGGGTGTTAAGTTTCTGGCCAGTTCCTGACTAGCTTACAGGCGGATTTCGCTTGCTTCAACCCAGGAATATTTCGAATTAGGAAGGATGAGACTCTGATTAAAAATATATTAAAAAAAATCATCGTTCGCATGGACCTCGGCTGAAAGCCGAGCTTTCCGCAACCGTAGGAACGCCACCACCCTCTAGGATCAAGGTTCAAGACTCCGATTGAGCAGATGTAATTTAAGCTAGTGTCCGTGTGCCCCAAACTTACGTCTAGGGACGCACAGGATGTTTGGTAGAAAAAGTACACCCACACTGAAGAATTCAACATTATATCATACCTCGGATCCCTGGAGATCATTACCATTGGCAACTGGCTCGTCCATGGCCTCAAGTAAGTCGACATACACACCCAGATCCAGTGCGTTCAGATTATCGTCCAGTGATGTTACTACAAGCAGAGCATCTTGTGACACTGCCACTGGATCAGATGCATTGCCAGCCTGCATGCAGGGAAACGAGTCATGAGAAGACAGAATTTATTAGGAAAGCTCGGAAGCATGGGAATTTTCGACACAAAACTTGGAGAAATCAAGAAAGGACAGTGTTCCGGGCGCCTGTTGTGTCTGATACACGTGTACATTGTGCACTCTGCTTCAGATACTACTTTGAAGTACATGTACTATGTACGGCATTTTTCAGAAGCCGCAGATCTGACATGTTTGGCAAAGTAACTGGAATCAACAAGAGTCAAAGGAAATGGCGCCCAGTATTCCAATTTCAAACCACAAGGAAACTCATTACATTTTGACCACTACTGAGTTTACCGACTCTACCAAACAATTGCATAAGGAGGGTAATTTAGGAAAATACGGTAAGCTGACGTTGATCTCATTTAGTCCCACAACAGCCATAGTCTTACCAGTGTGTTGATGAGGTCCTGAAGGCGGTTCACTGCCTCTGCAAACAGAATTCAACGGTGTATGACAAGCATAGAGAGGATGAGCGTCACTGTGAGCATACGTGTACTCGTAGATTGCATCTACGGCATCTTCCTTCGCGGAGATGGAACAAATCGGACACCACTCGGAAGGTGGATGCACGAATGCATACATCCGCCCAATGTACATCTGGTGGCTGATGAATACTCCATATAAATCAGCTCTAGCAATGTGTGCATCTAGCACTATTGCAGCCATGCTGCCTACCTCTGCACACGCCCAGTGCACAACACTAATCAACAATACTCCACATAGCCATACCTATTTGGGTGAAGGCTACTGCAAGTGGCAACTCTTCCACCATTCCATTGAAGAAGAAGGCAGTCTGCAGAATAGCATCCAGCTGCTCTCGAAGCCCCACCACCGAAGGAAGTCGATAGACGGTAACATCGTAGGAGAGAGCAAGCCGTCCTCTGCTATCAGGGCTGCATGAACAAGCCAAGCATCACCAACTCAGTGAAATCGTATAACAATCATCAGCCTGATTGTCCTGTGTCTGTGGTAGTAGTGCATATCAGAAAAGGAGTTGAGTGAATGCATCCTAGTCTTCCTCCCAACACAACCAGGTTGAATTGTCGTCATTATCATGGCTTCAACTTTCAAAAACTAGTGACGTGAGGAGATAAACTGGGGAACCACAGCTTTTGACATCCCATGCAACAACATTCAATCAGTTTGTTTTCCCATTCACAACACTACACAAACTGCACTGGTAAGGACAAGTGTGGATCTCAAGGTCTTACAAAACATTCCGATTGCTGGAGTTTCCGAATGCCAGCTGTGAGCGCACTCCAATCGCTTGCACCAGCTGAAAGCACATACATGTATATCACAAAACCAGATTCACCAATTCTGAAGCAGTGCCAGGCTGCTACAGCGTATTTTAATAAAAAAAAAACGATTAGCAGCATATCCCTAAAAAAAATCACGGTTCGTGTCAGACTTGGCTAGAGGCCGAGTTTTCCGAATCCGTAGGAACGCCACCACCCTTCAAGGATCAAGGTGCATCCCTGCGGTGCAGTAATTCATTGTTTCCTCATCCTAGGCACTATGAGCGAAGTGCAAGTGGAGAGCGAAACATGATGGGATTGCAAGCCTAGAACCGTTTCATTAGCAGGACACCACACAACCGTATACATACGTCTAATGTAGCGTTCAGTGCACTCGGCCCGCCAAGACTGGGTGAAACAGGCTTGCTTTGGGTGGAGATGGAAGGTGAAAGTGAAATCCAAAATCAGATTCGTTGCTTACAGGTCATGCTTCAAGACAATACAATCCTCTATCCGAACAATTACAGGGAAGCGTGTTAGGGTGTTCGTTCCATTCAATTGACTCGGGAGGTCTCTTTACAAGGCTTTATTTATATTTCTTCTTTTACTAGGGAATTCCCAACAGGCGTCAGCGCCGTTTAACAGGGAACCCTAAGGCTGCCAGTATAATGGTCTTTGTCTTACCAGCTGGTCAGACACAGCGGTGAGATCCTGAAGAACTCTAGGTAGTGTCAGGGAAAACGTGTACTCGATGGCATAGGTGAATTGCACTCTGAACAGGACTGCATCTGTTGGGACAAGACGGAATGGAGCAGCATACGGACAGACAAAGACAGAGATGTAAGGGCTTTAAAAAATATTCATTGGTTTGAGGGAATGGTATAAATATGGGCTTGATTTGCTTTAATGACCATGCTCTCCATAGCATGGGTGATGACTAAGACTTAGCACACTGCTACGGACATGCCGTTCCCATGGCAAACAAGCACTATAGCTCCCAGTGAAACAGGACGACAAAACCGGGCGTTCCGGTTCACACAGGCAAGCCATGCCAAAGCAGTACCACGAATTTCCACGAGCAGACTAAAACATTTGTTTCAGTTTGACCGTGTGCTCACTTACCGGACTGACAGAATCTTCCCTCTAACTCTGGAACGCACTCACAGAACGGCTCCGTGTCGCAGCGCTGCAGTTCCCGTATAGCTACACATTCATAATCCGTAAAGGAAACAACACAACAAAGTTGAGCCGAGGACAATCGCCGGATTCTAAAGAACTGGTAAGTGTAGGTGGCAACTTGTTCAAGAATGACTTTTCCAGTCCTTGCAGAAGTCACCAACCCTAGACATTCAGTATAGAGATGTGCGCAAAGAGCAATGGTGTAATTCGTACAAAGAGGACCCCACCTGCGGTCATCCGGGGTTGGTTGACTTGTGCCGCGGAGCAATGTGTTCCTGATCTACTGATCTCGTGTGTATTATTCGCATTGTTCCGTTTTGGCAATGTGCATGCAAGCGCAAGGGGATTATATGACCGACGGCTGAACCACAATTAAAAACAGGTAGATACGTTATACTCAGTAGTAGTAGCCGAGCAGTTAGCGTGTGCGTGACTTACGTATTTGACAAAGGTCTCCGGTATAGGCAGGCCCGCACACACAGTTGCCCCTGATACCCGTGCAGGATACTGCATCATTGCCGCAGTAAGCATCTGGACAGCTGCTGAACTCTGCAGTATTGCCGTGCAAAGCAGGACGACAGGACCAACATGCAGTGAATGTTAAAAAGAAGGTATGGCATACGCATTCAGCTCACATACTTGAAGTACAATTTACCGAAGCTGATTCATAGAAGAATACACGTTGATGCATTTGACAATACCATACCAATTCCTTGAGCTTGGTAAGCATGATAGGACAATAACTGTACAATCATCACGGTACCTTTCTCATCATTGCCGGGTTATAGCAGGTTTGTAGCCAGCCTGAATCTGGATCATTGGGGGGGGGGGGGGGAGGGGGGGGGAGGGGGGGGAGGGGGGAGGGGGGAGGGGGGGGGGGAGGGGGGGAGGGGTCTTGCATCGTTGTATACATGTTTGGCTATGCTTCATTCCACATAGGGATACAGTGTAGAAATGCAGGTCTGCTAGCATTATGTCTTGACTGTTGCACTGCATCAGGCACACAATGGTCTACTCTTTGTGCCTACTTATAATGCAAGCAGTATATCCGATGAGATGGGTATGAGATGGGTATGAGATGGGTATTTTTTTAGTCCAAACCATCCATTGTGCAATGGCGCGATCAGTGTTGAAAGAGAATAGTCGAACATTGACTCACGCTAAATGTCACGCTATGGCACTTTGACTAACGTTTTAAACTTTCTCGGGTCACGTTTTAAAACCTTGGTCTCAACCACATCGCTGCTTCACTACATGTATGTAATGTACATGTGCCGATATGGCCTCTGCTGAGATGCAGCTGAGTACATGTACATTGTAGTCCCGCACTGGGCAACTTTACCAGCACAAAACAAAATATCTGACCACGTGGCCACCTGTCCGCGCGCACACATTCAAGTACAGTGCTGGCAACTGAAATCCGACCCCCCGGGCGGCGTGCCGCACCGCCCGGGGGGTCGGATTTCAGTTGCCAGCACTGTAGCTACCTAGATCATCACCAGTGCAAATGACAATAGTGTTCAATTTTGCGTTTAGTACATGTACGTGCTGAAATGCGCACAGTTCAACGTCAGTATCAGAAGAAGTCAGCGGTTTCCATTACCCACATCTTCATATCCATGTAGCAATACTGCGGTATTTCAAACAGTGGCCGCAAACAAGACCATGACAGTGCAACGACACTCACGTGGAGTAGTTGTGGCTGGTGCAGTTGGTGTTGTGGCGGCGGCTGTCGGCGTGGTGGTAATAACAGTTGGCGCTGTGGTCGCCAGCAGAATAGTACAGAATTGCCCCGTATATCCTGGACGGCACTCGCAGAAAGCGGTACCTTCCAAGCAGAATTGGCTTAGTGTACCAACAGTAGAGCAACCGCCGCATGCTGCACAACACATAGCCACACGCAAACCGAGCGAACTTGCACACGTCATCCACAGCTGGAATGCAGTAACGTTATCACTCCGCAAGTTAGTTTGGAGTCGATTTTGCAGGTGGCTATACAGTAACACATTGAAATCACACTTGGAGTACATGTGTGATGACATCATACTTGGAGAATGATGACATAATTATTCAAAGCATGACTTACGGTCAACGTCTTGTGCCTCAGCTGGCAACAAACTGACAATGGCAAGGAGGAGTATGGCAGTGCAGAGGAGCTTGATGCCGTGCGTGCTGTTCGGATAGTAGGATTGATATCTATAGTGTGTGACGCAAAGAAGAACGGAAAGATACGTTGAAATAGCTTGAATTTCACACAGAGCAGGAAGATAAAAACGTTGATTTCATCGTACGCATTCCAAGCTGCAACTAAAACATGGACCCGTAAAACAAGAACTTGTAGCGCAACATCATGCAGATCCATGTGGTTTCCTGTGCTCACACAGTGCTGTAGTTTGCATGTGCTAGTAGATCCGCTGGCACTATATCGCCATGTCTACTATGCAGTTCATTAGGCACCAACGCATATCAGTTGCCGCAGATTTGCTAAACTTCGAAGTGTTCACTGATAACAATTCACCATACACGGATATGGGGTGGGCCGGGGTCATTACTATTCAAAGGCTCGTTGTTGAGCTGAGCTTATTGCCTGCTATACATCACCACTAACACTGGTTCACTTCGCCAATCACCACCGGGTTATGCTAGTGGGAGAGACATATTCCTGTCTAGGCAGAATAGACCAGAGTAAGCGGAGCAAGGGGCACTGCCGCAAGTTAACTCACCAATCACTACTGGGTTAGTGTTAGTGTTAGTGTTAGTGGGAGCACCCTAGTCTAGTCTATACGCAGACTAAACCAGAGTAAGGGCAAGGCTTGACCTCTGCTAAGCTCACCAATTCATACCCCATGTCACGAGTTGTATTACCCAGTCATCTAAGCACAATCAACCAATCATCAATCTATCATCATAGTGTATAGTATTCAACTGAGTCACCATTGTCTTCCACCATTCGAGGAGAAGTTTATCTGGGGAGCAACTTGGGAGCATTATGTTCATCAACACATTGCTTTCAATCACCAGTTAGACTGCAGTGCTGCTCGAACACTTTCGTCCATAATCCGGGAATACAGACCATGTCAAACTATAAATGGAGAACACTGCCTTTCCAGGATTCCTTTTCAGTTTCAGTGCAGTGGCATCTGGTAAGCTTGGGGTCAATGTGGGAAACTTCACTCCCACGGAACGAACATTTCGGCAATTCCTGGCATTCTAAGTAGTCTCAGTCAGGACGGCATAGTCCGACTACCCGCCTCGTGTTGTTCAGGATACCTTTGCCTCTCAGTCCTGTATGTCACATGACTGCATCAGTGCATGTGTACAGTATACTAAAGTTGATTCTCGCAGTGGTACTGCATGTGGGGGACCGCCTCCAGTACTACAAGTGTGATATGGATGTTGACATTTAAAAGCTTTTAATTGAGCTGAGAGAAACATTCACTCGCGGCTGTAGCTGTGTCCATTATCAGGCACATGTACTGTACAGTAGTTCCATGCTCCACTGCGTTCACCATGTTCACAGAACAGTGAAACAGTTCAGTATAATTATAATGCGTCCAAGGGCTGCAGAAATATCTGTACTCAAGTCTATAGCCAAGGTACTGTATATTACAGCTCAACATGACTGATAAAGAATAATGCCTGGTCCTCGAAAAAATTGTACTTTGCAGCCCATAGAATGTTATAGCCAGATTTACTTCATAATCACGGAAAGTGTACTGCATCGTTGCAGGATATCTGCTGCGGCCATAGGAAACCTGTGTGCAGTGACCACTACACTGGAAGATCACCTGTGTGGTACAGTTTAGAGTGACTAGCCATCGATGCCATCGCAGGTCCTTCACCATGCCTCAGCTTACATGTACATGGACCGGACCTGTGTAGACTGATGAAGATCCTCTAGCCCTGTCTTTGCAGCTCAGTTCTATTATGTATACTGATCATGTGACTGCTACTACTGTACTAAGAGCCTACAACAAAAATAGGCTGGTGGTAGATTTGTATCGCGGGCCATGCCATGATCCAAGCAGGTACCCCTGACTCCAGAAGAACTGAAGAACTTTCAAGTAACAACTAATACTTTGTTATGGAGCACCAATGCCGCCAAGCATGACTCTGCAGCAATACTATGTCAGTATGTGTACCGTCGTGCATACCGACAGCCTGGACCCCCTGCAGTGAACTAAGAGAGCATGATTAGACTCAGCAGTCGCCCAACTGGCTGCTAGCATGCTGTGTCTAGAGGACGTACAATCTGTAATCTGTGTATTTCCCTATGTTCAGGCATGCTCAGTACCTTCAGCTGGGGTGGGGAAAGAATGACTCAGCATAGACTAAGGACTGAGGCAGTGAGGGCTGCTCATTCTACTGAGAGACGCCAAGAGAAGGACCGTCACGATTATCACAGTGTGTACAAAAACTGACTCCATATCCATAACACAATGTGTCTGCTAGAACTTGGCCAAGACAGTTTCTGTAAGAAATTAGTTAGGCTTCTGCAGCTCAGCTCCTAGCTTTGTTGGGAATTCTGTTTTTTCCTACATTCTCTGGAGTCGTTTGGAAAGTTGGTACACTTTGTAACCAAGAGTTAGTACCTTAGCTGCACCTACTCAGCCCCGTGGTAAGAATGAGCTGAACTTCAGCAGGATTGTCTTGCGTTCAACACCCGGTGGGGGTCATCAACACTGGATAATCATGTAGGGATCTGGGAGCAGCACGAGAAATACCAGCGATCAGCGGTGTTGAAATGATGCACCTGTTCCCGCAACTTCCCGGAGCTGACCCCCCCCCCCCCCCCCTATCCCTATGCACACACAGACATTTACGGTGAAGATGTCATTACTATCATACCGGTACTATTATTATGCAGCACATCAACTCCAGTCCTACGTACCTTTTCGGATGAAGGCCTCCGACGGCTACTCTTCTCCGACTTGCAAGCATGGTACTTGGGAGGGTAGTGCGTGTGCCTTTCGCTTTGCTGTCCAAAAGCACTGACGACAACGAGGTGCGTAAGCAACCACAAAGTGCTCCGGCAGCTATTACTTGGCAGGAGGAAACTATAACTGCTGTGATAATTATGTAAAGTTACAACGATTGACAAACTGGCTATCGCCGAGCCGCAGAACTCCGAAATGACTCGACGCGAACCGTAGGAGAAGGTTATGAACACTGCCATGGCGTTGTACTTGGCTGAGTTCCCTTGAGTTGTCCCACCCGAAGGAACGCTGGTCCCAGGCAGCATCATGCCAGATTATAGGGTGGTGAAGTTGGGGACCATCGTCGCTCTGTCGCAACGTATGACCAACATCATGGCTGTAATTACGTTAGTGCAATCTTCTCCTTGTCTGAGTAGAGAAGATCTATTTACGGTGTGCGCTCTGCTCAAGTATCCACTCCGAGGTCACTACGGCAGAGGCGCTCTCCCTCTCGAAACGCAAGTCTTTTCCTGCGCCAGAGTTACCCAGCACAATAGGGCTTGAAAGTGCTACGTCACTCCATAGCAATGGCATAGCAACAATTTGAAAAATTCGAAAACTGGATCCACCTGGATCCAGTTTTTGTATGGATCCAAGCACATTTCAAGCGGTCTCACTCACAGCAAGGTGATGTTGCCAGTGAAACTGACTGATTTGGCTAGTGGGGGCGGGGTGACAACTGGTGGCGAAGTAAAAGTTGCACCTGCATACGACATGAGTGGGTTGCTATGCACCCACATACTGAGGCAATAGCAAAGTCACACCTTAGTGGATCCAAAATAGAAATCTGATGTCAATTTACTACTCCCAGGCCGTTTTTGACGTCATCACTTTCAAGCCCTAAGCTTGTACGCGACTTGTACTTTTGTAGCGATCAGAGCTGACTCACTACAAATGGCCGACAGCGTAATCAATCATCTCACCTTGGCCCGGAGTCTTTCGTAGAGAGAGAGAGAGAGAGAGCATGCGTTCCAGAATGCTTACAAGCTGGATGGATATCTAGCTATGAAGTATGATGATGCGATGACGTTGGTGGTTGGCCCTAGGCCTAGTATGCCGCTATGGTCTTCGCTACTGATGGTATCCGGGCGGGTGTTTCCTGAAAGCGATGTATGACGGACACACCGACGTGCTGGATTGAATAAGTATGAAGGTGAAGTCGAGGACATTGGTATCACACACGAAAAATATGTTAGTCTTCACCCCTCCTGGAAACAATGAATCGCTCCCCACGCATTTCACGACCCGGCTGAGCAGTTGTTGTTGTAGCGCCTGCCTGCGACTTTTCGAACCGGCTGGAAATAGCAGACAGGCACAAAAACATAGTCATACTACTAGTATTGCTAGCACAGGGTGCTTTATTTTAGACTCTATGCCTGGTTGTACATACATGACTGTATAATACCAGTAGTGCCAGTGGCAGCAAGTCCACACAATCATGATTATCGAGCTGCGAGGTGACATGGGGGGGGGGCACTGGGAGAAGGATTACTGGATTAGATAAGTCATTCACTATCACGGAAATGCAAATCACCACTATAAGGCATAATAGCACAGACTTCCGACCCTGCATTCGTCACAGCACTGAGGCAGCGTCAACGCCGACATTAATTCAAGACAATACACGCGCGAAAGGCATAAGAAGAAACTGCTCTAAAACACAGTCATCACGCGATGTAAACCGCTTGGTCCTAAAATGCAGCTGCAGTAGCGTAGGTCTACAGTAGGACAGTTCAAACGAACATGGCAAGTCAACGACCGCCTATAACACTATAACAAGGACTGCAGTGCAGGTAAATACAAGTTGCTAAAAACGAAACCGATGCACACTGGTTGGTGCAACGGCACAAGAGAACCAAAAACGAAAGAAAAACATTATAATCCTAAGGCAAAGTCCAAGTCAGTTGTGCCCCGTGGACAGAAGATCGGGAAGCGAAAAGCAGTTGGCTGCCAGCAGGAGATCAGCGTTAGCAAAATTTTAAAACGTGTTTCATGACCAGATCAAATAATAGCTCAATACGAGACCTGACAGTATATCATGTAGGATTGAATAAACTCTAAGGGTAAGGCAACCCACTCCGTGATAGAGTTCGCGTCAAAAGGACGCTGAGACGGAGCGGACGTCACGGTGAGTGCTGTGAAGTTCAGTGCACACACGACCAGCTACTTTTTACAAATCGTTGGAAAATATGGCGAGTCACAGGCATGTTAGGTCTGAAGCTTGAGGCTCAACAGGGAAAGTGGCACATACACCTCCTGCATTGTTGTGTAATGACAATACACGTACATGCATCAACGTAGAAGGCGAGCAAAGCAAAAACAAACAGAGCACACGGCCAGCGCACACACGCACACGCGCACACGCACACGATCAAGGACAGCATCCAGTAGCGGTACCGGCTCAGCCAGCGAGCGAGTCAAGTGTTGAGATCGGTGTTATAGACGACGCACGCGCAGACTATGGAGGTGTTTTATTCTCTTTCTCGGCAGGCCGTTGCTGTGCAGCGCGACTGGCAGCGTTCTTCTTTAGAGCGTCTTCCAAGTTACACACATGATCTGACCTATTCTTGAGAAGACCGCGCACACGAGCCAGCTCCTGTAGCCATAACGGATAAGAGATACGAACAGAGAATAGAAAAAAAAGATCAGGACACACATCTGAGATTACTGCCTCTGCAGTGATTCGATTTCTTCTGGACTTCTCAGGACATTACAAGTCCAGTTCATGTTGCAGTGAGGCAGGCAATCAAGAAGTAATAGGTAAGAAGTGGAACAAACCAGCAACTGCAACTCCGTATAACAGTGTTACGAGAATGGAAAGCGGCTGCACTATTTGTGTCGTTTTCATGAGTCATGGAAGCCGCGACCAATGACTCCAGTTACATCACAGCTTCGTTTAATATACACTGGTGGCAAACAGTAACAGATGAAGTTACGCTTTCTGAAACAATACACAGCACAATCTCGTCTATGAACTCTTGGTGTACCACGTTCCAGTGTCTTGCCAGAGAGCACTCATGCTGTTAGTAGAGAGGTTGTGCATAATGAAAATTCGTAAGATTTGGCAGTAATGGGTTGGGCTAACGAAAGTTGTCCGATCAACTTTCGACCGTAAAAGAGCTGAACAACAGCAATTGATTACTTCCGTTGCACAACTGCCACGCAGTAATGTACGACACCTGGGTACTGCCGTACGCTTAGCGCTTGCATGCCTGACTGTCTAGACCTATTTCCCGTACTCTGAAAAACGGGACGTTACCACTTTTGCGCGACCTCCGACACCGATTTCCGTAGGCTTTTTCGTAGTTGCCTCTTACTTGAAGTACATCGAACACTACGAAACTTCGCTACGCGCAAACTCTCCAGTGACAATCCACACGTATAGTACCGTACTCTCTATAGCCTGGTGAGGCCGGTGAGACTACATGTACATGGACATGGGGAATTCGCCATGGATGCGAAAATACCTACAGAATTTTTCCATTTATAAGTCGACCTCTTATGACCAACAAAAGTGGTAGTCGACTTACAGCCGGCGTTGTATTGATCATATCCATATTAACACATAAGCATGTAGAGAATGCAGGCAATAGCACAATACACTGTAGCAGTACTTACATCCTGCAAGGTATTGTGCTCTTTCTTCATCTGCATCATGACCTGGATGCGCTGCTTGGTGTTCTGGTGTCCGGCTAGCTTAGCTCTCTCCTCGGCCAGCTTGTCTGTCTTCTCTCTTAGCTCAGCTACCTCCTGAAAAGTGACAACACAATATGGAGTTAGTGTACAGAAATACCTCAAGTTAGTTATCTGGTAGGTGCCAGGAAGAGAAAGTTGATGAGCAACTTGGAGGTGCATTGGAGGTGCATTGGAGAGAGAGAGAGAGTCGCAAGACAGGGGAAGGTAATGTACTGACCTGTTCCGCCTTTGTCTTTTCTTCATCTATTTTCGCCAGCTGCGAGCGAAGCTCCTGTGCCTGCTCGAAAGCTGTCTGCTCCAAGGCTTGTGCTCTAGAATACATAGGGATGAGAGCACATACGGAATTTGAAACGTACTACTTTTGTACCAATGCTCATGTAATGATTCTGCCAAATAGACAAACATATTAGCCTTACAAACGACAACACACCAAAATATTGCTTTCCACACCCTGCTGCCGACATCAGTGTCTTCCCACAGATGGCCCAACACTTGATACTGGAATCAATGATAGCTTATCAGAGACACAGCCAAAAGAGATGCACTACAGCCTTCTACCTTGGAGCAAGCAGAAGAAATATCCGCCTGCTCATGCGGGATAGAGGTTATGTGAATGCTTTCATCGGTGGATTTTCTATATTGAAAGTGCTGGGATGTTAGCACATGCCAGTGGTACAGAAAGGCAGGAGCAGTGCAGCGAAAAGAAATACATACCGTCGCAGCTCCTCCTTCAGTGAGTCGAGCTGCTCGGCAGAGGTTTGCCCCAGCTTGTCGTGTCGCTCCTGAAGATCGGTCAGGAGTGTCCGCAGTTCAGAGCATTCCGCCTGAGACGAAGCTTTCTCGCCAAGCGCACTGGACAGGTTGGTCTCGGCGGTCTCCTTCTCCTGCACTAGCGTCTCCTTGCTGGTGGCCCACAAAGCCCGTTCCGTGTCTAGTTCATACGTCAGGCTCTTCACATGGCTTGACAGGGCCTCGCTCTCTTCTCGAGCACTTTGCAGGCTGCTTATCTCCAGCTGGACATGACACCGTCGGATGGGCAACATACATGTACAAATAACATAAGCAGCTCTTAGTCATATCTACACGTGTTTGCTCACAGCAGCTGCTCACGAAACACACCAGAGTACCTGGTGTCTCACGTATACACACACAAGAAGGTCAGCACAGTTAATTAAGAGATATGGCTGCTACTAAGGCCACGTTCGAATTGTCTTCATCAACTGTTCAGACAAAATTTTTAAAGAGATTAGTTGAAGTGTCCCATTAGAACGGTTTCTATCATTTTTAGAGTTTTTCAGTGTAATTGTCATGGCGATGATGACGTCCGATCAGATCGACCATCTCCACGTCCTACGTGACATAGCTATTCCGCAACAGGTACACAAAAGGAAGTATATAGGGCTGTTTTTTGTTGTAACTCAGAGTTTCATGGCAAAAACCAATCATCACGACATAGCTATTCCAAACTCTTCGGAACTAATCCACCTCTCCCATCGGGTGAGGTTGTGGAGTTTCGAGGAGTTTCGAGGAGCTTCGTTTTTCTGAAGAGGCCAATAAGGCCACATCTTCAGAAAAACGAATCTCCTCGGAAAGTCAAAGAGTGACAATTCGAACGCGCCCAAAGTGCACAGCCACTGAATATTCCAGATTAGAAGCAGCATCTTTGTTTCCGAAAAGTCATGCCTAAGCTGCCCCTTTCTAAGATTGTTTGTTGCCAATGTTCATACAAAATGCAAACTCTTCAGAATTTCAGAAATCGAAGTCTGAAGGAAATGTTGAAGAGTCGCTGCTTGGGTGACTACTACACTATAGCTCAGTGGTTAGAGCATCGCTGGCCTATAACGAAGGTCGAGGTCGAGGTCGAGAGAGAGAGAGAGTGCGTGTGTGTGTCCGAGACATGCTGCATATGTGATGCTATACATGTACCAGTACAGTGTTGCTATAAGTAAAGACATACTATACTGACCTTGAGGGCCTCCGCCTCAGCACGCCGCTCCTGCTGCTTCTCCTCCAGGTCAGCCAGCATGCGGATGTATCGACTCTCGCTGGTCTTCAGCTGAGCCAGCTCATCTTCTTGTGCCTGCACGACTGTCATCAGATCTTCATCACCGGCCGATTGCTGAGACTTGACATTGGCCAAGCGGCTCTCAAAGTCCTCCTGTACACTCTTTAGCTGAGCTTGCAAGTCGCTCACTTGTTGCTCAAGATGGCTCTTATCTGACGTGGCCGACTCCAGGTCTGCTTGTCGTGCAGTCAGCTGCTCGGAGACCTTCTGGTGCTCCCCGACCATAAACTCATAGTCCTCCGACAGCATGTCGTAGTTGGTGACGTTGTTCTGCTGCTGCAGCTTCATCTCCTGCTGCACGTCCTCGAGTTTCTGCTGCAGCTCGGCAACCTGCGCGTTGAGAGCAACCAGGTCCTTCTGGCGTGCGTCCAGAGTGGACTCATGATCCTCCGCTTCCTGCTGCAGGCCGGTGATAACAGCCTGCATGAATAGGATAGACACGGTTGTGTGAGTGGAAAACGTAACACATACTGTATAATCCATACATCCTGTGTAGTGAACTAATGAACTACAGTCCATTTCAAAACTATAGACGCGTACATAGGCAAAAACCGTTATGCCAGCATCTATACCACATAAAATCTGTGATCACTTTGTGCATAATTTTTTCCAAATTGGGCGTCTGTTATCCAATCCTTTAGAAACTATATGAGAGTAATTGTGGAGCGATCCTGAGCAATATTCCGAAAACTATTCTCAAAAAGTTCCAGCCAAATTTGAAATATTTCAAAAACCCTACGCGTCTATAGTTTTGAAATGCACTGTAGTATATCAATTGCAGTGTAGCCTGTAGACCATTAGAGAGAGTGTGTACAAGGTGTGTGTACAGGACGTATGGATTCAAGTATTGGCTACACTGGAGTCTCCAAACCTTGAGAAAACCTTACTGTATAAGCAGAAAATTTAGCTGGTGAATAATTTCGTCCAACTCCAAAGAAAGGTTGAATTATTGTTCATCCATGAATGTTGAAACGTCGTGAAAGGCTATTTGAAAATTTCGTCCAAAATTTCTTTGACGAAAATGACGAAATTAAATTCCCGACGAACATGTCTGCGTGTACAGTACATGTACATGTACAACAGTAGTGGTAGCTGAAATCCGACCCCTGATTTTCGTGCTCAAGTGCAGTACCGATTCTAGCAGTCTCTATTTCGTAGTGTTACATGTGCATGCTGGGTCCTTACAATGTGAGCGCACCGAGTTGGGGTTGGATTTCAGTTGCCGGCACTGTACTACAGCAGTGCCAAGGAGATTTTGGACTAAGTGTGTTATGTTGGTAGACTACCCAATCCAGTTTAGTCTCATTTGAACTGCTACAATCGACACCATAACACGAGCAATTTAGTTGGTAACTAACTGCCAAAGAAAGACTGTTTGTATGGTTGAAACATTTGGGCCTGGACCGTGGAATGCATTGAAGGGTTGGACAAGGTCGCCGATAGTCAGGCATTTAATTGAGTCCAAAATCTCCTCGGACAAGAAAGACTAAATTTAATTAACGATGAATACTTCTGATGGTATAGCAGTCAATACTGGGTAAAGTTCATCACCCAAACGGTTGATCAACACATGTTTATTGCAGTGAGTACATGTACATGGCGCTCTGATGCTGATACAACCAATACAATAAAGTTGGTGTGGTCTAGTCCAGCAAATGAACGTTGAACATTCGAAATACAGTCAACCCCACGAATAACAACCTCGGTTATTACAATAATTCGCGAATAACAACACTATCTTCAGACTATGTAACCACTTGACGGCATACTTTAACCTTGCGAGTAACGACACTTTTCTCATGGCCGACCGAGGGTTGTTATTCACAAGGCTGATTGTACATGTATTCCAGAACACTGTTCCTTATGTGCCCGGATGCACCTAGCATGGCTGTGGCAGGCTACCTACCTCCTTCTTGGCCAGCTGAGCCTTCAAACTGTTGACGGACTCCATCAACAACGCCATGTCACTCTGCACACAGGTACACATTCATAAGACCACAAGAACAGACACGCCACCATCAGCACAGACACAAGCGCGTCACACATCATGTGTGAAAGCAGGTCAAAGACTGCCTGGCTTCTACATCTTCTCTGAAAGAAAACTCATCATTCGTCCAGCAGATGAACATTGGGAATGCTGAGAATTGACCGGGTTTCAGATGCCATCAACATGACTGCAAAGACTAGAAAGGCCGGCGATGCAGGCAGCCACTGAATACCGATTCTACCTGCGCAGAGCATTTCAGTGGCTCGTATAACCCCGTCCATAGGGAGACATTTCCATACAGTGTGATAAAAAGGACACTTGCTAGTAAGACAATGAGGGTATGACAGAGGTACCACTTGCCCACACATCCCTATGTCAAAAACCTGGCCCAAACCCAGCTGAACAGTGATATAGTGGGTTACGCGTTATGACGTGACTCTAAAGTGTTCAAAATCATAAATCCAATTCCGAGTCAAAGCAGATTGTGCACAATATTTCCGGATTCGCAAGTGGAAACAACAGATTCCCCAAACTCACGATAAGAGAGAACAAAAGCAGGGTAAAAAAAAGCAAAAAAATCCTGTCAGAAGTGGGATTCGAACCCACGCCCACATACGTGGACCAGAAGGCTCCAATCTGCATTGACTGCAGAAGGTACAAGGACCTTGAGTCTGGCGCCTTAGACCGCTCGGCCATCCTGACTGGATGAGATTACAACCCCATAACGGTGCTGATGAGACAGAGGGTAATATCCAGCGAGAACCGAATTTCTACCTGAGGATCCTTTGCCTTTTACACCCCCACACGGGGCAAGAAAGCATTGTATGGGCAATGCAATGCAGGGTATCTGGTTGTTTTCACTGCATCAGCTACCACTCTATGTGCAAAATACCAAAATTTAAAATATTTCAGGGCACCAGCTTTGGATGTACAAACTGTAGAATTATTAGCAAGTTAGAGCATAACTCCTGGGTGTGCAGCTTGCCTGTGCATTCTCGATCCAGTGTTGCAGCTGCAGAATTTCACTTGAATCAAGTGAACATGGGCCCATACTACAAGTAGTGGAAGCCGAAAAACGCGTGAGGCGAGATAAAAACTGGTTGGCTTGGTGATGGGAAATTCTGCACTATTGCCATAGTTTTGATTTGCGTTTGCCGCCAGTGCGTCACCACAAAACCTGGCCAAATATGGACTCAGTGTGTCTTCCATAACTAGGTGAACTACATACCAGATATACGGCACATGACAGTGAAAATAATGACTACAAGTACATGAACGGTGCATACCTTAAGCTGCTCAATTTGCCGCTCCAGTGCAGCCTTCTCGGATTCAAGCTCAGTAGCACGTACAGAAGAGGATTGTAATGACACCGCCTGGAAAACGATAGCGCAAACAAAGAAACAGTGGCTGGTTGAAAAAGGACCTGGTCAAGCCAGAAAGCTTGGTCATCATATTTCACACAAACCTGCAGAGGACATGGTCTGGGTTGCGAGCTTATGTAGCTCAAAATGGCAGGATTCACACGAGAGTGAGACAAGACATACCTGATCTTCAAGCTGCTTGGAGAGGTCCGCAAGTTCAGTGCGCAGCTCAGAGCACTCGTTCACTGAGCGCAAGTACTGCACATGCACACAGACACAGACACACAGACACACACACACACACACACACACACACATGTATGCGCACAGACACAGACACAGACACACACACACACACACACACACACACACACATGTACGTACACAGATAAACACACACACACACACACACACACACACACACACACACATGCACACAAACGTACATGGACATGTTAGGCATGACATACTTGGCAAAACAACCATATGGCATTATAGAAGTAATGTGAGTAAATATGGCAATGAAAAGAGCGAATGGAGCACCAACAACAAGAATCATGATGTAGCTGTAATGTTTTATTTCTTAACGTTTTGGTAATATGATTGCATCATCATTTGAGGTGTTTCTATTAGGGCTCAAACGGTCACGGTTTTACCCCTAACGGTTAGCTGCTAAGCTAACGGTCGGTTTACCGGTAATAACCTATAAGCCACGGCAATCCTGCGGACTCTTTTTTAACCGTATATTTGACTATATTCATTCAAAAAATGTACCCTATTCAGTACAACACACACATGTACATTCTCTTGCATGCTCATTCATACATACTCTCACACCAAGAGACCAGATATGACGGAGTTGACAGCCCAGAAATGGCGTACGCGTGCGACAGCCTGCGAAAGCGCATACTTTGCAACGACCTGATACTTGAAAAATTGACTGAAAAGTTACTGCGTAACCGTTATCTTTATCGGTTAACCGTTAATTCTTCGTAACCGGTCTGCAACCGGTTAATCGGACTAATCGTTTGAGCTCTAGTTTCTATGGAGTGACACCATATGCACTGGGTTGCCACTTCACACAAAGAATATCGAATGATGGTATTTTCATAACACCCCATAGCCTGGGAGAGAGAAAGCGGCCACATGGCAATAAATATGAGTACAGCTCCGGATTTAACCCTTTCACCGCTAAGGACGTATATTTATGTCCTTGAGAATGACGCCCGTCCACTAAGGACGTATATTTACGTCCTTAGTGCACATCACGTCAATTTTCAGAAGATGGGTATGTTCAAACAATCGTAACTCGGCAAATTCGTACTCGATTCTCACAATCGAAGTATGTAGGTTGAAGAGAAAACTCTCAGTTGTCGATTACAACAATCGCCGAAGCGATAGGATAAAGGATCGCTGAGTTATGGCACTCAACGGCGCTCCTGACTACATGTACATCCCAGGTTGAAAGCACAGAACATTGCACTCAGCACAACTGATGAAAGGAGGACAGTGGACAAGATTCTTAGACAAAGCAAGGGCCAGCAGCCGGCCAATGACTTACCTGCTCCTGATTTTTGTCATCGTCGTGCAGTTGAGATGAAAGTTTGGTCGTCTTCTCCACTTCACTGGCCAGTTTCTCCATGGTTGCCTGCACAATGACACAGGATATACAAAGAAGTGTAGCACTGGAATATAATCGTCCGCACATATCAGAACGATTGTAACAAGGGCAAACAGCCGTGTTCTAGTAAATTGAAGTTGAAGGGGGGAGGAAAGGTAGACACATTGCAGATAAACGTAAGTGGATAAACGGATAGAGAAAGAGAGAGAGAGAGAGAGAGAGAGAGAGAGAGAGAGAGAGAGAGAGAGAGAGAGAGGAGAAATACGGAAGTTACTCGTTCTAAAACCTATTCCATGGTTTTCTTTCTACATGCACCACGCCTACTCGACATCAATCACATCCTGTCAGCTGCTTCTTTTCACCACGTCCTAACACAAATTGGTTGGATCGAGAGCTGGTACTGCCGAGGACATCAAACACCGAATGGTTCTGGCATCGCAGTCATTTGGTCGGATGCAAAGCCTTCTACAGTCATCAGGGATCTCCCTAACGTTGAAGCTGAGGCTGTACAATTGCTACGTTCTAAGCATTTTGCTTTACAACTGCGCTACATGGGGCCTCACTGAGGCACTCAGAACGTCTCTGGACGTTTGCCACCGCCGTCACCTCCGCTCGCTACTCCGTATAAAGTATCCAAATATAATCAAAAACACGGAACTCTACAACCGCTGTCGCACCCAACCCATCTCCAAGGAGATCGTGGCGCGGCGATGGAGCTTCCTGGGGCATGTGCTCCGGATGCCATCAGGGGCACCGCCACAGGTCGCTCTCGATTTTGCTGCTTCTGGTGCCTTGCGGGGAAGGATAGGCAGACCAAGAACAACACTGCTAACCACTCTCTCACTGGATTGTCGGGAGAAGCTGGGGCTTGTGCTTCTGTCGCGACCTGGCCTAGCCCAGCTTCGGAAGGTGGCGTATGATAAATGCCGATGGAATTCATTGCGAAACAGCACTGTTAATTAGCCTGGCCATAATAATACGATTACATCTGACATGCTTGCCTGCCTACTTGTGCGCACGCATGCATTCTTGCCGGAGATGTCTACCTGTGGCGACAACATTTTTTCATGGACTGATCTTATTTTTTAGTGTTTGCACACTCTTGGCTGCTGCTGCTGTGGCGCTTTTGTATTTACATGCTGCTGCGCTCTGTACGGCTGCACTAGCCGTGTTAACTGTCGTACCCAGATGCACACATTCAATCCCTGGCTATGCTTTGGAATTGTTTTCGTTGCCTATGTCCTCATCTCTCTTCGTTTTGTTTTCGCTGCCTGGGCTCTCATTTATCTTTGCGTGCTTGCTTGCTTGTATTGCTGAGGGAACATATGCTGGTTTGTATTCGTGGGTCCCCATGGTGCATGGGCCACGCGTACTCATCCGGCGGATATGTGTGAATAATAACACAAATTGGTGTTATTCTTCTGAAATCTCTGGAAGTTGGAAAATCCCAGCGTGACCCAAGTACCGCATATGCCACCATAGTAGAGCACCACACGGCACAACGCGAGGTTGAAACAAGGTGCGCAAGCTTGACGTAGGTGTGTACATGGCACCCACCTGATGCTCGGCTTCCATGCACTTGATGGTTTCACGGCCTCTCGCCAGCTGCTGAGCAAACTCCTCCAGCTGGCTGTCTTTAAACGAAGCCTCCGCGCGCATCGTCTCCATTTCATTCTAGATATCAGCAGAAGAAAGACAGAGAGCATAAGGTTACCAATAGAATACCAAGTACTAACAATAGCCACCGACAGCACTGGTACTACAGAGTAAAACACTTGGATCATACCCCACGCAGCCTTTGCATACAAGCAGACTCCGTAATAGGACAGAGGAAACGAACAGCACCCTACATTACCTCCATCCTACTTGACAAGAGCTTGATCGTCAACAGGATTACATACCAACCATCGACTACAAGGTTTGTATAATACTGTACAGCAGTAGATGTAGATAGCTGTCCACCTCTAGAACCTGTATTCAGAGGCATCCAGTCTTGTTCCTGCTGTACGGCTCGACTATCTACTTTAGTATTACATCCGTTGGTGGGACTCACAGTATTCGACCGGAAAACAAGTTGCAAACGATAACATCTAAGGTACAAGCAAGAAGGAGGAATGCATCACAACCAACGGCTGCCCAAGGCTATCGTAATCGATGCTATACCAATGGGACTGGGCAACACATACCTGGATCTGCTGGAAGTCCTCCACGACAGTCTCGTGCTCCGCCTGCATCTCGGTGATTTCACCTTCCAGCCGCGTGATCTAATCCAACAACACCAGAAAAAGCAAGTTCAGTTAGGAAAGCACCAATCCTGAACAACTAGCAGACAGTCAACCTACAAAGCATCACAAAATCTTACCCAACCATCTTCAACTATCAAATACACACCAGAAAAAGAACCGGTGCCTCCATGGTCAGTACTAAATGCAGTTTGATCACAGCATACCTCAGCTTGTGCCTGCGCCAGTTCAGCAGTTGATGACACGGCACTGTTGGACGCAGCACTCCTGGCTGCTTGCAGTTCCTTGTCGGATGAGACGAGCAGTAGCTTGATGTCACGCAGCTCGTCACGCAGCAGCTGTCGATTCTCATTGGCCGAGCCCAGGTCTTCGTTGGCTTGGTCAAGTTCTTCCATCATCTCTAGCTCACGCTGCCGACTCTTGTCACGGCCTTCATGCAGGGCCTAAAAATAAAGGCAGCGCAGGCAAATTTGTCACACAGCAATTCGCAGGGAATTTGTAGGGAGACAGATTTACACCATCGAACACATCACGTGCTACAGACGGAATCCCGATAATTCAAGTAACTAGAACTGGAGATGTACGCCTAATTCGAAGTCCCACGGAATCCGCTTACACAGAAAATGCGTGGGACACATGCTGAAAATGCAAAGTCAAGCTCTGTTCATAACTGGCGCACATACGCGGTGCGTTTGCGGCGGCTCTTGCGTGCCACCCGTGGTACCCGCTTCCGAGCGGCACTTGAACCTGACCAGCCAATTTTAAGAATGCGGGAATAAGTGTCGACAGTGCATACCGTAACTGTGTGTGTGACAATACAAGCATTTTGAGCATTTTGAGTACATGAGTGGATAATTCCACACAAAAAGCACAAAGGAGGCTTACAGAGTTCATCGCAACTCAGAGTTTCTTGCACAATGCAATCATCACGCGACTTGTTCAGATAATTAGAACCCCCCCCCCCCCTCCCAGAAATTTGGGATTGGAAATATCTGGATGCCATCTGTACTTCTGAAATGTGAAACTCTGACAAAAGCCTAATACAGTGGAATACTGGACAAACAAAAGTCGTAGTACTGAATAACAGTATGCTCATAAATCTGCTCACAGCATCCAACTCTGCCTGTCGGTACACAAGCTCTGCATTCTCCGTCTTCAACTTGCGCTCTGATTCCTCCAAGGTCTGGCATCGCAAAACACACACGCACGCACACGCACACACACACACACACAAACACACACACACACACACAAACAAACCGATTGAAATATCCCAACATGCACCTTCACACCAGCACAAACACACACATGTATGTGGAGGGAAGGCATCGAAACCCAAACAGGAACATCCCATAAAGAAGCACTTTTGCCATTCAGCTGGCAGCAGTAGACTCAACGTCGCGCCCATGACAATATTCCTGACTTCTGAAAACTACAGTTGTGCTCGGTAAAATCCGACCCAAAGAGCATATTTGGTGCCCTCAACTTGCATGGCCCTTGACGTCCTGGAACCAGGAAGTGATATGAATGCGGCTGGACGTACAAATGTACAAGTACTGTACTACAGTAATGTAATCGGAGCTGGTCCAGGACGTCAATTTAGAACTTTGGGTCGGATTTCAGTGAGCTCAACTGTAGTAGAAGTGTGCAGCAAATGCAAACGTAGCTGCATGCACTGCCAGACAGCATGTCTTACCTCTAGGCTGTTCGTCAGTTTCTTGTTCTCAGTCTGATCCACAGCAGAACACACACAACAACAACAACAAAATCACAAGTTCAGCGACCGGAGTGATGCATGAAAACAACAAACCGACAGCCCTTGCATTCCAGCAGCGCGCTTATCACTACACAAACGGCCTACAACGCTGTGTCCCAGAATAGCTCCATGACCTTTGAAAATCCAAAATGCAGCCATATAGGCTCAAAATCACTTTGAAATTTGGGGTTTCGACCCTGCTTCTCCATATATTCTGCCATGGCACACCTGTCCTAATTTGGTAAAACCTGGCTGAACCTCTAACTCCTTGCGCTTTGACTTTTCTACAACAAGATATATGACCAGGAAGACTTGCACAGGGAATACAATGCTTACAAAGGGGGAAACCCTCTGCCAGACTGCAGCACACAGCACATATTAGTGATATTACAACACAAGCAGATTGACATGGTCCAAAGGACTCCGTTCAGATCCCTGACCTGCATCTCCAAAAGCTCATCGCTGAGAGCTTCCTGAATGGCCTCCGGCATCGGTTCATCCATCACACCCTCCGACGGCGTTTCGTTCTCGAACAGTGCCATACGGAGGTTAGCTAGCTGTGGTGTTGCTGCAGCACTGCTGGCGGCTAGTTTATCAGAGCTTCTACGTCTTGCTAGCCGGTCGGGCGTTGGTGTTAGCATCGTCTGAAATCAATGTACAAACCGAAAAAAATGAATATGTGCATGCACACAGGGACAACTACAGCCATAGCCACAGCCAGAGGCACAGCCATAGCCACAGCCATAGCCACAGCCAGAGGCACAGCCATAGCCACAGCCAGAGGCACAGCCACAGCCACAGCTACACATTCCAGTAACTATACAGTACTGTCAGCCTCCCAGCCTAGCCTAGACTGTTCCTGTTTTCATGTATTACAGCCTATGCACAGTTGAGTCACCGTGTATACAATGGTATGCTGTGCTTGGTGAAATTCTAGGCTGGTCGTTCTTCGACACCCGACAGTACTGTAGGGTAAGTCGCATTCCCACAGTTCTCTTTACACAAACACAGCACAAACGACCAAGACACACAAACCCCAAACACAATGACTTGATGGCTAACCTTGATTGTATTTCGATGGCGCTCGCTCATAGCATTGCTACGGAGCTTCAGAGCATCTTTCTCTTGCTGAGCACAGAAACAAGACCGGAAGCAATCCAATACGCTGGCTTCAAGGTACAATAATGCCACATGTGCATGTATGAAAATATGCCAGTCTGTGTGAGTCAGTGTGCAGAGATCAAGGTGCAAATGCAGCTCTTAAAGTAGTGGGAGGCCAGCAGATCAGACCCACCACACAGTGGCTAACGACTGAAAATCGTATCCACTGCATCCATGTTACCCTACTCGTTTCCTTCGTGCCAGGTCAAGGTTTGTCAATTCGTTGTGAGTCGCAGCACTTTTGGAATGATACTGCACAGTCTACAGTCCATTTCAAAACTATAGACGCGTACCTAGGCAAAAACCATTATGCCAGCATCTATACCACATAAAATCTGTGATCACTTTGTGCATAAACGTTTCCAAATTGGGCGTCTGTTATCCAATCGTTTAGAAACTATATGAGAGTAATTGTGGAGCGGACCTGAGCAATATTCAGAAAACTATTCTCAAAACGTTCCAGCCAAATTTGAAATATTTCAAAAAACCTACGCGTCTATAGTTTTGAAATGGACTGTAGCAAAGCAACTATCTGTACATGCAAACAATACCCGTCTTCAATAGCATGGACTTGCAACACACACACACACACAGTCACACATGACTCTCTCTCTCTCTGTCTCTGTCTCTGTCTCTCTCTCTGTCTCTCTCTGTCTCTCTCTCTCTGTCTCTGTCTGTCTCTGTCTGTCTGTCTGTCTCTCTCTCTCTCTCTCTCTCTCTCTCTCTCTCTCTCTCTCTCTCTCTCTCTCTCTCTCTCTCTCTCTCTCTCTCTCTCTCTTACACAAAATTGGTAGCCGAGCTAAAAACAATGAAACGTGGAACCAGACAGATGGTCGCACAAAAGCACGAAGGCAAAGATCGGCTGTATAGAACGAGAAATATCCAAACTCATGATCCACCCAATAAAAGGAATCCAGCCTCACCTCCAGGTCCTTGACAGACTGCCGCACACCAGCCAGGTGCATTTCTAGCTCCATGTGTTTCTGTTTAGACTCGGCCGCCTGGTCGGATAATGACTGCTTGCTCTGTGTACCGGTATGCCGGGGTAGAAAGAAGGAGAGGCACAACACAATCTGAAGTCAAGTGACTGACATAGCAATATGCAGGGTCCTCAGACACAGCACTACTAAGTTGTATCCCAGTATATGTTATACGAGACGGCTACACCATAGCTCAGTGGTTAGATCATCGCTGGCTACAAGCGAGGGTCCAGGCCTTGGTTCGAGTCCTGGTGACAGTCAATAATTGTTCTTCAGACTTTTCCCGTTTACGTCTTTCCCTCAAGCCAGTGAATATGTTATATCCAGGGTACATTATACTGAAGTGTCACTGTACTTTGTAGGAAGGCAGAATAGGGAAATATAGAGAGAGAAAAAAGAAAGAAAAAAGAAAGAGAAACACTACAGGTGAGACTGATATTGTACTGAGCATGCAATGTCAGAACCACCAAGTAGACAATGGCAGTCTGATCACATCCAGCTAGAAAGGAACAATGTATCTAATCAATATCAAACTCAGTCGCTATCAATGTTAGGATGTTACCAGTGCAACGAATGACGGCTGCTGAATGCCATAGCAGCAAGGAAACATGTCGCAGAGGACATACATGTACGTTCACACCCACACACTCAATACTACTAAATCCACAGCTGCTAGAAACTGTTGCCAGTACAGGCAGGGCAATCAGCACAGATATTGCACACATGCAATAGCACAGACATCACACACATGCAATCAGCACAGACACCACACACATGCAACTGCACACTCTCACACCACCAAATACAGGTACGTACGCTTTTTAATTCGACCTGCAGCTGCTTCGCCATTGTCTTATAGCGATCCAGCTCAGCAGCCATGCCCTCAAAGTCAACACCACCCACACCACTGCGACGATCACGCCGTTTGGGGGTTGCCGCCAATGCTACACACAGATGTATCAAATCACCAAATTCAAACAAGAATCAATTATGCAGTGAAGGCAATTATAGAAAAAAACATCCATCTACAAGCCAACAGACACCGATTTGGTGCAACAGCCAAGCTTTTCTACAGAATTCATCGGTGATTAGCACTGATTACTTCTGGCATCTGTCTCCAAAGTTCATGAAAATCATAAATGAATACGGAGTATCTTTACCCTTACTTCGGACAAGGAGAGCAAAAAGGAGCTTGCAGTAGGGTAAGACAAACCATGCAATGAGCGAAAGGTGTCAAAGAGGAGGAATACGGAAGGCAGTATTCATGTGTGTTCAAATTTGTTTTAGGTGATGTGCTTGTATGCCCGTGTTGCGAAAAAGAGCAAATGGACACCCTTATGCTGGAAATCGAATCATGGAGAATCCAAAAACGTGGACACACGTTGTCGGCCAGAAAGTAGCCAGACAAAACCTGAAGACATACCAGCCTTGTGTCTGCTCTTCTCCTCAAGCAGCTGTGCTTCCAGTTGGCCGCAGTACTGTCGCATTCTGCTCAGCTCTGAGCACACCTCACTGTTGCTGGATTGCGACTGCAGCTTCTTGACCTCCTCTGATCACAGAAGAAACGAAGAAAGCACAAAACAAAGAATCCAAAAAGGTACAATTGCAAGATAGTAAAAATTCAACGAGGAGATAGAAATTGTATAATCGAAATAAGAAAGACGATCGTGGTACTGGCAGTACTGGTGTTTTCGCCCTTGGTATTGGACTATGCTCTACTGATTTTCTTAGCGGGCTTAAAATGCAGACTCTCGCCAGGTGTCCTGCAATAGGCATTCAGTAAAACCAAGATTGAAGAATCCATACACAAGAGTATGGGTCAGCAGTGAGGCACGCTGCTGCTGCTGCTGCCCTCATCACACCATGACGCGTCATCATCAGCCAAAGAGTCCGGTAAGAAACCAGTGCAGACCTCACATGTGCGTGAAACTGCTTGCTCTGGTCTGGGTATTAAAGGGGAAGTTAAGGCAAAAATTAAAATTTCACCAGTTGTAGTCTTCGGGGTGCTGAGTCTAATGGTCTTGGTCCGAGGAAGCTGAGACGCTCCCTTCCTACTTGAATCCCAATCGAACTCGCGCACTTCCACCGAAACTGGGTGACTGCGCCCTACTAGATGGGGATTTGTATGCAAAATGTCACTAAAAGCGCCATTTCGTTCTTATAAAAGCACGGATGACCGCGATTGGCCCATATGTTGTAGTCTTTTGGACGCTGAGTCGACTGGTTTTGGTCCGAAAAGGCTGCGATGCAGCGTTCCTCCGTTATTCCCAATCGAACATGGTTGAACAAGCGGTCACGTGGTCCTGGGTGCCCAAATCACCTGGTCACCACGCCAGCAGGTGACAACTTTCACACCAAGGTTCAACTCGAGTTCAACTCGAGTGACAGGACTGTACCCAAAAAAGGTCAAACAGGCTAGTAAGTTGTACCCTGCAGGCACGGTGACCAGGTGACTGGTGTACGCAGGAGCACGTGACCGCTTGTTCAACCATGTTCGATTGGGAATAAAGGAGGAACGCTGCATCGCAGCCTTTTCGGACCAAAACCAGTCGACTCGGCGTCCAAAAGACTACAACATATGGGCCAATCGCGGTCATCCGTGCTTTTATAAGAACGAAATGGCGCTTTTAGTGACATTTTGCATAGAAATCCCCATCTAGTAGGGCGCAGTCACCCAGTTTCGGTGGAAGTGCGCGAGTTCGATTGGGATTCAAGTAGGAAGGGAGCGTCTCAGCTTCCTCGGACCACGACCATTCGACTCAGCACCCCGAAGACTACAACTGGTGAAATTTTAATTTTTGCCTTAACTTCCCCTTTAAAGTGGCAACAGAACACTAAGATGTGTGCACAGACGTAGCTGCACGCCTCATAGAGGAGCGCGTGCAGGGATTTGTCGTGCAAGCATTTCTGTAGCGACAAACTGAACATGAAAGCAAGCGCTGGAGAATCAAGCAAATGCTTCCCCCTTGTTCATCGCCCTAGAACTATGAGCTGATCATCTCCTCCCAGTACAGTATTTCTACTATATAATCTGTGTTCGTTGATGAATCCGCCTTAGTGACAACTTTATCCACTGATAGTAACTCGAAAACGTTCGTTCTGGAAATTTTACTTGAGTACAAATCCACAATCGTTGCCATGCGAGCTATAGTGTTCAGGATAGTACACCATCGTACCAATGGAATCCAGACAACAGACGAAAGAAACCTTCAAAAAGTTCTCCAGGCGTTGTCGATTCGATTATCTGAGTTAGCACTCAACATTGAATCTTTCCAACTTCAAGGCTGAAATTTCATCTGTAGGCATTATTCTTTATAATTATTCTTCTCTTTGTAGTGAGACCAAGCTAGTCAAGCCCTGCGACAGGCATGTACCCACCTCGAAGCCTCAGGTTCTCCAGGGCGAACCGTTGCACTTCTGGATGGCTGTCCAGCTGCAGACGAAGCTGATCTATCTCCGACCGCAACATGCCCTGCAGAGCACCGGCAGAAAAAAACAAATACACATTGTAAGAGGTGAAGATCAATGCAAGAACCTTGCCTGGCAAATACCCTGTAGGACTAGTTTGTAGAGCAAACAAACAGCTCCACTGCAATCAGTGACCTTTCCATCGGTAAAGTAAAGTAAAGTAAATAATGCCATCAACACAGCTCACAGGCTGGGCAAAGTTATACTAGTAAAACCTGTCAAGGCGACCAATCGGATAAGGCGACCACCTGTCCCAGAAGACCACTGTAACCAGGACCAAGGGATGCTATTTCCACTCAAATGACCCTGGATAAGGAGACCAGGTTTTGAAGGTCCTTTGAGCGGTCGTCGTCTTAGACAGCTGTTTCACTGTACTACTAACCGCTGATTGGAATCACGGGATGCCTGAAGCACAGTTTGAAGAAAGTTGATCAAACCACACAGCACATCGACTTGGCACACCTATCGAGCGAGCGATTCCAGATGGCAAAGGTTTCTCTGTGTACAGTACTTCATTGCAACATCCACAGTCCAATTAGGAATGTTAGAAGGAAAGCCTGCCCTGTCCTACAATACCAACATGTACTCGTAGTTACTTTTGTTTTTGTTTTTCTTTAGTTGTTGTGTCAGGCCAGTGATATCATGTTCTGTGATTGCCCGTATAAGAGGCTTATTCAACTCGTAGTTACTTCAGGACCCACCATTGTCTGAGATTCTAGATCTTGGCATCCAGCCTTCTTCAGGCGAGACTCCAGGTTGCTGATGTGTGTCTCCCGGAACTTCAGGATCATCTTCGTTGACTGGCAGAGAAAAGACAGACCACCACAAAAAAGGAGAGAAGAGAAATAAAGTAAGTACAGCACCGACTGAATCACCAAGTCTAGATTTGTATGCAACAACTAGTATTCTACATGTCAGTACGCTTTTGCCTAGACAACACCTTGGTACATCAGTATAATAATACTATACATCCCAACATAGGCACTTGTCGTCTGCTCTGGCCACACTCTCTGTGTGCTACTACTGTATCTCAAACGCTGCACTTGCCCCCCGCTCTGACAAACTCCGCACACAATCGACACAGCACCAGAAACAGCTAGAGAAATATGACGCACTTCAGCAATTGACCATCACCAGGGAATCATAGCAACTGTCTCAACAAGTAATCATGAACCCAATAAAAAACTCAAAAACTGTTGAAAATAGCATTACTGTATTAAATGTCGCGTATTAAAGCCGAGCTTATTCCTGTAGAAGCTGATGCCAGGGCTAGGATTCTATTCACATCAGGCTTCTATTCAAACCAGGTATTTCTATGCGTGTCAACACTAAAGCCAGGCGTATGTGCCGATGGCGTATCTTAAAAATCAAGCTTGTATTCAAAACAGGCTTCTATATGAGATAGGCTGTAATACAAGACACCACGGTAAAACCACGGCCACATACAATGTAAGCATTGAATATTATCATATGCAGCTCACAACTTAGGGCACATGTGCATGACAAGTGACAACTCCATCACAAGAAACGTTCTACTAACTCGAGTGAAAACAAGAGTACATGCTGACTAAGCAGTAGGGTTACAGTAGGGTTACAGCAGTACAGTACTTGATGTAGCCGGACATTCACTCACCTGGAGGAACTTGTCCTTCTTTACAACGACATCCTCCAGCTTCTCCACTTTCTCGCACAAAGCCTATCCAGCCATAAGGGACAAGGAGCACATATCAAGAGTCAAGAAACTTCAGCACCTGTCACCACTAACAGCGAAAAACCACCGGCAGAAGGGATGCCATTGGCACAACCAGCACCAGCAACGTTGGGGGTAGTAGATGAGATTACACAAGTCCAAGAACACTCTCATCCGGCTAACCCTGGTCAAACAAACCGCATACAGGCCTACCCTTGTTAGTGGACAACCCCGGAAGTTTCTAATTTGTCGTCTAGTAATGAGTATCATCCACTATCCGGACTAGCATGTACGACTGTCAGGCGTCAGAAGATTCTTGGATCACTGGCTACTAATGAAGTTTGTCTTGTAACCAATGTCGTACTAACGGGGGTAGAGCTGTATACAGGTACTACTGTCGTGGACATGTAAATCCGGTCGCACGTCTACCGGCCCCAGGGCGCTGGCCATGCAGCCGTGGATAAGTCGTACACACTTGCAAAAATATTTGGTAGCATCGGATCATGATGTGCATGCACTGCACGCAGCGTTCTGTGCGCGCTGAAGGCGCCAGCCCCGGTCAATCGACTGGATTTCCATGTCCTCTAGAGTAGTATCAAGAGTCAAATAATACAAGGTGTGTCTGACCATGGCTAACTGGCTGGGGATTCACCGTGCTTGCTCTTGTATATTAGCCTTACCTGCTTTTCCCTTTCTGCCAGCTGTTTATTTTCCATGGCCGACAGAAGCATGTCGCGCAGCTCCGATGTACTTTTATTCTCTCCTGGCGCTGATTTGGTTGGAGTAGAGAACCCCGTTTGGCTGTATGGTGGTGCGTTATCGGACGGGTTCCGAATTATACCGGCTGCAAAACAAGATACCATACAAGCAACAGAGATGCAAGGGAATTAGAATTGTTTTTCACGGTTCGGGTGAGACTTGGCTTGGAGCCGAGTTTTCCGCATCCGTAGGAACGCCACCACCCTTCAAGGATCAAGGTGCAGATGAAAAGCGGCAAAGAGATGCAACCCAAGTGACAGCGTAATGGTCCTGCCTTTCAACTTTTGGCAATCTCATCAAGATTCAATGGTCTTCAAGAGGGAAAATAGAACTATTCAAAATGATAATGACCAGTGCCACCATAGTTCAGTACAGGATCACCTGAAACACTATGCAGACTTGCCATTTCCACTGCAGTGATATGCAGCATTCCCAAAGTCTATAGGAACCTGCAGCACAGGTGTAGACAGGTGGCAAATTTCATGCTCAAATTCCAGATACTGTATTGTACAGATGCGCTTGGTTAAATCCGACCCAGAGTACATATTTGGCATCCTCAACTTGCACGCCCTTGACACCCTGGAAGTGACACGAATGGGGCTGGGCGTACACATGTACAAATACATCGATGTAAGCGGAATGTGTCCAGGGTGCCGGCTTTGCACTTTGGGTCAGATTTCAGCAAGCGCAACTATAGTACCTTTCATCTGGTTCAGCTCTTCTTTGAGTTTCTTGATCTCCAGTTGCAGTTGTGTGACGTTGCCCAGTGTGTCCTCGTTCACAATGGCACGGTTGCGGATCATCTTAGCACGCCGCGCAAAGCTCAACGTCGACAGAGTTTCTCCGAAGCACTTGGATGCCATGCTGACATTGGCGATGATGAAAGTTTTGGAGTTGCCACCTAGTTCACCGACACGTCACATAACAAGGAATACGAAAGAATAGGTTAGCACATATCAGGGTTCTAGCCAGAAAAAATTGCAGGTGGAGGGGAAACAAACAGTTCACCCATTCTCCATGTTCTACTATTGCCTTGTCACAAAATATGCAATGCACAGGTGCACAGAGCGCCCGGAACGGTCGATTAGTGGCCTCATTTTCCGTGTGTGAACCGAAAACCAAAAAACCAAAATCGAAAATGGGTAGGGTGGTGCGCTATCACTTATCAGAGTAGGGGGCGCTGTCCCCCCACTCCCTTTGGCTAGAACCCTGTATATAGTGAACAAGATGGATGACCCGACTCAGTGCTCATTTGCTTTGCTCCATCCTGTGGCAAAATGGGCGCCTAGCTTTCACGTTGCGGTGTTTTCAACATGTCGATTCTGCAAGCCCTCTGCATGCCCATACTTAAGTCGTTGCTATGCCACACCAAGCTAGCATCTCCTAAAAAGAGTCCAACCTATACAAAGAGGCAAGGTTAAGCGGACAGTAGCGGATCAATGAACCGGGCACTTTGCACTGCAACTCACCCAACGAATCTCTCAGAAGGAAGGTGAGCTTGGAGTCTCGGTACGGCACATGACGTGACTTGCCGTGTGCCTGGTCAACCAAGGCCATGATGACGTTTCCCAGAGTAGATAGGGAGCGATTGATGTTGCCAGCTTCCTGTCAAGAACAATGGGCAGAGTGTAACAAGACATACAACAATCGACAATGCTACTTTGCTAGATTTTTGACCTGAATTTTAACACAGCATTACCCAGTTAGAAGAATTCCATGCTGTAGACAGCAAGGGAGAAGAACAGCGCTGCTCTTCCACCCATCATGCATGACAAACAACCAATGCGCTCACCGCTCAGAGCACTCACTCAGCGCGGGGGTCAATATCAACGCACAAAAAAAGCAGAAATGAGGACCGGCAAAATGGCATAAGATGAGTTTTCAGGGCATCCCTAGGGCGCACAGCAAGAGATATATCATATAAGCATAAGTATAGTAAAACCTGGTGTAAGCGACCTCTGATTTTAGCGACCGCTTTTCCATGCACGGACAGTCCTACATAGAAACTGCGCTGGATAGAGAAACAACCTGCCTTGCGCGGCCAGCAACCGACTTTTAGTGTACCAAGAGTCGTAGTGGACCTGCACACAGCGACCATAACCAGCCAAAATTGCCGTCTTGGCTGGCAGGGTTGACTGCAACAGGGTTGAAGTGCGCTCTGAAGCAAGTGCATGCAGTCAACAGAAGTGACAAGTGACAGCGCAGGATGCGCTGCATGCACTTGAGTGAGGTGCACTTTGCCTGCACGAAAGTATTCTATGCTCCACACCTGTCAATATGAATATGAGTATATGGAAGTACAATCATGCACATGTACGTACACGATCCGATATGCCGCGGAAGTATGGGACCCATATATCACCATCGTACTTGCCAGTACAGTCTGTATCGGCTATAGAGTGACCGGATATAAGAATAGATCGGCTACAGTGATATTGGTACGAAATATCAAAAGCAAAACGTATTTTATCCAGTACAAATATCACTATAACCAATATTATCGGATGTAATGATATATCGGATATTATGATGGCAACAAAGAATCAAAACATGCAGAACACACTACATTATTATCGTCTATAGTGATAATTTAAAATACATGTTGCAATAATATCAAAGGCCCTATTTTTTTACTTTCTTCACGTTGCCTATTTTGATAGTGACACATGTACATGTACATAACAGAATTTGTTTATGGAAATGCGGGCACTGTCAACTATGCAGCATGCTCATTTGTCAAAACGCCATGCTGGAAGTATTTCCTTGCCTTTCATGTGTCGATCGAAAAAAAATCGATCGTATCGCATATAGTGATGCATCGGTTATAGTGATAAAATCACGGAAATCAAAAGGGTACGCTATAGCCGATACAGACTGTACATGTACTTGGTGGATTGTGTACGGTATACTTGCTTACAGAAACGCTGGTAACCGTACTAGCAACAAGATACAGTACCAATTATCAACACCGCACGGCAACCGAACAGTGCAGAAGTGACACAATACAAGCATTGGTACGTAGGGCACTGTCCAATGCACAGCCTGTGCTTGCTGATGCGATATACGTACTTTCAGCCTTGTCCCGACAGCATGCGTATCTCGCTGGCGCTCGCTGCCGGCAAGATCGACCAGGTGAAGTTGAGACGTCTTGATCTTCGCTGCAGCTCCGGGTGACTCCTAAGCACGGAATTCCGGCACACGAGCAAAACACACATGACAGTTACATTGAAATTCTGAACAGATACTTACACTATAAGACATGCATGACCACATACACTCGGCACACATAAATACATCCAAAAAAAACCGAACACTTGGCGCACCTCACTCACCTTTACTTTAGATTCCACGGTCAGTGTGAATACAGCATGGCTACGACTACTCTCACGGTTCATTGACGTAGCCGCCACACGACGGTTACTCCATCCGCCTGACAACACCTGCACAGGCACAAGACAATGCAGTAGACACAAGCAGAGCAGTCCATCTAGGGTTCCATGTAATAAGGAATTGCCTGCTGGGACTCCCCAAGTAAAATAACAAATTCTATTCCTACTATTACTACTACAGTCAGTTGACAAATCCAAGACACACATGGTAACATACAGCTCCGACAGTAAACTCACATCGAATGCCTCTTTGGCGGACGCGACGGGCTTCTCGGTGATACCGTCCACGTACACACCTCGCTTGATGTTTTCTCTGAGATGTGCAGGTCAGTGGCAGTCAAGGACAAACTCTCACAAGGCAGAGTCACGGATTGCCAGATGTAATAGTATGTACTCTTAGTAACTCATGAGGAGAAGGGAACGAAAACGTTTGGTTCAGAAAATGTCCGATTTGTTCTTCTAGACTGGTGAGGCCGACGTATGGATGCATGAATTTACCACTTGAATAACTCTTAGCTCTGCGAATGATTTCACTGGCCATAACTACATCATGTGAGCCATGCTATACACAACAGAAATATGAAAAGAAAGAGATGAGGGAGGGAGAGAGAGAAAATCTGGCTCTAGAAGAAACCATCCCCTGTGAACATAGGGATAAACACAAGGGAATGAAAAGGAACACAGAGGTGCTCTCCCCTAAGACCCCTAGCAAGTACTGGCAGGATATGAAGGCCAACGGAAGCAGTGTCCAACAGATCAAACACTTGCTCGTTGTAGATCTCCAAGAATGACGTCTTGCACAGGAACTGCACCAGATCACCACGCTGGAAACCGGTACAGATACACAGAAAACAGAGATCACACCTTAGCCAGCTCCAGGAGAGTCAAGTCAAAGTCAAATGTTGTGACACAAACGCCAGCTTTACTCTCAGTCCATTAGTGAAATAGGCAGGTTCACTGATGATACGAACATAATGGGATGGGTGGACCTACATGCTATTAAAATTTTTTTTTAATGTCACGGTTCGCATACGACTAAGACTGAGTTTTCCCAACTTTTCCGAATCCATAGGAACGCCGCCACTCCCAAAGATCAAGGCGCAGATGAAGCTCCTCAGGCGGTAAACACCCGAGTGGATAAACAAGGCTCTCCTCGGTCACCCCAAGGTGTCTTTTCCAGCACGGAATAGCCATGCTGCGCAGGCCTACATGGCACATCAGAAGACCTGCAATGCCGACGTGGTGTGTCCAGCGTAAACGGCAATCATGACGCTCCTCACCTTCTGGTGCTCGCGATTGATGAGCGAGAAGAGGTAGTCAAGTGTGCGCGGGATCACGCCGCGCAGTTTCATGCTCAGCTGACCGTCGTCGGACGGACCTGACACAGAGAGGCACAATAGAAACCGCAAGCACAGAATATAAACTCAACACGCCAGGAAACTGAAGCCTGCACAGCCGGTTGTCAGCATCGTCTACGACTGTAATGAAATAAAATAAAAAGAGTACAATAAGTCCACGTTCCCCGGCACAAATCAACCCAATCCTAACTAGATTGACACCGCAGAACAAGGTAGACCGGCGGGCCATAGTAAAATTCACCAGGCTGTACTTTCCCGGGCGACCTTGGGACTGATCAAGTGCAATAAACATGGAAGAGCATGCATGCGCTGTTTCTTGAATGGCATGTTTGCAGTCAGTTTGATCGAGCCCCAGCTAGGCGAGGGCATCGCAGGACTGTCCACTAGTATGCTACGTAGTGCTCACCAATCATTGTGAATGTTTTGCCGGATCCTGTTTGGCCACTGCAGCAAACAAAGCACCAGAAATAGCAAGTGAGACAGAGAAGAAGATATCAGCAGACAGCTGGCAAAAAGATGTGATTACATTGTACTCGAAGTGGGTTACAGTGAGCTCTGCATCCCACCCGCCTGTGTGGATTCACTGGGTCACGGCTTGCAAGTGACTTCTTGGCCACACGCGTGCATGTGTTTGCATGTTGTGTGATAGCACATATACGTACATGTACATCCACGCACGCACATGTACACGTACACACACGCACACACACACACACACACACACACACGCGCGCGCGCGCGCGCGCACAGCCACACATGCGCGAATGGCCACGGTCGGCCGGACCACTTACTATGCAAAGATCGTGCCATTGTATCCTTGCATACAGCTCTCGACAATTGTGCGACCAACAACACCGAATACCTCCTCCTACACACAAAGGAGAAACAACGGCAGGAACGCACAACAAGCATGATCAGCATTGCCCCTGGCAGGATGAAAGATGATACACGCAAAGGAATGATACCGAAAGATACAGTACAGATAAGAAGCACATGTACAGAAACAGATGTGCCTGAAACTAATAGAACTACAGTTCCGGTTGGCCACCGGCACCCTGAAAATTCATTTTGAACTACATCAATTAATTTTCAGTGAGTGTACTCAGAAAAAAGGTTAGAATTTCAAGGCAGTTTGGTCACTCAACCAGTCACACGCATACGGCGGAGATTTCACTATAACATGATTCTACATCACACATCAGTACTTTGGGTGAAACAGTGCTTGAACATCACCAACCTGTGTGGTTTGTGGCCCTGCTACACGGTCGAAAGTGAACACCTTGGGCTCAGGCTTTGACAGCATGGTGACCGAATTGAGCGAGTCGACCTGCAGGCATTCCTGCCGATCCAGGTCGCTGCTGCCATCCGTCCCGGACAGGAACGGACGAACACGTACAAACACCTTGATTGAGTCATCACTGCAGTGCACACACGGAAGCGCAGAGATTACAAACAAGGACGCCACACACACACACACACACACACACACACATACACACACACACATGGGCATATGAGTACATGTGTTCACTCAAACACAGACACACACAGGCACGGCACGTCCGCGCAAGTTTTGAAAACACAAAAATTCAAATAATATACAGCTGTGGATATTGGTGAACGCTAGTTCACATCACTCTGTGTACATGTTGAATAATCTCATCTGTATTCGGCTTTCCAATGATGAAATATATCCTAGTCAACCTGAGAACATGTTCATAATCACTAGTATTATGCATTGGGTACAAGGCTGCAGCACAACGGAATTTGGCCGCTGGCGTAGTGTGATCTAGTCCTTTACTTTAGCTACTGTCGTGGACATTGAAATCCGTTGAGAAGTCGAGCGGTCACGGGACGCTGGCCTTGCAATCGTGAGCACTGCCGGTCCATTCTTGCAGTGTGGACGTGAACTACAGTGTGTGTGTACGCGCTAAGACAGAAAGGGCGACGACCCCAGTCATTCCACCAGATTTCAATGTCCATACAGGGGCGTCGCACACGGTACGGTCACTACGGTATTGACCGTACCACTTTTTGCCCCAGATCTGCAGATACCGCGTGAATCAACAAAATACACTGATCTGGGATCTAAAATTCCAAAATTTTCGGCTCAGCCCCCCACGAGTAAATTGTACTTCAGATGGCTGACCGTACCACACTAAAATACCTTCCGACGCCCCTGCCATAACAGTATCTGTTGGCCTTTCAATATGCCCTCTTGTTTTGGTGGAGCATTTTCTACGTGTTCAGTCGTGATTCAGGCTAATGTTAATGGGCCTCCACAACGCATGCTGCTAGCTAATTCACGAAGCCCGAATTTCATTGAGCAGCATTGCAATTTGCCTGGTGGTAATTTGCAAAGCACTCTCCATTGGTGGGTATTGCTGACGCTTTGGTGGGCATGTTCCATAGGATTTTAGGCATTGAAATAGGCACTACAAGCGTGCATGGAGTAAGGGTGAATCTCTTATGCATTGGTGACCGGTGAGTTCAATCTCAACAAAATAATAACTTTCAAATTTTAATTGCTTCAGAGTACTTTGAAATCGTTCGAAGGTGCTAAGTATCGCACCGGTTCCAGATACGAGTACGGAACCGTCACCAAAACAGTACCTATGTCCTCCAATTACCTTCCGTCAGGTTGATCTGCAGATCACCACAGCCGATGTTTCCAAGAGGAGCACGTTTCGCATGGAACACATGAACAACACAAAAAGACATGCTTCACTGATTGAGGATTAGCACACGATCAGAAGGTCATCCGCCATATCTCTCTCCCTAGCTCTGTGTCTGACCTGGCATGGTGGACGACTAGCCCCTATACACAACCCTCATATCCTTGAAGCATCGGCCTCGATGGTGCAAGATTGGGAAACTATTGTTACACGTAAAGGTTTGTCATGACTTATTCCCCAATATGAAACAAATAGTTGACAGAGTTGATCCACTTTCCCAAATCAAAAGCCACCGATCGGTCGTCGACTTTTTTCAACCGTCGTCGCGCTCACGGCTCAGCGACCCATTTGACGGCCGCCGAGTTTGATTCTACCGCGCTTCCTCATGAATAATTGACGCCAAAAATTAAATAATTATTTGCCGGCCGGCTCGACATGCATTTTATTTGCCTGATTTGGGAAATTATTTTGCAGTGATCTACGCCTGAGTATATAGACCCTTTGCATATGCGGCCAAAAAGGCTGCGTTTTGTACGCCACGCGTCATACCCATGACTCACCATTGTCACGTGCACGGTGTTTCTTCAAAATGGGACATGTCGTGAACATGGTGAAGGAGATTGAATGTTTGGCAATTGAGAATGCCACTTTGACGTCCATATTTTCACTTTCATCGTGCTCTACCACTGGTCTGTATTGATTGTTATGATGGACACGGAGCCTGTAGTCTCATCTGACCCACTGCAGCCAGTAGTTACCCCCAAGTTATCTGTGTATGCCGAGAAATTGGATTCCATTGGGAAGAAACGATATGAAGAGAAATTGTCTTTGCTTTCTGGATTCGACCCAATGCTGGGCGTTCCTCGTGGTGCGAAACCTGTTGAGCCGTGTGTGGAAATGTCTGACCTTATGTCCTACTTGGTCCATGAAACGAGTTTCTGCTCCAAAAAGCAGTTTAAAGCAAAGAAGGGCCTTGACGCATATAACCAGTTCGTATCAGGTTGGGTGAAGGAAGTGAAGTCGTTCGAGTGCTGCGGGAAACATGTCACTGTAGCACGGGTAAGAGTTTTGTTCATCACAATAAATAATCACTCTTCATCGGTAACACTAGTATGGCAGAACTGACAAAACTGAATCTGCTGAGTTGGCTATTTACTCCTGATTAGTATGTGTGTATGAAAGTGGTTCAAATTTTGAACTTATAGGGGAATAATTGATAAACAAATTTCAGCACATGTACTAGATGCGCCACTTACTGTGCCATGAGATTGTGACTTGACGTAGTACTTACTATACCCTTCTTGCGGACATGTCCAGGGCTATATTTCTCAGTATGCATATGTACAAATTATTCCAAATTGTTGGTGAGTGATGAACGTGCATTCCATGTGTTCCATGTGCTCCATGTCTCTCACAGGTCCGTCACTCACAAAGGTTCAGCGAAACACCACTACACTGTTGGCTTATCACAGACCCCGATGGTGTTGTCTGCTGTGCGCACTGCAACTGTATGGCAGGCTTGGGAGAAACGTGCACACATGTTGCTGCTACTCTGTTTTTCCTGGAGGCTGTTCATCGGCATAAGGAACCCGCCGCGACCGTAACTGGAGTGCCATGCCAGTGGAAGGTCCCAACCTTTCAGAAGGAAATGGAGTATGCCAGGGTAGCAGACATTGATTTCTCGTCGCCTCAGCAGAGGCAGGAAGCACTTGATCGAGATGTGTCACCTCCCCCAAGCCCAAAGCGCCTCTGTGTGAAGCTACCCTCAGACGCCGAGAAGAAGTGCTTCTATAAGACCCTTGCGTCCCTGAAAACGAAGCCCGCCGTCCTGTCCGTCATCAAGCCTTTCCTATCAGGTTATGTACCAGCATCAACTTCACCCACCCTCCCGAAGCCACTGAATAGCCTTTATCAAGAGGAATGCCTCGCTATGAGCCATGAGCAGCTTCTTGATGTGTGTGCACAGAGTAATGTGGACATAAGCGAGAGGGAAGTGGCAGCTGTTGAGACAGCTACAAGGATGCAATCTGGCAGCAGAGTGTGGTTTGAACAAAGAGCCGGCCGTGTGACGGCTTCCCGAATGTATGATATATGTCACACATCTGCGCAGTCTCCATCCAGGAGCCTCATCCAGGCTATATGCTACCCCGATCCTCTGCCAAAGGGTGCTCCCTCTACACGCTGGGGACAAGAACACGAAGGCCCTGCACGGGAGCGGTACACTGCTATGATATCTGCCAATCACATGAATTTCGAGGTGTCTGATTCTGGTTTAGTCATCAGCAAGGAGCTGCCATTCATCGCTGCCTCACCGGATGGCATTGTCCAATGTGATTGTTGTGGATCCGGTCTGGTGGAGGTGAAGTGCCCTTATACTCATCGGGGGACTCCATTGGATTCGGCTTCCCAGGACAAGAAGTTTTGCCTGGAAATGGTTGGGAGCAAGTTACAGCTCAAGCGGACTCACGCTTATTATTTGCAAATCCAGACCCAGCTGTATGTTACGGGAGCAGATTTCTGTGATTTGTGTTTGTGCCTCTTCTCTGAGGATGGCAAGAATGATTTACATGTTGAACGCATCTACCCGGACTGTGATGCCTGGAAGGACTTCATTACAAAGGCGAAGAAGTTCTTCTTTGGGTGCATCTTGCCAGAGCTCGTTGGGAAATGGTATACGTCCAAGGGTGCTCGTCTTAGTATTGGCACTACCATGGGCCCTCAACAACCACCACCAATGTTGTCGCCTGCCAGAGAAGCCACATCTTCCTCGACAGTCCAAATGACGACGCAAAGCCTCTCTCTTCAGTCAGCTGCGAGCATCGCCCAAGTCCAGTATCCGATGGCGTCGAGTCTGGCACTTCATTCGCCGTCAATGGTGAAGGCCTGCTGCAAGAGTGGATGCTCCTATTCTTTAGATCTTCGTCCTTGCCGCTGTGGTCACCACTTTCATCATATATGTACGACTGATGAGGATGGAAAGCTGTGTGCTTGCTGTTATACAGCGTACCCCTTTTTATAGTCATTGACGTATTCGTCATTTTGTGTTATTTATGGTGGTAGTGCCACTCATTAACCACTATAGTTTCCCTTGCCACTGGAAATGACCTTAGCATATATAGCTCGCGCGTGTGTGTGTGTGTGTGTGCGCGCGCGCGCGCGTGTGTGTGTGTGTGTGTGCACATGTGTGTGTGTGTACGTGCGTGTGTGCCTGTACGCACAATGAACGAACAGCTTTTCGCTATCATTGCTGTTGCAATGGGCAAGTAACGGGTGTGTGTATGTGTTTATGAAGAAGGATTCCGGTTGTATACCCCAGTGACACAGTACTCTCTTGGCTCCCTGGCCCCTAACTACTGTACTGCGGGCATGACCATTACAAGTTAGTCTAGTAGGATGTTTTTGTTTATAACCTGAGAATGTGGAGAGCATGAACGCGAATGTTTTCTGATTTTCTGAATTTCTTTGCTAAATTTGATTTCTTCTTTGCCTGCCTGACGTACGAGTAGTAGTTTTGTACAAGTATCTCTCCACATCTGCTAATATTAGTCCGTAAAAGCGGCATCCTTCCTTGGCTGTTCCCCAGTCCAATACAATACCACTACCTCACAAAGCATTGTGTTTGCTTGTCTCAACCATGCAGGGAGTGAAAATATATCCCATGCTCTGCTTGCTGTATATTGAAGTCAAGCGAGAAGTAGGTATTGCTGCATGCTAAGAAGCCCCTGGTGTATTGTCACAAGCTAACAATACAGCGGATATAGGGACAAGATTTTGAGGCCCGGAGGCATGTCGTTGTAACCAATGTTGTCTGTACATGTATGTGGGACACAAGACGAGTAAATCGTTATAAATTTTTTCAAACTGTATCTACGGGACTGCATGGCAGCTCTCAGATTGCGGGATAAGATCAGAAGATACAAGCAACAGAGGAAAAAGCCCACAGCCAACATGTTCGGTGTCTCCGCTGTCACCGTGAACAAATCAAGTGAAGCGAAAAAAGATCATGATATGGCAGTGTCATTACAATAGAGGTAACTTGCAAATCTGGAAACTGTAAAAAGGACAACTGTGATTTCAGCAACAACAAAACACACACACACACTCTACAGCCATCACGTTCGGGCTCTCCACCGTCTCCGTGGACAAGTCAAGTGAAGTCGAAACGGGTCATCGGCGCAGGCAACAGGTGTAGTCACTCGAAAGGCACAACCGAATCACAGAGATTGGTCAGGGCACAACATACAGGAATGATACGGCAAATCAAAGGTCGGTCATCTCCAGAGCGACTACGCAGGAAATCAATCGGCAGTATTCCTCGCAAAATAGAATATTTCTTGCGGAGATTCCCAATAACTCGTTCGACGTGGATGCGCACGTTTGCGATGCTGCGGGTGGTATGCACATCATCGGCCGACAGTTGCTTCTTACCCCTTGTGAACGCTGGGATGTGGAGCTTGGCTCCCTGCACGGCAACTAGCTCCTGGATGTCAAAGCCACGGTCTGCAAGGACAATGTCTCCAGGTAAAAGGTTTGACAAGAACTGAGAGTGCTGGGTTAGATACTTGTCACTGACGCGCCCGCCCCACGGCTCGGAGATGAAGGAGATGACACCTTGCGGGGTGATCCCAATCAGCACTTTAATTGTGTTATGTTGTTTGTAGTTCGACCATGTCTGGGCACGGGTGTACAAGTTTGAAGGCCTGTCTATGAACACTTCGAAGCAGTCGATGATTGATGACACTTTCACGCCAAACGCCTCCCTGAAACAAACTGGTGTTGTCGCTTGTAGCTCCTCCCTCCCTGGCCAGACAACCAAATGTGATAGTCGACGGTCCATGGCTGTATACCATTTGGTAAGAATGCGGGAAATGGTGCCAGCCGATACACCCATCCGATGGCCCAGGTCTTGTAATGATGAGTCCAACCGTAACTTCACAAGGGCAACAACCATCTCTTGAAACGGGGACAAGGCACAGCCAAATGAGTCTGGCATTCCCTCACGCACATGCTCGTACACAGCCAGTAACATCTCGAAGGTTGGCAAACCCGTAAAGAACCGCACATCGCTATCATTTTGCAACTTGGCTTGCGTGAACGGCGCGTGACTGGCCAATTTGCCTTCAAGCACCTTGTATTCCGCTGTCAGCTTGGTCAGCCTATCTTGCAAGCCCTTGTTCTCTGTAGATAGCCTGGCCAGCTGCACCTGGACGTCCAAGTTGTTGGAGCTAGCCGTTGGAGCATGGAGGGAAGAAGGTGAGAAGGTGGCTTCCGTTAAAGATTGAAAGGCAAATGTTATATCATCACCAGATAACAACGTCCCCACGCATTTGTCATTGGTGTCCTTACTGCCTTCTTCAGAAAAGTCTAGCTCTTGAACCAGCTGGCCAGGTGGAAAATTGGATAAATCCATGCTCTCCTCCACAAGGACGTCACTCTCATCATCAACATCATGTGGCGGTGACAGATCCAAAGCAGCAGGCCCAGCATCAGGTGATGGTGGTGGTTGTAACGAGGCAACGCCAACATCACACAGATGTGGCGGATCATTGACATCCAATGAAGCTGCAGCCTCTGAATGGGCCTCCTCCACTCTCTGTCTGGCTTTGCGACGGGCATAACGCTCCACTACCTGCTCCTCACTCGCCTTCCTTTTGCCAGGACCAGGCAAATTCTTCGAAGGAACCCAATCTGGGTTTGTTTTGTCCCAGAGTTCAGAAGGGCGGCCGGAAATGAAATGATCGCTGCAAACACGAGCATCATCCAATGTCTTCCCAACTAGGTCTGCTCTGGCTATCGCTGCAATCCACAGCCGTCGCCTCTCCTTGACCAGTTCGATGTCAGCACTTTTCGTTTTCGAGTTCACATTGGGAAGAGAAAACCTCTTGATTTTATCTCGACCCGTCCGCTTCGTACAGCGGGCAATAGAACATATACCCATCACCACAATGGACACAGACTACAGAAATGCAAAAAGCGGACTGCTTGGCAAGGAACAAGCGCAAGAAGAAGGGGAAGAAAACTCTAATATCAATTTGAAAACAATTTATTATAATCGAGGATGGGACATGTCCCAAGTTGCTTCCAACCTAGCACGGGTCCCTGACGTCATGATAATGATGACATAATGCGTACGCTGTGCAAAGGGTCTATACAAGCCTTGTTCTTTTCCTGCAGTGTTGTGTCCTTTGTCAGTTTTGAGGATGAAGACAAGCACGAACATGACTCAATGCCATAACAGTACAATCATGACTGTAGTTCAGTCTTCTGTCTCGTCCGGGAGAAGAACATGGATGGTGGATTACAGGGTAACAGTGCACCATGGTGTACTCTTACAATGTAGGTCTCGACAAATCTGAAGATTCAAGAAAGTAGCAGGACCAATCCATCCCCCTCCCCGACCCCTCTCTGCTTCTCTCCATCACATACAAGTTCATACAACACGAAACGTCAATGTTTTCTTTCCAAGAACTTGAAAAAAAGACGGAGTAGCCAGAATAGCTGAAGCGTACAGGGAAATGTTGAAGTGGTTTGTATTCAATAAATACTAAAGAGGTAACTAAAATATATTCAAGCATTACCTAGAAAACGGCTCTGAAGATCTCAACTTCAAGGATATCAGAATATCGGTAATAAGAAATTGTATGAAAATTACATGTCTTTCCCTCAAACTAGTCAAGAAAATTACATGACGGAATATATAGTTTGGATTCCACTGAAACAGTTTTCTAAATGTTGGTCATGCGCGCTGAAAGAGCGCCTAGAAACGAGAGGTGTCTCTGCCGAAGATGAAGGACTTGAGCCAGTCCATTGGGACCTGCATGCGGAGGCGCCAGCTTCCAAGCCGTGTGGCGTACGCGAGTCTCCATAGTACCCACGCACTGTGACCTGGTTAGAGAAAAGCAGGGGCACACACACAAACAGACACACGGGAGGAATTAGCAAAAAGAAGACTACTTACACCACTACGAACAAGAAAAGCACACACACACACGACCAACAACTAGATGTTCAGATGAACTAGTGGTGAAACGAATATACCGAATATTCGAATGTTCTTTCGGCTTGTCACATTCGAACGAATATTTCTCATGGCGAATATTCGCTAACTGGGTATGCAGAGTTTACCCGGAGACTTCAAACTTCCGTAACTTCGCGAATACTTGACCGAACCGCTTCATCGAAAGTCCCATCGGCATTAGAAAACTCTCAGCTGTCGTCTCGGAGCAACCCGTATGCGATCCGAGGTCCTGAAACGGAGTTATGGCGGTCGAACGAAAAATCAGGTCTTGAGCTGTTTTTTTGAGCGTGTAAAATGCACTTCAGCTGGGGATTTTGTGAAAATTGACCTAGAAATGGTGGAGAAATATGTGCCTTTGTTTGTCATGCCTAATAATAGTGACAATATCCAATAAAATGACTGAGAGGAGGGCGTGTGATGTCATCCGTGTTAAAGGGGAAGTTAAGGCAAAAATTAAAATTTCACCAGTTGTAGTCTTCGGGGTGCTGAGTCGAATGGTCTTGGTCCGAGGAAGCTGAGACGCTCCGTTCCTACTTGAATCCCAATCGAACTCGCGCACTTCCACCGAAACTGGGTGACTGCGCCCTACTAGATGGGGATTTGTATGCAACATGTCACTAAAAGCGCCATTTCGTTCTTATAAAAGCATGGATGACCGCGATTGGCCCATATGTTGTAGTCTTTTGGACGCTGAGTCGATTGGTTTTGGTCCGAAAAGGCTGCGATGCAGCGTTCCTCCTTGTCACTCGAGTTGAACCTTGGTGTGAAAGTTGTCGCCTGCTGGCGTGGTGACCAGGTGATTTGGGCACCCAGGAGCACGTGACCGCTTGTTCAACCATGTTCGATTGGGAATAAAGGAGGAACGCTGCATCGCAGCCTTTTCGGACCAAAACCAGTCGACTCAGCGTCCAAAAGACTACAACATACAGGGGCGTAGCGCCCGCTACGACTGGTACGACCATGGCCGTACCACTTTTCGAAAAGTGTGGTCCGTCCGGAACGTGCAAAACCGTAATAAAAAAATCAGGATCCATCGATATGCATATGCGCATCAGACTTTGACCTTTTTCTAGACTCGTACTCGTAGATCTGTTATGCATCAGCAGTCGTACGGAGTAGTCTACGTACTCGACTCGACTGCACACGTACACTGCGCCAGAAGTGTGCCAGAAGTTCCCAGACCGCAGGATTTTGTGTCTTTTTTACAAAAATTTCCGCCGACCTTTGGTCGTACCACTTCCAAAACCCCTCCTACGCCCCTGACATATGGGCCAATCGCGGTCATCCATGCTTTTATAAGAACGAAATGGCGCTTTTAGTGACATTTTGCATACAAATCCCCATTTAGTAGGGCGCAGTCACCCAGTTTCGGTGGAAGTGCGCGAGTTCGATTGGGATTCAAGTGGGAAGGGAGCGTCTCAGCTTTCTCGGACCAAGACCATTCCGACTCAGCACCCCGAAGACTACAACTGGTGAAATTTTAATTTTTGCCTTAACTTCCCCTTTAACGAAAAAATATTCGTTCGTTCGTTAAGCCAAAGAATATTCGGCTACTGGGTTTTGATATTCGTTTCACCACTAAGATGAACTGCTGACATAACAAGCACTCCCATCCCCAATGTCCTCAGAACACACACCAAGCAAAAATGCACTTACCGCTCGCCTTGAAGAACGAGAAGTTGGACAGGGCACGGTACTCGCCAATATAGGCCAGCATACCCAAGTTGTTGAAGACAAATGGCTTTACCTCCTTGCCTTCTACGCGCGCTGAGAGTGACTTAGCAAGATACCGACCAGCACGCTCCGCAGCCTGCAAATTCGCCACAGAGAAAACAGCAAAAAAGAAGAGGACACAATCACAGCACTTTCAGAAACTTGAAAAAAAGAAAAAAAAGAAATCATGAACGAAAAACAGTCTACAGTCATGTATTTGTATTCAAAAAGCATGTTCACTATTGAGCACAGTTGACATGAATCAGCAGCAAGCAGCCACAAGTGGTGAAAGCATGTGTTGGGAAATTTACCTGGGCAGTGCATGGCAGAGAGCTGTGTTTGACATCAGCACAGTCACCCAGAGCATACACGTTCCTGCACGGGTTCTCTCCGTGACAGAGCAGCTCAGAGTCCGTAACCAGCTGCAGGCAAAACAAAGATACAGAGCGGAGCTGTTATACTGAATTAGGCACGAAGTAACATTGCAGGGCCTGTGCCAGGGCCAAATGGTGTTGTCTAAGCACAGTTGGAGTACATTGTGCTGTCAAAATATTCCTAACATAGCTCTAGGCTAGATAGAACAGAAATAGTCCTGGAGCTTTGAAAACACCGGATAGAGGTTGGCCAGGCCGCCGTGCACTCTTGGGGATATGTACTCATGCTATTTATTACTGACCTGTCCACGTCCATTCTTCTCGAAGCGAACACTGTTTGTGAATTCCCTGTGTACAAAGAAGATCGACACAAGATATGTGACGATGATGCCAGACACTCGAGTCAGCGGGAGAGAGAAACACTGAACGCAGGACAGCTAGAAAATGCATCATAACTACAACACACAACACAGATAATGCACAGAGGATTTACTCACCGCGGTGCTAGTCCAGTTGACCATACAACCAGTCCAGAGGGGACGATCGTTCCATCAGAAAGAGTGACACTGTTGGCATCCACTCCTGAGGAGCACGAATTAAAACCAAGCAAAACAGCCTAAGCAGAAACAATCATGACCAGGAAGAGAGCAAGGTCTGGGCACTAAATAACTGCAACAAATATTAAGTCAAGCGTAGCATCTCTACAATGCGATAATAACCATGCAGATCCATAGGTATTTATACATACCCAGGGCTGCATCATTCTGAAGAAGGGGAACTCTTGGTGAAATGGCTTCACCGCAGCAAATACGCCACAGATAAAGACTTTCTGACTGCTTATTACCTTGGTACAGTCGTGGATAGTTGCTTCATAACTCATTCCCTTGTGTTTTTCTATTTTTAGAACAATAACGTTTGAAAATATCCTCTTACCGATACTCTGTCAGCACATCTAAGGAAATTGTCTAAGCAAACTCCGCTCAGAGAAATCACAAAGAATGCAAAGACGTACACTGTGCAAAGCCTCAACAGTACATCCGGCCAACTTACTGATGACTCTGTCATGTACAAGTTCCATTTGACGACGTTCGTTGATTTTATTGGTAGCGTAGGTTTGAAGGTCATGATCAAATGATGGAAGAATTTTCATGGCTTCTACTATTGTTACACGTACATGTTGTGTTTCAGAACGGAACAGGCGACGGACATCCTACAGGAAAGTTTATAAAGAAAAGAAAAGAAGAGAGGATGACATTACCAGTTGATCACTCCAAAAACAACTCAATATTCTTTCCCTTGGAGTGGATGTGCTAGGATTCAGAGTCATCGTGTTTAAAATGAGGGTGAAGGCTGGCGATGACCAGCCACACACTTGTTTGTGTGTAGCCAAGGACTTGGTGTGGCTGTGTGCGCTGGAAGGCCAATACGAAGGTACTAGTACATGTATATCAGACAGTTGCCAGGCACGAACGTGCAAGTAAAAAGGAATTTGTCGCTATCCTGCCCCCCCCCCCCCCATAAAATCCCATGGTACACAGAAAATCTGGCAAGGAAGATAGCGGACGTGACACAGGTCACTCGTTCGTAGTGCCGGCCAAAAAGGCATACACGATGTTACTGCTCAGCACCACAAACACATAGCTGCTTACCTCTTGCACAAAGTCGTACAACTCCGCACCAAACTCAATACCTGTTGGACCACCGCCGACAATGACAATGTGAAGCAAGCGCTTTTGCTCGGCTTCTGAAATTCCAGGTCGAACCGAGATCTCAAAGTTTCGCAGAATACGGTTGCGGATGGCACGGGCATCAGCAACTTCCTGCAAGTGCAAAAAAGCACAGCAGTACGTGAAACCAAACTGATAAAATATAATGAGTAGTTAATGACACATGCAGTCACGCACATCACGTGATGCTTGACAAAACAGAGACAGCCACAAGGCCCAGGTTTACCCAAGCAGCAGGAAAGCCGGAGTCCTCCCATCCACTCATTGAGAAATGTGGAGAATCATGAATGGAACAGAAGGCAATCAAAGACAAACAAATACTAGTACACAGTCACCCTGCAGCGGCGATGATGCATCAATCACTGGCTTCATTCAGCAGTGCACTGTCATCAAGATTCGAAAACACGCCATGAAGTGCCGCAGGCACCAAGCCTCCGTATTTACCTTCAAGAAGAAGGCGTGTTCGTATACGCCCGGTGTTCCAAACGTGTTGGGGACTGCACCACAAGCAATGATCAGCTGGTCGTACTTCACTTCGTACTCTCTGATGTTATTTGCATCCAAAGCGTTCCGGCACTTCACCACGTTCCTGTGTACATCAACCCCAGTCGCCTCGGCGAGATGAAAATGCTTCTCATCTCGGAACCCGGCGTTCCGAACTGGCTCGATGATACTGCGAAACTCCAATGTACCAACCGTTGTTGAGGCCAGCAGTGGCGTGAAGAGGAAGTGGTTTCGGGGGCTGATTACGGTCACATCAAACAGTTTCTTGTCAACATTGCGAAGAACACTGTAGCCTCCCCAACCTGTGCCGATAATAACTAGCTGTTGTCTACCCTGTCCAGGAGCGAAAGACTGGGCAAGTTCACTCTCCCATCGGACCTGGGATGGCACGCGCAATGCCACACGTCCAAGTTTAGAAAGAGCCATTCTAGAGTAAACCCTCCCGTTCTGAGGACCTGCCGTAAAAGCAGTAACCCTGTCGTCGGTGAGGGTGTTCTTCTTCACAGGAGAACGACAGGTCCAGTCGTTTTCCGCATGGTACGGGTCATGTCAGCGTAGAACAGTCTCCTTTCCAGCTCCGCGCAGTCCGCGGCCCCGCGGCTTCGGCTCCCCCTGGTTTCCATGGCGAAAATGGCCGCTGCGACTTTTTTTGAAAAAATCCCAACCGCCACTACCATGACTACCGCAGCTGTCCACGGCCACCCGGGCCGTACCAAGGCCCCCCCCCCCCCCCCCTACTGGCCCTAGCCCTAAGGCCTAACGGCCGCCGGTACTCTACTAGTACTACCGCATCATTCATGCCCGCTATAGCCGCTAGGCATTGGCGGATAATGCTCGAAAAGGGGGCAGATTCTGCTCGAAAAGCAGTGAACCATACAAACCTTCAATTCATACCAAACAAGCATGAAACTTACCAGAAAAAGTACCAAATTCTGCCAGTTTTCCGCAGGCTGCCAGCAATATCCGCATATGCCTAATGCCCGCGCCCCTGCCATGCCATCGTGTAGGGGGATTATCAAATTTACATGTACATGTACATGTATCATGATCATGACCCAAATAAATTGCAAAGGCAATCATGAGTGGTACCTAAATCAAGGGGTGGATCCTCACCAAACACAGAGCAAAGAGCTCAGTTCAGGGAGTAGTAAAGTTTTTAAAAAAAAGTAAATTATCGTGTCCGTTCCCGAAGGGAACTCACGACGGCCGCTAACACCCGGTAAACCATTTCAGGGAGTAGACCTACCTGCAACTCCAGGCAGTCGTAAAAGGTATTTTTTGCGACTCTTTGCTCCAAACAGATCAAATTTTGGGTGGATCTACTTGTACTCTTGGTGGGTTTTTTAATTTTTATATTCGATGTATTTTCAAAATGCGTGAAACAAAAACAGAATTATGCCAAAATGAAAAAATGGACCGATTTCTGTCAATTGGATTGTATGATTAGCCACGAAATAATACGGCAGCGCGAAAATAAGAAAAACAAAGGAGAAAACTCTTGGTGTACTATAATTAAGCAAAGACCACATCAAAATCGTTGTTTCTCTTCCAAACCTCCCTCTTATGGAACTGCCTCCCACCAAGACTAACTGCAGAACCATCCATTATTGTTTTCAAGAATGAGCTTCTCAAACTCACTTGCAAACATAGTGCTTCGCTCTCCGGTATGCCTACGCCATGTACATAACCCCCCCCCCCCCCCTGTGTGCTCCCCAACGCATTCACGCTGCACAACTTTCCACTACTTTCACTTTAGCTCATACATGTACATCCTTCAAAGCGGTGAACCCCTTGATAGGCGACAAGCCTCTGGGTCATCCTAATAAAGTCGTTTAAGATATATTATTATGTAGTCTGCCATGGTCTACAGTCCCCTTCAGGCCTGGTACGGTCGATGACTGACTCAAGTCATCACGTGTGGATAGAAGCAGGAATATGTCTGCAACTACAGTCGTGCCCATGTACATGGTAGGTGCGTAGCCCGCACGGGGCACAACCCCCCCCCCCCCCCCCAACACCACCACCACCACCAAAAAAATCAAACTATGTAGGTCAATCAGCATGCACGGCATGATGACCATGATGACATGCACCAGCCATTCTACACGCATGATAGTACATGTACCGTAAGTACCGCCAGAGCGCCCCATGGCCCACCATCTCGTCCTTTCGTGGCCGCCTTGTGGAGGTGGATTCCTGCCTGTAGGTCATACGACACGGACCTTGTACAAACATAATCAAAGTCATTGCACATGTGGAGTCAATCCGTACCCAGTTTACCTTCGAGCTCCACATAAAAGCATACCAAGTGTGAACTTAGTACACGAAGGTTCTCACATCGTACAAACTTGGTAGCATTTTGCCATACGATTTTCTTACCTTGGCTGTAAAATCAAGGTGGGGCGCTCTCGCAAGACGGGGCGCTCTGGCGGTACTTTACGGTACATATACAGCTAGCTAGCGAACTACGGCCGTGCAACCCCCCCCCCCCCCCCCCGGCTAAAAGGGATTTAAGGGGGGCCAGCTACGTACGCCCCTGATGTACATCACTATACTCGTCTACACAATTTGTACATGGTTATTCATTATGGTTATGTACTCTCGACGTACGATAATTAATTCTATGATTTTTTATCCTTCTGAGTGTATCCTCTACCTTCCCACCTGAGCTGTCTACATTGTAGTACCAGTACTGTACAGTACAATTGGAGATTAGACCTGGCATGCTGGATTGTGCACATTTTCATCCTGCACTGGCACTTATTGAATATATTGTGTACAGCAGTGCACGTGTCGGCTCCACGCCGTATTTCGTCGTATACGCTGAAGTCGCTTCACAGGCCGAAATTCGACAATGGGCGGAAATTAGAGAGGAAGCGGAGGATTAATGGTACTTTACGGTAATGGGTCATTCATGTTATTTATTATTCCATCTCGACTGAAATGGGTATCATACAATGTAGTAGGAACTCTTCAGGAGACTAAATCCCATACTCAAAAGCTGCCATGACGGCATAATATGTCAATGGCCCACAATGCGGTGTCAAGGATACAGAACACAACGGTACTGAGTTGTGAAGACATGCAATGCCTTTGCCTGCTCGGCCATCACATGCTCTTGAACTTCATGTCACCAATGACTGGCAAATGGTCCGAGCAGAACCGCACCGATGGAAGAGCTGTGTACTCTTTCACTGTTTCCTCACTCGGCATGGGCACGACCTTCTCAAGCTCGAACGCGCAATCCTCAAAGTAAACAAAGTCGAGGAGCGACACGAACGACTCTGTGAAGTTGGACCACGGCACAGACTCATGAGGTGCCACCGAGCCAAACTTCAACTCATGCTCACAGGAGTGCTCAATGACATCACGGTTGTCGTCACTGATCCGATTAGGATGGCTTTGGCTCAGCCTGCCGGTGGTGATGATGTCATGGACGGCTCGCTCGTGATTGCCGTTGAAATCGCCACACAGTAGCAGTGCTGGTGGCAGGGGACACTTTGTCCACTTGGCCACAGACTGCTTGTAGTCGGCCATCAGCTTCATGATCACAAATGACATGGCCAGACGCTGATCAGAAGCAACTGGATGATAGTACAAATGAGTATTCCCCACAATGATATCACGGCCATCACTCTTCTGCTGGAGATGAATAAGTTGCAGTGTTGTGTTTCGTGACTTGAACGCATTACGGATTCGGAAAGGCAGATGCTGGAAGAAATTAGCGCAGATCGGGTTCTCAAACAATTCCTCCTTGATAATAAAGCTCTTTGACTCCATGTGCGTAAACCGGTCCGTTCTCCACAGAGTGCTCATGCCCTCGCGTAACTCCTTCTTGAGTGCAGTCCTGCCATCATAGCCAGGCAAACTTGTCAGCACAGGCTGATGAAACCGCCGCTCCTCTACTTCCTGTAGGCACAGAATATCTGCGTTGTAAGCGGGCAATTCACGGCCTAAGATCATGTCACGATAATTCGTTTGCACACCTTTCACTTCGCAGTAGGGGTAGTTGTCGTTTTTGCCAGTTGGATCAACAGCATACATCTCACCCAGGATGTTGTACGACAATACACGCAGCTTGTCCGAGTCTACTGGATACGCCTCAGCAGTGTGCTTGGCACGCTCAACGTAGCCCAGTTGCCGGGTGTCTTTCTCCACAATTGTTAATGGTGATATTGTCACCGGCGGTGCATCAGGTAAACCTTCTGGCATGATTGGCCACACGGACAGTGAAAGTCTGCATCCAATATCTTCCTCGGTCGGCGTGTAATCTCTCTCAGTGCAAATTACCTCCTCCCGGGTTGTGCCATCATCGTTCGTAATCACTCGCCGCCACTCATAGCACAGCTGGTCAGGTTCACACTGCTCTGAATGTATGACCGGGTTAACATGTACGCCAACAGTAAGATAGCTCGCGAAGGAAATTCCAAGCACGCATGGAGGATTCACGGTCACTACGTGCTCAACATCACCTATTTTCAGCACGTCACCATTGTCGAATGCATGCACGTTCAATGTCCCTGGTTGCTTGGGCTCTCCATTTTTATCGTGCAGCTCAACAGGTAGTGCATCACCACCACTATTACCAGTGGCGACTGTGGATAGAAGACCGATGCGCTCAAGGGTCCCTTCAAACGGATCCGTCCGCACTCGGTTAATCATCCGGCTAGTTCCTCCAGACCTGAGAAATATGCTCACATACAATGAGCCCTCTGTGATACGAACAGTTACTGGCTCACTCCTCACAGTTGCAGGAGAGCACATCCATCTCAAAGAGGATGTGGTAGGTGGAAGTCCGAAGAGACGGAAGCCACGATGACCAAGGCGGGCAAGATTACCAGCCATGGTGGCGGTATCACCGTGAAAGTTCTATATCCCTCAGCTCAATTTCTTCTAGCTATTTTTTGTAGACTGATCCAAACATTTTTCATCGATTGCACATTTTGATTTCTATCGATATTTTTTGAAAAGAATATTTTCATGCATGCCGGCCACACAAACGACGTAAACTACTAAACAGACAAACAGAGAGAACTACAGTAGAAGTAGTTTATAATAGTTCGTGCATGCACGCATGCCCACGTGTATGGTTTCCATGGTCGCATGCAGCATTCAGAGTTCGTCTGGAACAGGGAAATTCCCTCCTGATGTTCAGAAAAGGGTGCATCTTGGAGGCGAATATTTTGATTTTGAGAATAGCTAGTTGAGAAACGCTGCTAGAATGGCCACAGCAGCAGAGGACCCTGAACTGGAAGGAGAGGAAGTAGAGTCGGGAGAGGATGAAGCAGCCAGTGTTTCTTATCCGCTGACAGTACCCTACTGCGGGAGTAAGCTTCAGACAGTTCCTGTTTTTTTTGAAATTCCAATGATGACCAAACAGATGTTCTTTTTGTTGTTGTCGTTGCTGTTTAATCCCTACGGTTCTATGATTGCTTGTATACAGTCTGCACACTTCCTATTGAGGTAAGATATCCTCCTTCCTTGACTGTACCTCTTGTGCCTTGGATTGTCAGTTGTACAGTAATTGTAGTAATTACCAGTATGCATGTTTTGGGGAAACTTGCAAATATTACTGGCACTCAATCTGTGGACAGCACTATTTCGTCCTTTGTGGACTCATCAGCAGAGCACAGGGACATGAAGCCAAGTGTGGTTCATGTGTAACACAGTGACACTACGCATACTACCACACAGGTGCCCATACAGCACATCACCTGGCAGGGGCGTCGCACACGCTACGATCACTGCGGTATTGACCGTACCACTCTTTGCCCTAGGTACCCCGTGAATCAATAAAAGACATGAAATGCAACGATTTGGGCTTTAACATGTTGAAATATTGCAGCGTCCCCGCCTCAAGTAAATCATACTTCAGATGGCTGACCGTACTACCCCAGAATACCTTCGGATGCTCCTGCACCAAGCAACACACTACAAAGTAGCACTGTGACACTTATTGGATGTCCCAAGAGCCAACAATGGAAAGAAAAATAACAATAAATTTCACGGTTCGCGAGTTTTCCGCATCGGCCGTGGGAACGCCACCACCCTCTAGGATCAAAAAAAAGAAAAAGAAAAAACATGAAGAAATTTAAGATGCATCCTACAGCTCAAGTTGGAGTGCCAGCAACACAAAAGAGCCAATGGACAGCAGGCGAGAACAGAAACGCATGTTGTGGCGGGATATCTATTATCCATAATGACCTAAACAACACGCTTTGCCAAGGCCAATTTTTATGTGTCATACAAGAACACAGCATAACTGCCATATCTGACAAAGAACTTTATTGAAAAGTCCATGATAATGTGATCCAGAAAGATGAATAGAAAAATCCAAAGTCAACCTGTCCCCACAGATTAACAAAATCCTAAAATTATGCGCATAATTATGCGGGCGAAAACAGGTTAAGTTACCCTTGCTACGTGACGTGAAATTTTGTCTGGCAGGATTCGGGTTTAGCTCGCACAAATATCAAATCTTCCAACAAACTCGATAAAACTCCGGAAACTAACACAAATTCGGTCGGGATAACCAAGCGAAACTTCCAAAAACCCACGTCATGAACTTACGTGCGGGACAGTCAACTCACGTAAAACACGTCAAATTTTACGTGAGTTTTTTCGCTTTTTGACGTAAAAGTTCACGGACGTCAGAATTTTACGTGAAACTTAACCTCTCTATTATGCGGCAAATATGCGGTATAAGGCCAAGTAAAAAAAAAGCTAGATGATCGTCCCCGTCCGCCCCAGTTTTTGTCAGCGCCCCAAGAAATATTTTATTTTTTAAATCGTGAGTTTTTGCCGAAATCGTTGGTTTTTTACCGATCGCGGATGCAGGAAACATGTGCACGCTTTGTTTAATACTTTCTTTACTATATGGACCACATACTACTAGTATATCACAACGTCAGTATCGATCTGCTGAAGAAAGAAAAAGAAAAAAAGAAAAAAAAAGAAAAAAAGAGAAAAAAAACCTTGATGTTGTTGTGTACACTGTGTGCATGAGAGGGTAAAAAGTAAAAAAATAAAAATAAAATCCTCCCGCCCTCCCCGATTTTTCCAAAAAAAAGGACGATCATCTAGTAATTTTTTTTACTCGGCCTAATGCGGTCATTATGCATGAGTTATCTGTCATTTGTACAACTTTAGCGTGCAGTTTCACGCAAGTATACAACGTTGTCGTACAAACTCGTGAACCGGTACGACTTTTTAGTACATTTTCAACACCATGTACTATTTTCTTCTACATTGCCATGAATAACGCGGGTTTTATGCAAATCTCTCGAAAACGCGGATGAAAGCCAATAACACGGAAAATTGCGCGTCCGCGGAATCGCGGTATCCTGTGGGGTCAGGTCAACGCATGCTCGAAATGAATAGAAAAATCCAAAGCCAATGCATGCTCACAGGCACATATTACTGAGTCGCAGTCACTACTATCATATCTAGGAGTACTGTATACTTTGTAGTACAGTGGAACTCGCTTAGGGGTCGTCGCAAAAGTTTTCTGTCGTCCCTGAAACGAACATCGTTCATTTCGTACTTGGACCTCCTCCCCTCCCTCTGAAACGAACACAGCTTGCTATGCTGAACGACGAAAATCGCATGCATGTACATGTCATATGTACAGTGTCAGTCGACTTGCGATTTTGGCTCGCACCTCCTCCCCCCCCCCCCCCCCCCCAAATGAATCATGTTCGTTTCAGGGACGACAAAAAACTTTTGCGACGACCCCTTAGTACGTACTCTGATAATACATACATGTACAGTTAAACATGTCCGTGCGGACACCTACTTCGAAGTAAGAAAAATGGACACCTGTAAAGCGAGGGCAGCTCGTCACAGTCCCATTGATTCTGTGTATATCTTAGTATGCGCGGACACTTAAAATAATGCTGTCACCTGTGAAATACTTGGTAATACCTGTGATGTAATACTACATGTAGTACTGATAGTCTCATTCGCTACTACAGTCAGACCTTGCATAACCGCGTACATCCGTTTTCCACAGAAACATCCGGATAGGCGAGGGAACCTGATAATCGAACACACAGTACTGTATATATGCGTGGCATATGCTGCAAATCGGTAACCATCGATTTTCTTCCGGATGGCGAGGGATCCGGATAAAGGAGGACTGGATAAGCGAGGTCTGACTGTAGTGGGCAATTCTCTGATCTTTCCTCATAGACCTCTCCCTCTCTGTTTGTTTTTTTCTGTTCCCCAGTATTGCGAGTTCACGGCAGACTATGAGAAATGCAAGGAGTGGTGGAAAGTGAACGAGCCAGACAGTTATACGAGAGTCATAGAACAGGGTAAGGGAAGAACATGCCTGTATATTGTGTTGCCCATCTCTTCTTTCTCATTGAAGTATGAGCTGGCGTGGCTGCATAGGTGTCATCATTAAAGGAGAACATGCTGTTGTGAATTCTGCATTCCCTCCGTTTAGCAAAGCTTTAATTTGAGAGATTATTCGTTCGAAGAAAACACCATTCGTTGCATCACTAGTATGCATGTCATTGTGTATTGTGTGCTTTTCCTGTATGTATTTTACTCCTGTATGCTTGTAGCTGATAATGTGTGTGGGTGTGTGGATGGGTGTTGTGCTCGATGTCCTATAGGTGCTGCTGATCTTTCTCTGGACGCTGGCGGCAAGAAGGGCAGACAAACAAGGGGTATGTCATTACCCTCTCCTGTCAACTGATTTATGTATGTGGTGTAGCTCGCTTGTCTGAGCAACACAAAGGAATTGCACGCAGTGGTCTTCGAGTTGATAGAAATATACCTCAGAGTTGTTTTTGCGGCATATTCTATTTCTCTCTCTCTCTCTCTCTCTCTCGCTCTAACTTCCACCAAACCAGGAGCCCTTAATTATTGACAAATGGCTTTGAAGTTGCATGAAAAGTCAAATTGGATTTCACATTATTTTCTCTGTTTTGTGTGCTTATTTGCTCCATGTGTTACCCGACTTGCATGTGTTTGTGCAGGCGGGAAAGCACTGAAGAAGACAAAGAAGAAGGTATGTGCCCTGCTGGAATTGTGTGCTCGCTGTGCTCATCCTGCTGCTGTTCCTGGGCTCAAGAACTTTATGTGTAGGATACCAGTACAATGCAGTTTTAAAACAAACAATGTTTTCTGATGATCGCTTAGTGCGTGAAACTCGGAGTAAAAACACTTTCTCTGTCCTCCTATTGTTTGAACCAGCTCTACCTCTCGGTATTGAGCACTCTCTTGGACAGCCTGGAACCTCTCTGTTTTACAATGCAGCTTTAGATTACTGAGTCCGCTGTACCTTTGTCCTGGTTGTAGTTGTGCTCTGTGTCAGGTGATTGCCTTATCAGTGTGGTCACCTCGATATAGGTTTTACTGTGTTTGTAGGTTTTTTGGTGCTGCACAGCCCCCGGCCCAGCACTGACTCACTCGATCGGCTTTCATTGAGCAACACTGCACTTTCTATTATTGCGTTTGCGTAGTGGAGAGTTCCACACAGCTTCATGCACGTACCGCGTCGACCTGTAGAGATGGAAATGGCTTTCAAAGTCTGAGTCCAATGGTGTCTCCTATTGTTTGTGCTATGGAGTTGTATGTGTGTATATGTGTTTGTATGCATGATTTGCAGGAGGTGGAAAAGCGAGTCACAGTTGCCCGTGCAAGCCGTGGCAAGAGAAAATATGTCACTATCATTGCTGGCCTTACGTCACTAGGTATGTTCAGGCTAAACCTGGCAGAGTGTATAGCCCAGCTGTGTATCCTTTCAGCACTGTTCTTCAGGCTAAACCTGGCAGAGTGTATAGCTCAGCTGTGTATCCTTTCAGCACTGTTCTTCTATGGTGCTTGACATACACGTATAACACATACACTAGCATAGGTCTTCTGAGAGCATTCAGGCTGGAATTGCTTCTCATGTTAAGAACATGTCAGGCTGCTATTTGCCAGGTTTTCAAATGGAACTGTTCATCGAACTCCGAGAAACACAGAGAAAGAAGTTTTGTAGAAAGTTGGAAGGCTGCTTGTTTTCGCATCGGAGATGTGTTGGAGCTGGGTGATAGTTTGTTGAATGTTTCGGTACTCTTTCAGTTTGGTGCCCAATTGTCGTACATTCTGACCATGTTATCTAGTTACAGTGGTAGACAATTTCTCATTACTCTTACCCATGTGTTCCTTTTTTTCGTTTTACATTTTATTATTGGCTCTGTATCAAAGAAGTACTGACTGAATTCTTTTGCCATGCATGCAGGTGTATTTGATTCTATGGTTAAGGGGGTCGGACAGGTAGCTTGGCATCCTCCTATGCCGTCATTCCTCTCGAGGCCAAAGATCCTTTTGGGTTTTTTATCCTCTTGCTCTGATGCAGAGATCGACTTAAAGAAAGCAGCCAAGATGTTCGGCAGTCGCTTCGCCAGTGGCTCCTCCGTGACTGGACCGGATGAAATTACTATCCAAGGTGATGTCAACTATGACCTCATAGACTTTGTCCAGGAAAAATGGCCCGAGGTAAGACCAGGAAACAGCTGAGCTGTGTGGCTTGTGCATGTGTGTGTGTGCGCGCGCGTGCATGCGTGTGTGTGTGTGTGTGTGGCTTGTGTGTGTGTGGCTTGTGTGTGTGTGGCTTGTGTGTGTGGCTTGTGTGTGCGTGTGTGTGTGTGTGTGTGTGTGTGTGTGTGTGTGTGTGTGTGTGGCTTGTGCGTGTGTGCGCGTGCGCGCGGAGAGCGTATAGGGGGTATAGCTGCAGTCCTAGTCAGCTTGGTATTTCCTGCACTTCTTTTCATCTTGAAGCACTTATTTTGTTGTTCCTGTGTCACCCTCTGTTGTGCAGATTACGGACGATGTCATTGAGGACATTGGTGATCAGAAGATTTCGAAGAGATGACAGTACCCACCATGCATGTCCCTGTCTTCTCTACAAGTGACTTACACCATTCCGATGTACCGAGCGGCATTGCAGTGCGTCACGCGGCTGGTGGGGGGATTTGACAAGAACGGATACTTCAACATTGTGTCAACGTAACATTACACCTGCTCCTCCGGGTGCTCTCGATTTCCCCCGTGCATTTCTCCAGTCCTGCAATGTGCTTGCCTGTCCTCCGCCACTACACTACCAACATGTACATGTGTTTCTCTGCAGTATTTTGTGAGGTAGTTGTCGTGCAAGTGGCTGCCGAGTTTGCCTGCATAGCGGCGCTTTCCGTCGAGCTATTTTCCAATTATTGGACGTTATTTTTACGTACTGTCATTGCTATGATCTACATGTAGATAATCATCCTGATGAGTGATGGTTCACGACATGAAACTGCTTTGCTAGTTGATCTGTGCATAGCGTGCAGTTGATGTGTGGCTTGTTGTTTCATTGAGGCCCAGTGGATCAAATTTGAGATTGCATTGCGTGTATGTTTTCTGTGTATTTGAAAGTGCTTGTCAGTGGATGAGAGGGGTCGTGCATAAGACACAAATGCAGGAAAGGGGCTAAGCCGTGGGCCACGGTGTGCGTGTGTGTACTCCTGTGCATGCGTCGCCAGCTAGGACTTGACTCGCCACGCCCGATTACCGTAAAATACCGTTGACCCCCCCCCCCCCCCCCCCCCCCTCCTACCCATGTCGCTTCCCAGCTGGGTTTTCGGCAGGGGGCGGGAATTAGATCAAGGCTGTCAAGTGCAGTGCGATGTACAACGTGGAGGATCAGACTCGATGTGCTGAATTGTGCACATTTTCATCCTGGATTGGCACGTCTTCTGTACAGCAGTGCATGCGTCGGTTCAACATCGTATTCCGTTGTATACACCGAAGTCGCTTCACGGGTAGAAAATCGACAGGGGGCGGGAATTAGAGAGGGGGAGGATCACCGGGACTTTCCGGTAATTCTGCTCGTGACTTTAACACTGTTGGTCCCTTCGGGACCTGCGACCATCTCCGGATGGGCATATTGTATTCTACTGTGCATCGGCAACACATGATACGGGCCGGGTAGTTTGTTGTTCAACACACATGACAGCAAGAGTACATAACCCCCCAGAGTGTGCAACGCCTGATCCAGCTCTGCATAGGGTCTTGGTCGAGCGGAATCGGATCTTTGCGTCATAATACCGTACACATCTGAGGGGAACCCGGGAAGTCGCGGGTACTCTTGGATCAAAAAACAATGGCGCCCTGCCTCGAGACCGGCCTTGCGCTGGTGTGAAGTGTACGCATAACATCAGAAGATCCGATTCCGCTCGACCAAGACCCTACACAGAGCTGGATCGGCGTTGCACACTCTGGGGGGGTTATGTACTCTTGATGACAGGTTGCCAAGATATTCTTGAAACACACATGCACACACACACACACACAAGCCATTAGATACAAGATGTATAATTTCCGTGCAAGGCACCAACTATACTGCCCTGGATGAACATCCACTGTCAAGTGCAGCGTACATGATCCAATAGAGTGAAATTGTCAAAGATAATAGAATTGAAGGCCAGAAGTTCCATTACTAGTATGTTCAAAATATTCAAAAATAGTTGTCGACAAGAACGCTAACAGATGAGTAACACTCGTGTCAGTCAAATATGGTCGGGGGGGGGGGGGGCACATAATCTACTTAGAGAATACAATAACGTATAAGATCACCTGGCCGGCAGAGTGAGACAATATGAAAATATCCTACAGGTTGGGTGAGTTTCATGAGTGTAATTTTTAAAGTTTGCTGCCTGGCTCGACGCAGCCAATAAAATATGTACCATTCCAATGACAAGCAGTTTGACGGTCAAGAGTCCCTGTAGTCTGCAATCTCAATCAGGCAAAAGGTGCTGTTCCAAGAGAGTGTGCATCACGTCCAGCTACTTGGAGTGGTGGGAGACTCGGTGGGAACCGAAGCAGCAGTCTTTGTTGACGCCGGCATGGCTTGGCCAGTGTCGAGCACGACTGCACCACTGGCATCCTTGACGCGCACTCGGCCAGATGCGTAGCGCGTCTCCTGCTTGCCGTCGGGGTAGACGGTTTTCACGGTGCCGTCTGGACACTCGCGTCGCTGGAAACAGGACGCCAATGTGTCACATACACACACACACATGCGCGCGCATACACATGCACACACACACACACATACACACACATGCGCGCGCATACACACACACACAAGCATACACACCGAAAGACACCCAGTGCATATTATAACGGTGCCCCAGGCGGAGAACGGTACGATGGAGCGAGTTGAAGTTACCCATTTTGTTCCCAGATCCAAAACTAAGTATGACATTGTGTATACGCGGTGCCTAGGACCAAGGAATTAGGATATTAGAAGCAGGTGATCAGGAATAAATAACGAAGTAGGACTGTAGATTACTCGCAACATGCTTCCTGTTACCTTGAATTGATCTGTGTGAATTTCCCGCTGGCCATTAGGGAACTCAATAACGTGTTCGCCATCCAGATGCGCCTGGTGGACCGTACCATCCGGGAGCACTGTCCTCTCAGAGCCGTCGGGGAAGAGGTATGTCATGGTGCCGTCCGCAAAGCGAACCTCCTTCGTTCCATCTGGATAGTGAGTCTCAGATTGTTCACTGCAAGTGAGGAGAATCGAGAACGGAAGAAGGATGAAGGAATTGTCTTGGCACATCTCGAAACAACTGCAACGATTACCAGGCTAAAGCTGTCTGCACTTAAAGTTCCATCAACAAGGAGCAGTGTCATGGGGTAGCATAATACATTATAGGCGCTAAAAACAGCAACGCCTGGGGGTGCCATAGCTGAGGTATTGTACTCAGCATCATCGCGCAAGAACAAGACCCCACACATGCTCACACAAGGATCCGTGCATCTTGTCCAGCCACACCGGTAGTTCTCAAAGAAGTCTTTCAATGCACTTTATCATGGACAACTGCAACTTACTTTTCAAACTCGATGACTTCAACGCCATTCTGATATGTGGTGTGCGTCGTACGGTTAGCCGCATAATAATAGACCTACATAGAGCAATAACAAACAACAGACGTCCCAGGACTATATTTCAGCACGCACGATAAAGCAGCACAAATTTCAGAAGTCAAATATCCAACTCTGAAGCCAGCGCCCTCCCTAATCTAGCAGGGTTTCCATCATAAAACGGTGCTGCTGTAGTGAGGATCATCTTTGTGTTTGTGTGAGAGCGCGAGTATGGGGCAGGGTGGTCAGGTACACAGTACGAAGTGTGGAGGAGCACTTTTAGAAGCACACAGTATTCATCCAGAACAGCGCCAACATTCTCAAACAATACTGACCACTCTCTTGTCTGGACAAATCTGTTTGATATCGCCATTGAAAAAGGACACAACCACCGACTGGCCATCTGCAGACACATCTTTACGCGTGCCGTCTGGGAATAGAATCTGCCGCGATCCATCTTCCAGTACAGTCTCGACCTGGACAACAATCGTGAAGGAATTGGACATGCTGAGTGAGCAGACATTAGTAAAACAAGAATGCTGGTGATGGCTGTGATACTTCACAGCAACAATCAAAGAGAACAGTCGACTGGTTTTGGTCCGAAAAGGCTGCGATGCAGCGTTCCTCCTTTATTCCCAATCGAACATGGTTGAACAAGCGGTCACGTGCTCCTGCGTACACCAGTCAGCTGGTCACAGTGCCTGCAGGGTACAACTTACTAGCCTGTTTGACCTTTTTTGGGTGCAGTCCTGTCACTCGAGTTGAACTCGAGTTGAACCTTGGTGTGAAAGTTGTCGCCTGCTGGCGTGGTGACCAGGTGATTTGGGCACCCAGGAGCACGTGACCACTTGTTCAACCATGTTCGATTGGGAATAAAGGAGGAACGCTTCATCGCAGCCTTTTCGGACCAAAACCAGTCGACTCAGCGTCCGAAAGACTACAACATATGGGCCAATCGCGGTCATCCGTGCTTTTATAAGAACGAAACGGCGCTTTTAGTGACATTTTGCATACAAATCCCCATCTAGTAGGGCGCAGTCACCCAGTTTCGGTGGAAGTGCGCGAGTTCGATTGGGATTCAAGTAGGAAGGGAGCGTCTCAGCTTTCTCGGACCAAGACCATTCGACTCAGCACCCTGAAGACTACAACTGGTGAAATTTTAATTTTTGCCTTAACTTCCCCTTTAATACAGGTGGAATCCTGATAATTCGAACCTCAAAATGCCAGGAAAAAACTTCTAATTATCCGGACATTCTAATTATCCAAACATGCACCCACAACACAATATGTACTGTATAAGCAGAAATATTCGTCTGGAATTTAATTTCGTCTTTTTCGTCCAAGGAGCTTTTGGACTAAATTAAATGTAGGACGAATATCGATTTGTCCAGCGTTTCTATACACTCTTATGACCCATGGACGAAATTTCCAACCGGACGAACTCCTTTTCTTTGGAGTTGGACGAAATTATTGACCGACGAAATTTTCTGCCTCTACAGTACGTCAAAATGCTCTCATGGTCAAACAGAGTTGCGTTATGGACCTTAGACACGGATTTCACGGATACTGAACTGACTGTCACAGCCTGCGCATGTAAACTGAACTGAACAGTACAGTGTACAGTGAACTTCGAATTACACTTTACTAACTTCGAATTATCAGCACAAATCCCACACATTTTCTATGTAAGTGGAATCTGTGGAACTTCTAATTAACCGGACATATCCAGTTCGAGGTTCGAATTATCAGAAATTGTTTATGTGGGAATCGTATTGCTAGAAATCGGTCCTGGACAAACTTCTAATTAAGCGGTATGTTCGAATTAAGCCATATTCGAACTATTAGGATTCCACGTGTACAGGGTGCTGTGCAGCCGCAGACCCGCAAACACTGGACTGTGCAATGGTACGGAGTGATGTCTTATTCACGAGCTCGCATGTCACTGACCATGACTGTACAACTAGGAAGCAACCATATGTTGCACGCACATAGAAACATGCATACGTAAACATTGCCGCCTACTTTTCAAGTGATCATGATCCAGAGTCTTGACCTAGCAAACAGTACTCTTACCATCATGTCAGTCAGTAGCAAGCCTAAAAAGCACATGGCGAAGTAGTATGTTAATTTTAAAAGAGTCTGCCTTTGCCCATATGTAAGCTGGCGTGCATGTGTATGCACAGGAGTTCACACACACAGGCAAACCAACAGACCTGGCGCACAATGATGAAGCATGTATAATGTCACAGTATGTGTATACAAACTACTGGGACGAAACGAGTGTTGCCCTTTTTTTTAAATTGTTTTAACAATATAAGCATAGATCTGACAGCAAAAGTACATGTACCACGCTCTACTCTTGGCAGCAGCCATTTCGTTCAGAAAAAAACGTGAACGGATGACATCACAATGACAGTGTGCACATAGTCTCTACCTTTTGGGGCTGGTCTGGAAGTTCAGCAGGTAAGGCAACGCCGGCTGGCTGAGTATCATGTGGGTCCATGGAAGGCAGGTCGGTTGTGCCACCAAACTGTACAGGCGCTGGATGGAGCCTTTCTGCCGGCGTCTCACTTACATCGGCGTCTTCATGCAAGCTGGGCATTACAACAACAAGCCAAGCAGCAGACTAGACATGGGTATATAGAACTCGGAGCAAGTACATGTAGATCATATACAGAGAAGACATGAGCACACAGCCGTGGATCTAGCAGTAGCACAAACTTACCTACTTACATACTTACACACACACACATGCCGAGCTCAAATTCACACCGGGACAAAAAGCGCACAATCGCACACCAACATCCATATCTTGCAGCAAGGAGTCAGACACATCACAGACGAAAGTCGACTCATCCTGGGACAACAAATCTTCATATAAAAAGGCCCTGTGCTTGCATTGGGGATCCGACAGTACACACATCAACCCTACCGTTCCAGTGAGGAAGCGCCAGCAGCAACCACAGCCGTACATTCTTGTCCAGCAGGAGTGGTAATGTTATCAGCGAGAGCCAGTTGCGAGTCGCCGCTGAACGCATTCTCACCACTGTCCGATAGATCCTCATCAGACAAGAGCAGCTCCGAATCAAAGAACTGCTTGGCATGCTGATGCTGCTGCGGTGGCACCGGCTCCTTCGCCAAGTGATCTTGCCTGGGAGCCTGCGGAAGTGTAGCACGATCGCTTGGTGGCAAATGCGACGACTCAAGCGACTTAGTAGTGTGTTGTGAAGGTCCACTCCTAGCATCCTGGACAGCACTAGTAGCTGATCTAATCGGTACATCAGCCCGTGGAGGTGGATTAGTCGAGAGCACCTTGCCTTGATTGGTAATGGGTTTCTTTGCACCAGGTTTGGATAAGAGAGGCTTCCGTCCCACAGATGCTGTTACCATTGACATCTTAGGCTTTGAACCTGCACAGGAAACAACACAACCGAGACAACAAGGCACGGGACAACGGCATGCAGGATTAATTCAGGAGAGAAAGGGGCTATCCTTACTATCCTTGTTACGTGTGATCTACACCTCCACGCATACACCTCAAAGTACTACAGGTGGAATCCTGATAATTTGAATATGGCTTAATTCGAACATACCGCTTAATTAGAAGTTTTTCCAGGACCGATTTCTGTCAATATGATTCCCACATAAACAAATTCTGATAATTCGAACCTCGAACTGGACATGTCCGGTTAATTAGAAGTCCCACGGATTCCACTTACATAGAAAATGTGTGGGATTTTTGCTGATAATTCGAAGTTAGCAAAGTGTAATTCGAAGTTCACTGTACACTGTACTGGTCAGTTCAGTTTGCACGAGCAGGCTGTACCGGTCAGTTCAGTATCCGTGAAATCTGTGTCTAAGGTCCATAGCGCAACTCTGCTTGATCATGAGAGCATATTGACATACATATTGTGTTGTGGGTGTATGTTTGGATAATTAGAAGTTTTTTCCTTGCATTTTGAGGTTCGAATTATCAGGATTCCACCTGTAGTAACCCATAAACATGTCGCATACTATTGTCTCTGTTTGCATATACTGCTTGTTCTGCATGTGGTGGCTGGGCTACGTAATCCACTCACTGGCTAGAGTGTATCTTCTGGCCTGAGCGTTAGGCGGCTACAGCATTTGATACGAGTTAGTAACGGTGAACTCGAAGACTCACCGCAGCTGTAACTGTTATTTAGAGTCAAATACTCTATGGTGGTAAAACATGCCTAGTTACACTGCTGTTGGCAATCCTAGGCACTGTGGTAAAACTATCTCAACTCTTTGCCGAGACACATCCAAGCGTCGAGCTCTTTCAGTTTTCAAAAGGTCATTGGCACGAGACGCTGGAGACGCTGACCTATTCAAAAGTAACTATTAAAAATAACATTCCTAGCACATATACCGATTGTTGCTGATGGCACAGATCCAGCTAACACCGGTGACAGGTTTTCATGCTGACTGGATGCAGCCTAACACAAACAGAAAATGCAGTATGGAGAAAACATCTATTTGACAAGTACATGTACTACACAAATTCACCCATACGTGTACACATTCCAAGCAAAGGGCTGGCAATGCCGGTTGAAAGCATGGAACTACTTCATATTGATTCTTCTGTTTCATTCAAAGCCAGCTGTTACCCTTTCATACGCAAGGCAGAGCCATGGTGTCGCCGGGGGCTATTTTGAATATCCTAAAACTGGTCAGTGTTTGGAGATGTCAGCCATTCAACATACAAGGCAACTGGCACAATCCCACCCGTCTTACCTTCAGCAAGCGCTCCTCAGCTTCCAAGAGCTTCCTCGTGAGCACACTGTTCTCCGCCAACAATTCCTCGTTGTCCTTTTCCAAACAGTCACTGCGGCTCTTCGACCGTGCCACCGCTGTCTGAAGCCGTGTCTCGCGGCTTTGCGATGCATTCAGTTGCTGTTGCAAATCACTGATCTGAGAAGGGAATTGTGCAAAGTATACCAATGAGCACTTCCTACCAGAAAACTGACTGTTCGAATATCCCACATGATACGCAATGTGTCCATATAGGGCGATAGGGTGCATGTTCTCATGGAGATTGCAAATAAAAAAAAATACTGAGCACAAGTGTCCACCCCCCCCCCCCCCCCCCCCACACACACACACACAGCAGCCGGAGGTACAATGAATCATTCGGACAGCATGCAAGGTATTATAATTATTACAATTATTGCCAGTCTAGTGCACTGCTCTTCTCGCAAACTCAACAACACTGCAGCTGAACGCCGAAGGATTGAAAAAAGAGAGAAGCAAGGACAATTGAATGAGAGAAACCTTACCTCTTCTCGCAAACGATTCACTTCTGCAGACTTGTTTGTGGAGACGGTAGCAGAGCGCCGTTGTTCTTCCTGGAATGCTCGCTTCTCAAGCCTGGCAAAACAGACAACAGACAATACAAACAATAGAAGTCAGTCAAGCTGCTACTGCACAAATCAGGCCATCCTCTGCTGTAGAATCGTTTACTCATCGCCAGACCAATGCATATGAAAGGGTGTATAGAATATAAAAGTCATGCCAATGTCTATTCATCATTTCTAAGAACACAACAAAGAACTTTGGATGGGTTGAAATTTCTTTACCTCTTGACTGACCCATATACGATCAAAGAAACGCATAGGCTGCCATACCGTGTTGCATCAACAAGCTAGGCCAAGAAGCAATGCAAGCAGCAGATAAAGCTAACACCGACCTCAGTTTCTTCCATTCATTCTCCAGGTTGACAAACTCAGCATCACGTTGCTTCTCAAACTCAGCGACAGCAAGCTGCAGCTGCAACACACACATTGAGGCGGAAAGAAATCGATAACTACACTCATAACAATCAAGACAAAACATGCTTGGTAAGTTGGTAACTGTGCTGCCCGAGAAGTAATGCAATAGTTAGCAAAATACTCATCGGTCTTGTCTTGTCATTGTCGTGATAACTTATAGTGTGTTTTCCCTGCTGCAAGTTTTGTGACTGGCTATATTAAATAAATAAATAAAAATCCAGACAGGCAAAACATGCTTAGTAACTGTGCTGCCCGAAAACTACCGGCGAAAAGTAATGCAAAAGTTAGCGAAACACTCATTGATCTTGTCTTTTCATTGTCGTGACATAGTGTATTGTCACTGCTGCAAGATCTGCGACTGCGATAAAAAAAAACCTTCCGGGCAAGTATAACTACGGCACTATTCAGAATACGAAACAGCTCAAGAACCAAATCTCACCTGTTTACGTTCAGCTTGCATGCGCACAGCCAGCAAACCCTCCACGTGCGCCTCAAGCTCTTTGAGCTTCTCTGCAGCTGGTGCTGAAGTGGATTGTGCTTCAGCACGCGGAGGAGATCTGTGGCGTACAGCTTCGCTTGTGGTTGCTTGTGCGGCAGCGGCTGCCTTGGCGGGCGCTGTTGGAGCAGGTGACACAGCAGGCTTGGGCCTGAGAGCAGGGAACATCTTCATCATCAGGTGGGAGGGTTGCGAGCTGGCATCTGCATCCGAGTCGATGACTTGCTCCTGAAAGACAGCGGATTGGCGCGCTGGTTTCTGAGCTTGATTCACGAGAGCAAGGTCCGGTGTGAAGTCTGCAGTTTTGCCACGACCAGAGGTCTCAGTTACGTCCGGAATGTTTGATTGAGGGTAGAGAACATGCTGATAGTGAGCAGGCGGTAGTGCAGACACTCTCGCAGGACCATCATGCTCCTCCTGAGAAAGGCTATCATCAGCCTGGCCCGGCTGATGAACAAGAACATCAGAAACATTGACCGTACTGTCCTCCCAGGTGGTGTCGTCTCCATAGTTTACAGGCGAGATGGAGTCGTGGAGAGTGCCATCGCTCTCCTCGTGACTGACATCGGAATTGCTGGCCGTTTCGGCAACTAGATCGGCAACGTAAACACGGTGGCTTGGCTGCGGCTGTACTCCCTGGCTCGCACGCTGTGCTGTGTCTCCGCTGGTGTGCTGGTGATGGGTGATCGACAGTGAAGACCCTCTAGACACAGCAGCAGCAGCAGATGCGCGAGCCGTGTTATTTTGTAGTATTGCACCTTGCTGCTGACTACGTAACGATTCAAGCCACTTCTCATAGACAGTTGAGTGTGGCTGTTGAGTGGATCTCTGATTAGTCAATGATGTAATGGTTGATGAAACCGTTGTTATGACGGCAGAGGTAACCTCACCTGTACTTTGAACGGGCATAAAGCGAGATGCCGCAGACATTGCAGCGTCATCAGGGTGAGTGCTAGGGACTCTACCGACATCACCACTCCCGCTGACTGGCCTCGGAGAGTGGAAAGCAGGGCTCGGCCTGTGGTGGATTGTGTTGAGAGGTCTCGACCATGGAATAGCTCTGCTTCTGTCCTTAGACAGGCCACTGTCAGAGACACAGCCACGATCTGGCACTAGTGTGGCATCACTGTCGCGACGATTGTCTTTCGCAGCGGCGCGCTTCAGCACGCCTTGCACGAGCGATGACTGAGACGAGAAGCTATGCTCATCTGCAGCTTGCTCCAGCATTTCGAACTCTTCGAGGTCCTCCAGCTCTGTGTCATCCTGCAGGTGATAGAAGCAACAAATAAGTTACATACCTAAGACCAGCTACGTACAAAAGTCATGGCACAGAACTGATGTTCCTCCATAAGGGCGCATACAAAAACTGTACTGCTGTGACGGACTTGGGTGCAACGTACTTCCTGCATGGGGCATACTGTTTTAGTGGTACCACCAAGGGACAGCCTCTGATAGCACACACATTTTGTACGCAAATCTGGCTGTCAAGTGGCGTACACGATGCTAGCTCTCCGCCTGGCAAGCATACAGCTGGGAGGAGCTGAGCTATGGCTGAGTAGAGCTGTAACCGGCTCCACCACTACCCTGCCGACAGGCCCGACACGCATTGCAATGCATGTGACAGTAAGCATTACTGTAAAACGAAACAGAAGCAAGTCGGATGAAATATATCAACATACATAACAGCCAAGCTACTTGTAAACTCGACGAGGCCTTTCGTACCATTACTTCTCAAATCGGTACATGGTGATAATGCGATGAAGTACAACAAAAATATAAAAAGAAAATAAGGAATACGGTGGGCCACGAAGTGCCCACAGTGCCCCACCGTTTTCCTTGTAATATTTTCCTTGGCTCGCCATCCAAGTACGACACGGTTATAAAGCGTCAATTCATGAAGCGTTGTTGGCATTGAAGTGGAGATGGAACGTACACTTGAAAATCATAGTGCAAGTTGCGCCAAACATGAGAGCACTATAACTAACACAAGGAAGCGGGAAATCTAGATTGCACTAGCTGCCTCACAAACTCCTTTTGTGTACATAGCGCAAATAATTAGCTGCTGTCTGATGATCGCCCCGTGGGTGAAACTCTATAAGTTAGAAAAGTTATAGCAAAATATCCTACTGTCACTTGTTTTTTTCTGTAGCTCAAGTTAGGTCAAGTTGTAGCCTGGCAATGTAGACAGTCTCTAGCACAGTTCGGCGGTATTAGGTACACGCAAGTAAGTGAATCATGTTTGGCGCAACTTCCACCATCAATTTCCAGTGTACACTTCATCACCACTCCAACGCCAAGAAAGCTGTATAAATCGATGCCGCTGTGCTTCATCACACTATTCAATGGAGAAGTAATGGTACGAAAGGCCTCGTCGGATTTACAAGCGGCTTCACCGTTACGTGTGTTACAGTTATACTGTACAGTACAGTACTAGAAAAATGAAGTTGAGCCATCGGACATATTTGATGTGTATACTGTAGTAGGAGCTGGGTCAGAGGCTCAAGAGGCCAACCCTGCATGCAACATATCCCGCATACTCAGAAATTTCTCCCAATCCCTGGCAGGGTGCACTAAGTCTATCGTATTATCTGGGTCTCGTACACTTACCAAAACGTCAGCCAGTGGCACGGCCAAAGGTGAGCTAGTACGGTTGCCCTGGACTGCTGGCGCTTCCGGTCTTTCCGGTGGTTCGGCTCGCGGCACAACCTGGGGCTGCCGCGAGTCAAACTGCTTTGCAGTGCTCGTCGGGTGAGGCTGACGTTGCGATGGATCTCGTAGGTGCAATACAGTCCTGCTGCTGGTCATTTTCGGGTCGTCGCGCAAAGATTTGGCCACGGAGGAGAAAGCAGACGACATGGAGCTGCTAATCTGATTTGTTGGGTTCGCCACAGAGGTGCGTACCGTGGCCTGACCCAACGACCGGGCAGCTTCACCTTTGCTGGATGAGACGGATGCCGCAGGGCCCGACACTCGTGCCATTGTAGAAGTTACACGGCTTGGAACAGATGTGTCCTGGCACGCTGTTGACTGTGTCTTTGCAATACCAACAGAGCCATCTGTTTTCTTGGAGGAAGAAAAGCGAGCAAGACCTTGTCCGCGGCGCAAGAAGCTGCGGTTCGAAGCCACTGGCGGCTTTGCAACAGGCACTTCGGACTACAGTAAGCACAAACAAGCACGCGTACACACAGACATGTGCGTGCACAGAGGAACGGTCAAGGCTTGTGGACAGAATGTATCCCCATGGGTGATTTCAATGAGCTGCAGTGTGCTTGATTCCTGTGGTAACGCCGAAGAGAATAAAAACGGTGAAAACACGAGGGAGCGTAGATGTTTTATCCGAACATACTATTCATACGAAGCCTTGGAGATGGCTCCGCACATCGACGGGGGGATAATCGGCAGTCCACTGTATGTTTTTTATGGCCTTACTGACCTACACTCGTATCTCGCTGATCCGGACCAAAAACACCCGGAGCACTTCAGTCCACCGAGCAGAATGTCGGCCTCAGTTTCATGAGACCGTATAGAAAATTGAAATGTCTATCGAACTCACAGACTCTGCTACAGTGAAAAAATGCATGTTCTGAGCTACTGCCATAATCTCAACAGAACTGCCTCGATAAAAGGGGCACGAGTGCGTCTGGTCCAAGAACACCAAAACATTGTTGTCTTTCAAAGCCTTGAAGACCCTGCAACCACTGCCTGGCTGATTGTTATTGTGCGCAGCTGGGATCAAACTGGCTCTTACCTCATCTTGCAACTTCTTCAGCAGTATAGCTTCAAATGAAGCATGTGGGTCTGTAAAATCAGAGAATAAGACAGTAAAAACTGGCTTCATCTACTGCAGCCAATGTACCGGTATCATCCCTGATACAATCACCACCACTACCACGATCAGAGACGCTGCAAATCGAATAGCTTAATCTACTACTACATCTCCAAATCTCGTACTTTGGACTTCGTCAGGGAGTATATGCACATGAAAAGTAGGATAACGTATTGGAATTGAGCTGCCACACCTTTAATAGGCCGTGGTGATGGTGGTGCTCACAGCAACCGCCACCACCCGAGATAACCCAGCGACAGGTGAAGTGGCTAATGGTTGAGGCGAGGGGATACGGCTCAATAAGCACGAAGAAGATTGTGATAAGCAGATATTTTAACCCTTAGTGTACAGATCGTACAGCTTTCGATCACATCGGATTGAACCTATTTGATGCAGCCAAACCTGTCCTTGCCGACACCTGTAAAGTGAGGACAGCTCGTCGCAGTCCCATTGATTTATGTACATGTTAAAATGTGCGGACACTTGAAAAAATACGGACACTCTCTCGCGTGCCCCCAGTGCTGTGCTGCACTGATCTCAGCCTGACAACTGCGGACACACTGACTGGGAACTGAGAGAGATGGGTATGGAAAGAGAGAGAGAGAGAGAGAGAGAGAGAGAAAGAGAGAGAGAACCACAATTATACAGGTTTCTTGTCAATGTACAGTACCTCCGAGCGGCTTGATTGGCTTCTCATCGTATTCTACGGATGGCACAGCCTTGTCACTCATGGATGATTCTCTCTCAGACACTTGCATTGAGTTACCACCTGAATGGTAATCCTTGCCATCCAAGGCAGCAGGTGCATGCGATTCCATCTGCTGTTTTCTTTCTGGATCATAACTGGCTGCATCTGAAGGTGGGCGTGTACTGTTGTGCTCTTGTAAAGAGGGATGAGCACCAGATCTAGTCTGTGCATAGCCTCCATCGTTTCCTTCGGTTTGCTGCATCATGTCGAAGGCTACGGGTGGTCCCCACGTGGCACGGGCCTTTGTTGCAGCACCTCCTGGCAGGAAAGAGGCATCGGTGAAACGAGAGTATGTATTGGCCAATGTGCCAGAAGGGAGTTTACTGTGTCCTTCAGGAGCGTGGGATGTGAGAACATTCGGAGGCATTCCTTGCGACGCCTGCATCTGTTCATGAACATTCGATTTGGTGGAGGTGCTGTCCAGTAAGCCAGCGTTGTTTCTTGATAATCCTTCGCCCCCTAATTTATGATTAATTCTCTCCACGAGTTGTCCGTTCTCTTTGTTTTGCATTCCAGCATCACTTCCAACAGCGAGTTGCTGTGCAGACTTCGTACTGTCTATGAAAGCAGCACTTCTCTCCTGGATCAATTGCCAGTCGTGCAGCATCTGGGAGTCCGAAGAGACCAGGAATTGTTGTAACTTCGGCCATGTTGGTCCTGAAGATGGGTTATCTCCGCTACGTCCTAAGCTATCCATAAAATAACCAGAAGGACTGACAATCAAGGCCGAAACAGAAGGGTACCGAAGAGAGGGGTCTAAGAAAGTAAGCAACTTACTTTAGTTTCTTCCTGACTCCTCCAAGGCTCCTTCCACGTTTCTCTCCTACTTTTTGATTTTCATATTTCCCGCGCTTTGAAGTCAAATCGGAATTTGTTGGAACGGATTTCAAATTAACGCAAATTGGTGTGGATAATCTACTCAACTTTCATGACTCGCATTGGTTTACCAAGAGAAATGATGAATAAGTGCTGAAGACGCATGCGCATGACAAGCGCCATGGCAACACTAGAAATCCAATGGCGTCGTTTTGAGTGCAAGTGGGGTGCAAAAAAAAACAAGTGCACGGCTGCACGTATGTACGAACGACTATGTTCACGTTCAGCGGCCAGAAACTTTTGAAGATATTCAGTTTGTGCTGAAGATTCCTGGCGGAAATGATTTGTTTGTGTCTTTCAAGTCCTTGACCGAAAGAAGTCATGGTAAATGCAGGAGTGCGTGTCCTCGTGTGCGAGATGGATTCTGGAGCAATGTCTGTCAATTTGTTACGTGTCTACAGGCGAATACCGGACCTCCACCTGGTGGGAGACCACCACTAATGATGGGTCCACCTTTTGTAAGTTATTACTCAGTGTATTGAGTCTTTGAGTGGATGTCCATCTTGGCCAACTTCTTAGTAATGATCTACTGGTAAAATCATCTTTAGCTGCTGGACCCTGTCTAGTGCTTGATTTTGTATTGGCAAGGTTTGACTTGGGAAAAAATTGCTGTTCTGTGGAATTTTGAAACTATGGAATTGATAGCACATTTGTATGCAATACTATTGTTACATTGTGGGTGATAATAACTTTTAGGGGTACTCATAGATCTATAACATTCTTCCCATTGTGACCTGCGGAATTGCGCCTTTGATACAGAAAATTTGATCGAAGACGATGCGTAGATCCTGTTTTAGGTGGTGCTTGTGGATACACGACTTTTATTGTCTTGCATGTGCATTACGATACTAGAGTATGTACGCTTATCACTTGGTTTAGCACACAGATATGCAGTTCTTCAGGGACTGAAGATGACTCGTTGCTGCGGTTATAGCAAAGCCGGATGTGTGTGGTGTCATGCGCAACTTGTGCATCAGGCCTGGTGACTGGTGACAGATCCATGTCTGCACTATGTGCGAATAGGCAGATGCAATTACGCCAGCATTTGCTCCTCATCCTTTTCACACCATACTAGACCACCTTTATTGAGACACGGGGTAGCTTCACCGACCGTATCTCCCCGAATACAAGTCGCACCTTTTCACACTTACTTTTGAGCATGACTTCCTACTTATGTGAATGCATTAAAACATTTTTGGCTCAGATCTGAAAATGGGGTTGCGACTTAGAATCGAGTGTGAGTTGTCCGGGAAATACCGTAACTGGATTATATCTTCAGATTTGGCTCGGGTGGAGTTTTAGGCACCGGCCTGGACCTGGTAGCAATTTCTTGTGGTTACCTCCATTTCATTCATGAAGCTTGTCCAGAAAGTCCTTGTTGCTATGCATAGCAGACTGGCTCTGAAATCTATGCGTGATAATGGGCAGTCAATGTCTCGGTCGCTGCAGTTTCGGCACGGACCCAACACTTATTTGTACATGTGTGTGTGTGTGTGTGTGTGTGTGTGTGTGTGTGTGTGTGTGTGTGTGTGTGTGTGTGTGTGTGTGTGTGCGTGTGTGTGTGTGCGCGTGTGTGTGTGTGTGTGTGTTGTATGCGTACACGCATATGTATGCTACATGTACTTCTGCTTGCTCCAGTCCATGCCACCTTATGGGTCAGCGCCACTGCCAGCTGGTGGAATGCCGCCTCATCCTATGAGTATGCAGATGCCCCCTATGGGTGTTCCACCTGGCCAGCCCATGCCCATGCCACCGCAGCAACCGCCACAGCCAGGTATGCAGCAAGCATGAGGATCATGCCAATAGCACCGCTCTCGGTTAGATTAGACGCAGCACTGGTCATGCAGGGCCGCATGTTTGGCCGAGTGGTCTGAGGGCTTGCCTGCTGTAATGCGAGCATGCAGTACTGCGCGCCGACACCTACGATCAAATTTGTACTCACGACAAGGCTGCAGTGCACAGGGTTATGCGATCACCACACGCCTGCATGGTTGAGGGTGAACCCCCTCTCGTCTGACTCACGTGGGAGATCCACACTCACCCGCTTTGTTTACAGGCACCGTGACAGCTAGCTGGAGTGTTTGTCAACGCTTCGTGCTATATTAGTGTGAACCTGACGGACCTTACTCACTTATTTGAATGCGCAAACTCATGCACATGATATCACTTTCTTAGATGTGTCCTGATTTGTGGTCAGGTTTGCTGGGTTTGTAGGTGTCTGTTGCTGCTCCATTGTCAATGTTTGCTTGTCCTGCTTGTCTTGGCTGTTGGCTGCTGTCTATCTTGCCCAGGCATGATGGTCAATCAACAACCAGGCATGTTCCCACCTGCAGGCGCCATGCCTGGTATGCCAATGCGCCCTCCGCAGCCCATGGCAGCAGCTCCGCAGGTTAGCGCTGTGTGTGTATGTGTGTGTGTGTGTGTGCCTTGTGGTCTGGTTCCTGTGGTATTATTTTAGTATCGATAGCTGTTTTCATATAGGAATACCGTAATCCTTGTAACGTTACATGTATATGCATTTGGAATTTTAGATTGCTGCTGTGCATTGAGAACTTATTTTAGCTTGGCAGTAGAATCCCTATTCCTATGTTCGCACTCGCCAGCCCGCAGTTTTGCTATGCCCGTCGTACTGTACTGCCTAGATGTGCTGCACTCAGGTGTGACCTTGCATGCTTTGTCAAATCTGTGTGTTCCTATTGCATTGTAGACGGGTGGTGCGCCGACTAGCATGGCTCCACCAATTGGTATGCCAATGCAGCAGTTCCAGCCTGCTATGCAGAATGCGTCCACCGCTACTGTCATGTCATCCGCGCCTGCCATGGCAACGTCGGCACCGCAGATGATGCAGCCTCCGCCACAACCCATCGCCATGGCCCCTCCAGCGTCTGCTATGGCAATGCCAGGAGCAGTACCAATTCCGGCATCCATGCCTCCGACTATGACAATGCAGCCTCCTGTCGTTGCTGGTGTTGCTCAAGTAAGCTACCGTGACTTTGTATAACTTTTACACATGCGATTTTCGAAATCGTTTAATAGCCGGTTTCGAACCAGTTAATTAATTGCTCCAGCCGTTGGAGTCCAGTGTAGAATTACCACTGCCAAGGAAGACGTGGGTACATGGTCTTGTTTGAAACGCAAAGCCCTCGGCGGAGACATAATGCCTAAATGGGTCCCTCCAGTGATTGAATGTTGGCAACTGGTTTTATTGGCACACTACTTATGGTCGGACAAGTTTCCACAAATAGGTGCGCGGCATGAAGTCAATAGACCTGCTTTTGTGGTATCGCCCATTGCTGCAGATTTCTGCACTGTCCGTAGTGCTTGTGTGTGCTTGTGCATAGCATTCATCGATACGATAGTTGTGTGGAGGCCATGTTCAAGCGCAAACGTGGGGACAATTGCCCATTGGGGTTCAGCAGAGGCTGCCTATTCATTATATATGTTTATGTGCGCCTACTCTGTGCCTTTTATCTTCAGGCCGTTGTACATGAAAGCTCCCCCGCCCCGACGTCAGAAGCCACCGCAGCAGCTGAGGAGAAGAAGAAAAAGAAGGCCGCCAAAGTCAAGAAGAAAAAGGAGAAGGTGAGAAGGCACGCCGTGTTGCTTTAATTTTTTTTTGTCCAGGCATATGTGTGCCGTGAACTCTCACCGGCATGCATGATGTGTGCCTGTCGTAGTTGGTCTTATAGCTTAGCACAAGTGCACTTCTGATATGTCCTGCAGCTCTGCTTGATGCACACCAGGGACCAACCCAGAACATTTCCTGTCTTTTTTTATTTAGTTCACCTCGCTGTATGCTTGCTCTCTCTCTGATATGCTGGATGCTGTCCTATAGGTGTTGCAGCCGAGTACTGTAGTGCTCTGCCCCTTATCATCCTCTCACCAATGCAGATCACACTGTGACATGTGTCACTGTGTATCCTTCTAGCCTTCTACCCTGCCCTTATTGTAAAAGTCATGTGAATGACATTGTATGTGCTTTATATGGAATGGCAGACCAGTGGTTATGGTTACACTCCATACAAGGCACCTTTACTAATGACGTACCAGTAACCACATAACCTTATAGTGCGATTGCATCCCACTTTCTACCATTATCAATAACAAGGAATGGAGCTCCATAGCTGTTAGGTGTCCGCACGCTATTGCCTTACTGGCAAGCACCATTGGTCTTGGTCACCATTGTTTTTCCTTATGTGCGTGCGTGTGCTTGAATGTTTCTGCATATCTATGTCTGCTGCCCATGTCACGATTCTCAGGAGAAGGCATCTTCTAAAGTAAGTCCCAAACCCTACTGGCAGGCTGTGCAGTACAGCTGTATGTGATGAATCCAACATGACAGGCTACCCTGAATACTGTCCCTTTTTTGTTCAACATGTTGGAAGAGTATTTTTGTTTGACAAAGGTCATAGGTGTGTGGCTAAGTACATGTACTCGCATTTGGTCACGTTGGCCTCTGAGGACATGCATTAGTTCATGTGCTGCATTTTGGTGTATGACATACTTATGCCGTATTATTGTTGTTTCTTTGCATCTTGTAGGCTTCCGTCTGGACAGAGCACAAAGCACCCGATGGCCGCACATACTTTTATAACGCAGAGACAAAACAGTCGTCATGGTCTAAACCGGATGATCTTAAATCAAAGTCGGAGGTTGGTTGCTTGTCAATTCTTCTGTGCCTTGGCCATGCTGTTTTGCGTTATCTTTTCCTCGCCATCGTTTTGTGAATGGCGTGAAGCTACGTTGTAATGTTAGCTGTTCACACAGTGTTAAAATGGTTCTGGGTTGTTATTCATGCCCTGTCCGAGGGTATATGCTCGCTTGTTCACCTCTAACCCAGTCTGTTATGCTTTCGCGCTATGTCCCTGCCTGGCCACCTTTTCTTGAAGACACACTAGGCAGGTGATGTTTACAGCACGGCCACATGTTTAATATTTGCCCAAACATTCCGGTTTTATTTCGTGTGATTCCGACAAACCGACAGAAAATGACAAGTAAGGTTCCCACTCTTTGGCTGCCCACATGAAGGTGTCATGGTCAGCTAATTCAGGAGAAGTTATGGTGTTGGGTATGGGGGAGGGAGGGCTGTCCCGTTGACCCCCGAACCGGACCTTTTCCCATTGAGGAGCAGTAGCCCTGAGATTATGGGTATCACTAGCGCTTCACTCCACACGCATGCAATAATACCACCTGTGCACTGGTAGAATGCTCTACTGTCCTCATGTGGTTCTTGATCAGCTGGGCAAACATCCTGGTCACAAGAATGCAGCCTGGTATGATTGCATTCCCTGAGAAACTGTGTTGTCTGCATTCTGCATCCCTCCACTGTCCAGTTGTTGTTATCTCAGAGCCCGTGGAAGGAGCACAAGACTTCTGATCAGCGCATATATTACTACAACCCGGAGACTAAGGAATCGGTTTGGACCATACCGAAGGAGTTTGCCGAACTGAAAGGTAACGAGTCATGCTATCACCACATGCACAGTGTCATTGTGATGTCATACATACACATTTCCTGGATTCAATGCCGTGAATGGATACTTTCAAGAGGCGTGTAGTATACTGTGCAGATCTAACAACAGTGCAGTATCCCTTTCATCCTGCCGGTTTCTACACACACACTTTGTATGCACTCCGTCACTGTGCACACCCGGTCGATTGCTTTTGCCTTGTTGCATTTGGTTGTCGCATACTACAGTTATTGCAGGGCATAGATTAACGGCCGGACATCGGACATTTTCCGGCCATTTTCGGCCACTGGCCGGACGTTTTCAATTTCACCGGACATAGTGTCCGGTCAAAAAGGAAAAAAAGAGCAGCGACCTTGCGACCTTTTTATGCAGAGTTGGGCTTTCTTCGGAGCTTCGTGCCAAATGCGACTTGCATATCGTACAACTAACACGTCTACACCGTAGCCTCAGGCGTAGACTTCACCAGATTTACTTGATCCGCCTGTAGCAACGCGGTTGCTACAGTCAATTCACACTTTCGACCTTTGGTACATGGTGTCGACTTCGCACTTGAATCAATAGGTTGAAATGCAGTCTGCAGTCTGAGTTGCTCTTGAGAGGAAGATGTCATCTTTTATTTTCACTCTTTCACTGACCAGAAATGCAGATAGTCTTTTAGAATGTCTTGTGGAAAGCGAAAGGGAGATTCAGAGGACTTGCTGCCGGGCAAAAAAGTCCATGGTGTGAAGGCCGCTACTTGCGATAAGTGGATCTCGGACAATGATGCAGAGCTGACTACTTCCTCCTGGCTGATTTATGACCGGCAGAAGAACGATCGGCTGTTAGCAGAATGTTTGAACTGTTCCGTGTGCATCAAGTTTGTAGACAGAGTCCCCAGTTGTAAAAACTTCAGCGAGGCTTTCATAACCGGATTCAAGAACCTGAGAATATCAGCGTTCAAGGATTATGCTGGAACGGAGATGCATAAACGAGCAATGAATCTTTTCCGTAGGCAAGAGTGACCCGCTCGAAATGCCCTCGAATTCGCTCGAATTGCGAAGGCACTATGCAAGATGGACGATGGTGCTGCCGCTATTGCACGACGCAAATTCGAACTGACTTACCTTCTCTGCAAGGAGCATATCGCGTTCGCAAAATTCTTGACTGCAACGCTTTCTTGTACATACATTTGTCGTCAGTAAAAAAAAAGTTCAGTTTCTAATACAAGTAAATTGGCGAATTGTACATAGTATTGTGTGAGATACGTCCACATAATGAGTCATTGTGAATATGCCTCATTACTACTAAAAAAAGAAGAAACAATCTGAAAATGTGTTGTGGAAAATGTCCGGGCATGTCCGGACAGATTTCAAAACGGAAGGACATTTGTCCGAGCTAAATGAAATCCTTAAGCTATGCCCTGTATTGTAGATAAAAACCAAGCTCATGAATAAAGCAGAGATGTGCCCAATCCACACTCCAATTCTTGTACCCTGTAGTTCTGAGGTCTGGCAGCCCCTGGGGCTGCTGTGTTCAGGAAACTGGATTTCATTTGTCACTACTGTAGTAGATACAACCAGAGAAAACGTGGAAGTATGCCTAGACATGAATGGAATGGACTTGAACATGCCAGCGCCACTGGTATCGAAACATTTGCAGTTGTTAAGGCACGCACAGCAACTTGCTTCCTGCTCTGGCATCGATGAATTGCTGGCACAGTGACGATGGGGTGTCCTGGTACTCTGGTTGGAAAATGAACAAGAGAAACTTGAGTTGTTGACAGACTATGATTCTGACACTATTGTGCCCTGCTTCGCTATACCCGCGGCTTACTATTTGTGTGTGTGTGTGTGTGTGTGTGTGTGTGTGTGTGTGTGTGTGTGTGTGTGTGTGTGTGTGTGCGTGTGTGTGTACCGTCTTGCCTTCTCAATATAGCGAAAGCAGCGGCTCTGGAGGAAGAAGAGGCAGAGGAAGGCAAATCTGAGTAAGCCCACCATTTGTCTTTCAAATCCTATGGCACACTATTCTTGACCATTCTTTGATGGGCAAGGGTATTGCTAAGCCATGATTCCGCCAAAGCAACCCCAACTGGTTTTGCTGGTTGAAAACTCATTTCCAGCTGCCAACCAGTCGGCCTTGCGTTTCAGAATGATTCGGGACATGAAAGTTATGTCTCCACAATTTACCTTCTTCAAGCAGCAGACTTCTGTCGCTGCTGAAGGATCAAGTGTAGTGGAAAGCAGCAGAATTTGATGGGTGACTAAGTGAACAACCAGCTAAAAAGTGTTTTTGATCTGGTCGATGTACTGGTGTGTCCATGTTCGATTTCCATGTATGCGTATGGCTTTAGTGCTGACAGCTCTTCGTCGTCAGAGGATGAGTCCGACGAAGAGACGAAACCTGAAGCACAGGCTGCAGACAATACGGTTGTCGTGGCCGAAGTGGCAGGCGTCAGGTGAGCTTTCTCGGATGTCTCCTGCGGTGTTGGTCTGTGGGTGTGGACGAGCTTTTATTGCACACGTGCATGTTAACTCTGGAACTGTGAATGGTGTCAAATGACAGCTGCCAGTCAGTGTATAGAAAGGTAGCGCAAAGTATCGACAAACATCTTTTGGTGTTCTAGTTGAAATGCTCTGACATAGCCTACCTTTTCCTTTCTCTTTGCAACACTGACCTCGTAGCAAAGTGCACATCAACGAGGTTGAGCCGCAAATCGCTCCTGTCGTCGTACCTGTCAAGGAAGTTGTGTACAACTCTCGCGAAGAGGCGCGCGATGCCTTCAAGCAGTTACTTCGTGAGAAGGTGAGGCCGATGTTGTGTCTGTATGCTCCTTGCTCTGCATGTGTGCGGTTACCAGTCTGCGGTCTAGTCTATGTTATCGTCTCTTGTCTACAGTATTGCTTTGACCAAGAGTACATAACCCCCCCCCAGAGTGTGCAACGCCTGATCCAGCTCTGCATAGGGTCTTGGTCGAGCGGAATCGGATCTTTGCGTCATAATACCGTACACATCTGAGGGGAACCCGGGGAGTCGCGGGTACTCTCGGATCAAAAACAATGGTGCCCTGCCTCGAGACCGGCCTTGCGCTGGTGTGGAGTGTACGCATGACATCAGAAGATCCGATTCCACTCGACCAAAACCCTATGCGGAGCTGGATCGGCATTGCACACTCTGGGGGGGGGGGGGGGGGGTTATGTACTCTTGCTTTGACATGACTGCTTCTGGGTATGCCTAGAATAATTGACAATTATTCATAGGAACAGTGGGAGAGGGGGTCAAAACTCTTTCAGCTGTCAATATACCAGCATATGAGTTTCCCTATCAATTCTTTAAAGCAGGATAATAATCAGTTTGTTATAACTGGGCTATATTGCCCAACATGTGTTGACGTTCATAAAAGCTTTTGTTCAAAGTCATGATTTGTATCTTTCAGGTTGAACTTTTTCATTTATAAACAATTGCTGGTGCTAAGCCCGTGTAGTATTGCATGTGGTGGGCACAACAGCACATACCAATGGTAGTTCAGAACTCACTTTTGTCCATTCTGGGTGCCTCGCAAAATGAAAGATGTCTGCTCTGCAGAGCGCATATGCAAGAGTTCGTAGCTTCCCAGGGTGTGCAACAGGTGATGGGTGGCTGTCACAACTCGTGTTTGTGACAGGGTTTTTGTGGAGTTTTGCACTCTTGAGAGTCCTGTACTCCTGGTGCAGGTCTACCCTCGTTAGTAGATAACCAGGGGGGCAGGGGTAAAAATGTTTGCCTTACACGAGTATTATCTTCTATCCGGACGTGAATGCATGCGTTTTCAGGCGTCGGGGAATGTTTAATCGTTGTCTACTAATGAGGTTTGTGTTGTAACCTTTGTCATACTAACGGGGGGGGGGGGGGGGGGGTAGACCTGTACATGGACTATCCATCTTGGCATAATTATGACGATCCGTCCCAGTGCATCCATGCCTTGGTAGCTTATCCACACTCTTTGCCGGTGATGAGTACTGTAGTATTGTCTTATGTTCAACACCACAGAGCATTTCATCGACCATGACGTGGGAGCAGGCGCTGAAGATAGTCATCACTGATCCGAGATTCACGTGAGTTTCATTCTAGTTTTGCCTGTACATGTATTCGTTAGCATTCTGTCACGTGTGAGTCATCTACCACTGTGTGAGCTCTCCAATATGCCTCTCCTTCCCCCCCCCCCCCCCCATTCTGGTGTACATTGTGTGAAATTTGTGTATTCTTTGTTGTGTTTACCCCAGGGCGTTACGAAAGCTGGCTGAAAAGAAGCAAGTCTTCAATAACTACAAGGCGCAGAGGGCAAAGGAGGAGAAGGTAAACTGGCTTTGCATTTTTGGAGTGATGTTTGTCCAGCATTCCTGTGCTGATGTACTCCGAGGACTAAATCAAGTTGTATGAAACCTTCTTTCGATGTTGTTGTTGTTGTTTTTATTTTACTTCATCAGATTTACAGGCAAGGATGCCTTCTCACCGGCCAGGGGCCAGTTCCTAGAAATGATGTTGTTCTTGTGAATCTGCATACACTAAGTACAGAGGTGGCAACTGAAATCTGACCCCTGATTTTCGTGCTCGAGTGTAGCACCGATTCTAACGGTCTCTTTTTGGTAGTGTGCAAGTGTGTGTTGGGTTTTTGGAACGTGAGTGCACTGGGGTCGGATATCCCTTGCCGCCACTGTACTTCGCGCGACGAAGAGATGGTGAGGTGTGCAGACTCGCTGCACGCCATTGAAAAAATGGGGAATGTCGATTGCACACGATTCTGTCCATTCTGGAATTTTTCTATTTACGCGAGCTGGTCAATTATCACTATTCTGTTGGCGGTTCTCTTTCTGTTTTCCTCTGTACCTCTTTAACATTTCGGGCCAGTTTCATAAACTTGTTGCCTCCTTTCCAGGTTCCTGAGCTCAGAACTTAGCCTTGCTTGTTTTGTTTGGTTTTGTTTATGCTCCTTTCTTGTGTCCTGTTGCTGAGCGCAGGAAGAAAATCGTCAGAAAGCCAAGAAGGCAAGAGAAGATTTGCTTGATTTCATCCAACAGCATCCGAAGGTCTTCAGTGTTATGCGATATAGGTCAGTGTTGTGCTGTCACAGATAACCGTATTCACACGCATAAACGGGCACGCACTTATATTCGATTACAAGAGCGCCTCCACATATAAAGGCGTGACAAACAAAACAAAAAAAACACAAGACCCAAAAGTGTATTTTGAAGACTTGAATACTCGTATTGAAGGACATGCCCTTGTATCCGGAACATTTGTTTCCTGGCGAAAGGGGGAAAAAACGAATTTTTCACATATAAGGACATGCACTTGAATGTGGGTGAATACGGTAAATATTTCTTTCCGTGGATGGATTAGAGCTTGAAATTTGTCCAGAAGTGGTGGTGAGAGGTGGCAGTAGGCTTTCGTGGTGGTTTTATGGGAAACCAGGCCACTTGGGGACTACACAGCATCGTGTGTGATCGTAAGTTGGTCTATAATAAATTAGAGTAGAGTTGTACCTGCAACGGGAATCGCTGCCACAGTGTTGACGTAAACACACGAGCAAAGCAGCAATCTGCCGCTTTGAAGCTAGAGCTCGTCTGCTCTGGTACCCGTCATGTGCAGGGCAAGATGTTATCATCACCTTGGTGGCCACGGCAGCAGGCATGTTGAGCGTGTGCCACTAAACGGGGCAAGCTGCATTGAAAACTGTCAGTTGCAGAGGGGAGGCTGATTTTTATGTCGAGCTGAACCAGCTCAGTCATTGTAGTGCCTGTTGAGTTGTGTTCTGCCCGTTATACCAATCGTGTGTGCTGGTTTCTGATGTGTTCATTCAGGCTAGCTGCAGACCTCTTCGAGGGTGATCCTACCTGGGATGCTGTTGCAAACGAGACAGACAGGAAGGTAAGCACAGCTACAGAGTAACACTGGATGGGGGGGGGGGGGGCACATGGTTAGATAGCATCAACATAATACAACTGCTCTCAGGAAAAAGCAGAAAGGAGGAAAGTGCGTTCTTGCGTGTTTGTCCACTCTGTGAGCAGCAGGCCATGCTATTTGTCCTGGATGTTAAATTCAACACCTTGTTTGCTGTCCATTGAAGGAGATGCTACTGACTGGTGCTTGCTGACAGGTTTTGAACTTGACACGCATTGCAGTTGAACAAGAGGATATCAGGATTGATTTGGTATCTTCAGCAGAATCCGGACAGGACCAAATGATACGTTTCTTTTTCTTGCTACGATTGTAGACGGCGGTGACTGCGTGCTGTTGTTTTGTGTCAGCCCGTGACTACAGTCCATTTCAAAACTATAGACGCGCAGTGTTTTTGAAATATTTCAAATTTGGCTGGAACTTTTTGAGAATAGTTTTCGGAATATTGCTCAGGTCCGCTCCACAATTACTCTCATATAGTTTCTAAACGATTGGATAACAGACGCCCAATTTGGAAAAATGTATGCACAAAGTTATCACAGATTTCATGTGGTATAGATGCTGGCATAACAGTTTTGCCTAGGTACGCGTCTATAGTTTTGAAATGGACTGTACATGTTTGCCGTGTGTACTGGCCGGTTAATGCACTGCTTTCATATGTTCTGGTGTTAATAGAATCTCTTCGAAGATGCTCTTTTCTATGTCGCAAAGCGTGAAAAGGTAAGATGAGTCGACCATCTGTGTGCACCACTGTGCGTGTATGGTTATCTGGTATGGACTGTCCTGGCATTCGAACATAACCAACACCTGTGCGCGGGGGGGGGGGGGGGGGGGGGTGAAAGGGAGTGTTGGCTTCCAACTCATCACAAGATGGGCGGGCTGATGATAGTGGGTGGAAAATAAGAGAATCTTTACTGCGGAAACTGTGATTGGGACGTCGGTGAGACTGCTGCTGCTGCTGTTTTTTAGTTTAGACTTTGGTGGAAAGCTCGTAGCTAGCCCACCGGCGGTGCAAGACCCTGCAGCCACAGCAACACATGTTTATTTTGTGTCTGTGTGTACCCATGCCTCATGCGCTCAGGATGAAGAGGCCAAGCGGCGAGAGTACCATCGTGAGATCTTGGCTGACATCTATCGCTCAATGCAGTCAATTACCTACAAGACTGTGTGGGCCAAGGTAAGGAATGCGATGTGTTATGCTTCGCTGAGTTCTTGATGCCGATACCAATGAGTATCTACACCACCACCGCATTATCCCACCTCATCTAACACTGTTTCTAGGACCCTTATTGCTTATCAAGCAACAGTTTGCCTGACGCAGACATGCAGTGTACTCAGCCGACATTTTGCCGTGTTTCTATCACGCATGTTCATTCCCCAGCCGAAAGACGTACTAGATGGGTGCGTATTGTTACCAAGTAGTTGCCAGGATGCAGTTGTCACTGGCACAGTAGGACCTCATTTAGCAGACACCTCTCGACCAAAGTCACCTCCACATACAGGGCACATTCTTTCAGTCCTAACTGGTCGTAACCAGGTTGTAACGGATTCTGTAATTAATTTTGTTCTCTACGTACCTGGCAGAGTACGGCATTTAGAACATTGCGTTGTTCTAAATAATGGACCAATGGAATTTTCGAGGAATCGATCCATTCCTCTCTCGAATCGAGATGTATCTTGCCCAATCTGCTTTGACTTGGGTTTAGATTTATAAAAAAATGTGGAGCCATTTGAACATTTGAATTTTATAAATTCTGCCTTTGGTCAGGTTCAGGCATATCGGTAGTAATTGGGTTCCATTTTGTAAGATCCTACCAGATATAGGAGTTTTTTTTCTTCGTTTTGCTGATGTGCGTAGGCAGATCTGCTACAGCCTACTAGTATGTGTGTTTACTTGCATGCTGTTGCTGTTGCTGTCACTGTTCTCTAGGCACAGGTTCTGTTGGAAGAGAATTCAGACTTTGCTTCCAATGATGAGCTCGATGGTATGGATATTACATGTTGCTCTGTGTGTGTTAGTATGTGTGTAAATCCGTGCCAGCGTGGATGCACGCCTATGGGTGGGTGATCACATGGTCTAGTTGTTGATTGCATCGATAGATTAGTCCTCATGGGCCTGGAAGCTTTCTTGTGCGTTGACATGTTTGAAATCTTTCTCCACTTGCACCTCATCGCTCCTGCTCGCATTCATGCATGTACGGTATTGTGGTGTATAATAATGCTATGTTGTGCGTTTCCCTCCTCGTACTCTGCTTTGTTGCCAAGCAATCAAAACTCTGTGAGGAAGAACTCTATGCGAATACATCATACTGCACATGAATCCCGAGTTGTTGGCCAACCTTGTTTGCAGAAGGCTGCACTCATCAAGTGCATGACATTTGTGTATGCTGATTTGGCTAGTTTGGCTGATTCGGCTGGTTTGGCTGTTTGTGATTTTTTTAGATATGGACAAAGAGGATGCTCTCATCGTGTTTGAGAATCATGTTCGGGAACTTTGCAAGGAGCACGAGGAGGAAAAAGTATCAGAACAGGTCCAAGAACACCATGATCAGCGCAAGAACAGAGACAACATGCTGGTAAGCAGGAGGCGCGTGCCCCGTATGGGTTCCAGGGTGCCCGGAACCCCCCCCCCCCCCCCTTTTCGCTCAAAATGCAGGATTTTGCTTCATTTTTTTAAAATTCTCCCGGGGGAGACCCCCAGAACCCCCCTTGAAGGGCACCGGCGCACGCGCCTGGACCGTAAGGAATCAAGGCCTGTGGCTGCCACTGTACAGGACGGCATATTTAAATTCATTGTGAACTGTGAACGGTCGCGAGTGGCTCGTAGTGGTTTGTCCATGTGTCAAAATCTACTTGAACGCTTTGTGGTGGTGTTGCGTATCCTTTTCAGTGAGTGCTGTACACGGATTGCCTGTTTCTTTCCATGATTCTCTTATACGACATGTTTTTTGCTTTTTTACCCTCGCATTCCAGAGTAGTCTGTGATGAGCACTGCGACGATGTATATTGCCGGGAAGTCTTTATCTAATGCGAATGTGTGATGATCCCAATAGGATAGCTGAGAACTTCGTTCCCGTAGCTACGCAGAAGGCGAATTAGCATCTGGCGCTATCCAGAGTCCTGCACACTTTATTTCGTGTGTTGTGCGTCCGTCATCTCGTGGCAGGGCACATGACTGAGCACCAGCTCAGGCTCAGCCAGTTCAGGAAAATGATCATGTCATGGCAAGCGTAGCAAAGGGTCCTGAGCTAGCTCTCTTGTGTGCCTTTCCCACCTTCCTGTGTTTGCACAGCAATTACTGGATGAGCTTCACGAGGTTTCAAAACTCCACTCGATGTCACAATGGTGCGACCTGTACCCGATGATCTGCGAAGACCCTCGCTACGAGAATATGCTGGGACAGCCTGGTCAGTGGCCTATAGTCACCATTGATTTCTTCTTTGCTTGCTTGCATGTGGCTTTTTGTTCCTATCACAGTGTGGAATGATGTTTGTCATGGTTTGTGTACTTAAATCACCATTCTGGAAACTTGGCAGTCTCACATGCAAGAGTGAGGAACTAGATCAGGGACACGCCATGTGCGTAGCGCCTAGGCTGGGAGTTAGAGTGATGCACGGGGTATGCATTTGAGGTCACATCAATGATTATAGATTGTCTTTCCTCTGGAACATTGGATTTTCAATACCGTCCTTTCTTTTCTCTGGTGTGTGTCATTGCCAGGTTCAACGCCCCTGGATCTGTTCAAGTTCTACGTTGATGATCTTCGTCAGCGTTTGCCAGATGAGAAAAAGATCATAAAAGATATCTTAAAGGTAGGCTCAATATCAGTGCTGTTTGTGCTTTTATGATCATTTGCTATCTAGCTTCTCTTTGCCTGGCGCTATGTTAGTGTTAGGCCAGACCACAATAAAATTGAGGTTTCCGGGCGAAGGCCCCGCAGCATTTAGTGCGCGCGGGCGAATTTTATTTGTAAATTTTACAATTTTAGATGCAGCTCAATATGCATGTACATGTACATATACACGTATGCATACATTGCACATGACAGCAGAGTATAATACATGTATACGGAGTGCAGCATATGCACGTACTCATTTCAATCCATAACATATTATACACACTTGAGCGGAATCAAAAGCGTTTCTGCTGTAACTCTGAGTTCAACGGTAACTTCTTATATGTCTAGTGTCACTGATCCATGATCATGTTCTACTTCTTCCTCTTCTGGGCAGTAGATCTACCTGTAACAATGCCAGCCCGAACTGAAGCATCGTGGCCACTCTGTCGGCAGAAACGGCAGAGGGGGGGGGGGGGGGGGGGGATAGAGAACTTTCGCTTCAGGCTAGGCATATATTCGTCTCCAATAGCTGCTCCTTCTTTCCGCAGTGGAAACGACAGTGTGCTGACTGCTGACTGCTGAGGTGTGCTGAGTAGATTCTACGAGTCGAGTCTGTACTCGTAAGTCGTAGGTCTATGATCTACGTACCACGTGCTGCGCTTGCCTGCGCCCGCATGTGAGGTGTGCAAGGCTGTAGTGCAGCGCCACTCGTAGCTCTAGCTCTGCGACCAGTGCATTGTGTGCACGTGTCGTGGACATACATGTATACAAAAATTGAAAAGTAAAATTTATTTTCCAAATCCGAACGATTTAGTGCGCGCGGGCCCGGAAACCTCGATTTTATTTTGGTCTGGCCTTAGTGTTATGTGTCAAGAATTCCTTGCAGACAGACCTGCTAGTGGAATGATACGGCTGTTGGTTTCTAACAATATACCTGTGGCTCTGGTGTTGTATTGTACTATTGACAGGATGCAAGTTTCTCCGTGGACATTCAGTCGTCGTTCGATGTAAGCCTTTTCTTACTAATTCATAGGTTCTGTATTTGTGTGTGTGTGTATGTCTGTCTGTCTGTGCGTGCCTGTGTGTGTGTGTGTCGTGTACCGGTATGTGTCTGTGTGCTGTGCATGTCCTGAATAAATCACTATGTTTAACGTTATCCTTCTTTCATATGGATCTATCATGATTGTGTCTTGGGCATGTGTTTGACTAAATAATTATAGTATATTATTCCTGCGGTTTTTTTTAATTCATTGCACTGTGTGGTTGATCCATTCTTGCACTACACCTTCTCCTGCTTCTGTGTTCTAGGATGTCAAGGCAGTCATTTATGCAGACCAGCGTTCAGAGAACTTGGACAAGGGCAACATTCGGCTGACATTCAATGCTGTGAGCTGCATGGGATGCTTACCTCATCACTATAAGTTTCCCGATGTATTCTTGATAGTGAAATGTATCCGTTATTTACCCTCTTACATTCTCTTTTTATTCGTAGTTCAAGTTTGATCGGACTTGAGTTTAGTGCAATAGAGGGACCAAGCCCGACAGGAAATGAACTTGTACTACGATCTCTGGCCATATTAGAGTTTGCTTTGTTCTCCTGTGATAGCTCCTCGAAAAGGCAGAGGCACGGGAGCGTGAACTTGCCAAGATGGAGGAGCGTAAGGTACGCAAGCGCGAGACCGCGTTCAAGGCGATGTTGAAGATGGCTGCACCGCCTCTGGACGCGAACTCGACTTGGGAGAAGGTAAGGGAGCAGCATACTTCTCGCGTGTAGTGGTGTTGTGTGGCCAGGTGTGTCTTGGAACCTGTGCCATAGCGTCACCTTTTTACACTGCACAATCGTGTCTGCTTTGTGTGCAAGCTGTTTGTTTCCACATCTTCCCCACAGTGATGATGTACTCCCTTGTATGTTTTGTGTGCAGTGTCGATCGCAGTTTGAAGTTGAGGATGCATTCAGTGAGGTGGCGGAGGAATCAGAACGAACACGACTCTTCCGAGAATTCATCTCGTCAATAGCCCCGCCACCGGTGAGTTTTGTACACGTGTGGCCGGGAAAAGTAAACCTTTGTTTTATTTATGGATGATTGCTACACGCATTTCTGATATGCTAGGTGCGTATGGGTGAGAGTCACTCACCGAGAGCCTGCAACTGCGGTCTTTTCTATGAGTTGAGGTACGCTTCCTTCACTGCGTATTAGAGCTTCAATATAACAGTGTATGCCAACCTGAAACTGGGGTTCCTTTGCTCGAGGTAGCATTTCAAAATACAGCTTTACTGAAGCGTGTGTGTTTTTGTGTGTTGCCTTGTGCCTGTGCTCTGGGAATGCATTGGTAGACGACCAACACCCTAGGAACCCATGCATGTTGAGTAATGTCTCTGTAACTCTACATACCAATGTGCAGGAGGAAAGTGATGATGACAAGAAGCATAAGCGGAAGAGCAGCCACCATCGCTCCTCCAAGAAACACTCGCGAAAGCATCGACGGTCACGGTCGCAATCGGTGAGCAGTAGGAACGCGTTGGCGTTCTGTACCGTTTTAGTTGTTGCATGCCTCGTGTGCATGTGCCAGTGTACGTGTGTGTACTTGGAGCTGCTTTGCAAAGCTAGTTCAGCTGTGCTACCAAGCACCATACCGTTTTGGTTTACGTGTAGTCTCTGTGGTATCATCAAGTCCATGTGATGATTAGTTATATTGAAATAGAATAATGCAACGAAGGACTGAGAGAGGACGACTCGTCAGGAAACTACCAAGAAAAGACTGAACAGCAACAAGAGACATGCGCTGTCGATTATGGGCATGGAGTACACACATGCATGCATAGTATGAGTAGTGTGCTGTAAGGTCGTACGCACGTCCATGCAAGGAGATGCAGTACCATAATAAGAAACATGAGAGTGCAAGTATGTACGATGTACACGGGTACACCACACGCCCCTTCTGAGATAAACAAGCGGAAAATCGGAGCTGTTTATCTCACATAAACGAGAAGGAAAAACAGAAGTGACAGAAAAGAAAGTAAACACTAATGAAGTGTGATACCAATAGTCCTTATGCACATTGTACAGATGTACGAAGTTCTGTACTATGGCCGTAGGTGTGTACATACCCGGTTGGGTGTTCATTGTGTGCTATACATGCGCGTTTGACCCATTTACTACAACAGCCTCTTTTACGGGCAAAATAAACACAATGAATATTTTTTCCCAAGTGTTCCAAAAACTTCAACTCAAAGTTCTAGAAAGAAAAGAAAAAAACGAAAAAACACGCAAAAAACAGCATAATAATGTATACCTACTTAGGTAAACAGCAGCAAGTTCAACTTCAAGTCAATATTCCAGTCACTGTTACCGCTCGTGCACGCTAAGCCGGTACCCGGGCCTCCACCACTGCCAGTGCAGCAGAGGTATCACCCACAGCCAAGGCAGGCTGGCTAGAGAGCCTTCTGCACCCACGGAGGCACATGATGCAGGACCGCAAGAGGGAAAAAGCGATCCTGCACCTGACGAAAGCCATCACATGAGAATACTGCTCCCTTCTTTTCGCCGCCAACAGAGAGGCCACTCGTTTGTAGAGGGCCGTTGCTGCCTTGCCCATGCCTCCACTCGCAGACATCACAGCCGGAACAAAAGTGGCATGCTCCACTTGTCTCACTCTCTCTTCGTAGTGCCTTCGTTTCTCTCTTTCATGTCGATGATACACAGTGGTACGTGGTGCAGACTGATTTGAGCGAGCATAAGGATTAAAAACCCGGACATCAATAAGGGTTCGCTCAAATCGACTGCCCCACAAACCACTGGCAGCGACATCAAGGCGTGCATGATCCTCCACGTTGGCCGTTCGGTATTGCAATCGCTCACCGGTCAGTGGCTGCAGCGTAGGCTCCGTGGACACATTGCTACAGACTTGGTGTAGGAGCTGTGCGGTAGTGTCACGAATGGCATTGTGTCGTATGGTGGGAAATCCTCCATGAGGACAGGATAGTGAGTGAGAAACGCTCACCTCTTGGCCACATGAACAATGAGTCGGTATTCTCGCCGGCGTCCATCCATAGCGGAGACACAGGCCGTCCCAGAACTCTTGCTTCGTGAGGCTGAAACCATACTTCTTCAGCGGACGACATGTTAACCAGCTAGATGAACCCCATTTAGCCTCACAATTCATGGCAAACGATCACTTTTCAAGCCTTCTTCACTTTGGGATTGAACTAACGACTAGCTAGATCTCTGCCGGAAAAAGATTTCGTATGAAATGCCTTCATGGCCCATTTCATAGCGGAAATAGCAGTAAACACAATAGGGTCCTGCACATTCAACACCCAACCGGGTCTACGGGATTCTACAAGATTATACGGGATTTCGTGCATCTGTACAATGTGCATAAGGCCTATACCAACTACCGTAAAGTCGCAGATAAAAGCCGGGCTTATAAGCACATATGCCGCTTTCTGCATCAGGCTTGTATGCAAACCATGCTTATATGCACCACTGATATTTTTGCCAGGCTTGTATGCCAGGCTTCTACGTGCCACAAGCGTAGATCTACCACTGACTACCGGTATGGCGGCAGTTTTACTATGCACCGTACATAGCGCATGCACTCTTGACCCACCCGATCCGCGCTTGCATAGAAGCCAGGCTTCTACGCGCGACAGGCTTATATGCATTTGACCCGTTTGATTTTCAGGCTTCTATCCGCGATGTGGTTGTATGCAAACCCGGCTTTTATCCGCGACTTTACGGTACTTGTAGCAAGAGTGTGAGGTACAGGTAGGTAGAGTCAAGCATAGGACTTAGATGCTGTGGACGAAATGTTCAAACGCTCTGGTGCCTGGCGAGACCGTTGGCTACGACGAGGCCGCTGCGGTGCTGCGGGCTCAGCCGGGAGGTGTCTGCAGGCAGAGCAGGAGGGGCTACGGCAGGTTTGAGAAAGCGACGGCAGGTTTGAGAAAGCGACGGTTGCTCCAGTACACACGGCCGCTGGGTAATTTCACCATATAGTCCCGGTTGCGACCAATGGCGACGACCACGCCGGTGGTGCGCTAGAGTTTGGTGAGCGGATCTTGGATGTCAACCCGCATGCCAATGCGAAGTGAGGACAGTGCTCTGGCAGACTCATCATAATGCTGTTCTTGGGTGGCAGACTGAGCGGCAGAGCGCTTGTCAACATCGGTGGCTTTGGCTTTCCAATCAGGAGCAAAGCTGAGATGATGAGCTGTCACGAAGGAGGACAATGGTCGACCAAACAGTGCTTGGCCTGGGCTCTGACCATTTTCTCGGGGGGGGGGGGGGGGGGGGGGGGTGTTGCGCCATTCTAACAATGCGCATCTGAACTCATCGACGTCCAAGTTGCCGTCGGACGTGGTCTTCAACACAAGTGACTTCATCGCTTTCACGGCGGCTTCGGCATGGCCGCTAGACTGAGGATAATGAGGTGAAGACGTGGAGTGCTGAACTTGCCATCGGGTGCAAAATTCAGCGAAGCGACGTGATGAAAACTGCGGACCACCATCAGTGGTGAGGATGCTGGGGACACCGACGTCGGCGAACCAGCCACGGAACACACGGATCACATCGGCAGAAGATGCAGTGCGGCCGATCTTGGCGATGCAAGGCCAGCCAGTGTGACGGTCTACGTGTGAACAGCTTTGCCGTATGCTGTCTGTCTGAAGCCTGACAATCAATGCTGATAGGTTCACATTACCAAACTTGCCTCCACCAAATCCGGTGTTGGTGCATACTAGCCCTGCTGGCAATTTCCCCAGGGCTCTTCTGCTGTGCCTCTCCACTTTGTGTTGTGGACTGCTCAGCGTTCTGTGTACAACTGACATATGAGTGCCAGTACAGTACTGCTCAATGAAATCTGGTCAAATAACATCAGCTTTGCGCCTGGTATGTGTGAAAGTCCCCGTGTCTGTAGGTCTTGGGTTGCACTGCGCCCGTGTGGGTGAAAGTCCCAGTGTTCATAGGTCTTGGGATGCACTGCGCCCGTATGTGTGAAAGTCCCAGTGTTCGTAGGTCTTGGGATGCACTGCGCCCGTATGTGTGAAAGTCCCAGTGTTCGTAGGTCTTGGGTTGCACTGCACTCGTATGTGTGAAAGTCCCAGTGTTCGTAGGTCTTGGGTTGCACTGCGCCCGTATGTGTGAAAGTCCCAGTGTTCGTAGGTCTTGGGTTGCACTGCGCCCGTATGTGTGAAAGTCCCAATGTTCGTAGGTCTTGGGTTGCACTGCGCCCGTATGTGTGAAAGTCCCAGTGTTCGTAGGTCTTGGGTTGCACTGCGCCCGTATGTGTGAAAGTCCCAGTGTCCGTAGGTCTTGGGTTGCACTGCGCCCGTATGTGTGAAAGTCCCAGTGTTCGTAGGTCTTGGGTTGGACTGCGCCCGTATGTGTGAAAGTCCCAGTGTTCGTAGGTCTTGGGTTGCACTGCGCCCGTATGTATGAAAGTCCCAGTGTTCGTAGGTCTTGGGTTGCACTGCGCCCGTATGTGTGAAAGTCCCAGTGTTCGTAGGTCTTGGGTTGCACTGCACTCGTATGTGTGAAAATCCCAGTGTTCGTAGGCCTTGGGTTGCACTGCGCCCGTATGGGTGAAAGTCCCAGTGTTTGTAGGTCTTGGGATGCACTGCGCCCGTATGTATGAAAGTCCCAGTGTTCGGTCTTGGGTTGCACTGCGCCCGTATGTGTGAAAGTCCCAGTGTTCGTAGGTCTTGGGTTGCACTGCACTCGTATGTGTGAAAGTCCCAGTGTTCGTAGGTCTTGGGTTGCACTGCGCCCGTATGTGTGAAAGTCCCAGTGTTCGTAGGTCTTGGGTTGCACTGCGCCCGTATGTGTGAAAGTCCCAGTGTTCGTAGGTCTTGGGTTGCACTGCGCCCGTATGTGTGAAAGTCCCAGTGTTCGTAGGTCTTGGGTTGCACTGCGCCCGGTGCATACGTGATTCACCCGGTCGCATTCCATTCAGCAGCACTGTAGTTCTTGGTGAAAGTAGTTTACGTACCTGCTGTTGCCCCCCCCGTGTATGTTCTACAAGTATGTGCATAGGCTTGGGCACAAAGGCTGCCATAGAGTTGCCAATAGTGTGAGCGATTGGTTAGCTGACAGTTTGCTCAGTTTAGTGACCGCTTACGATCTTCTGTGTATGTGTATATGTGCAGGAGTCCTCTTTGTCAGAGGGTGAATACCGAGACAGTCATAGCAAGTCAGAGAGGTCGGATAAGAAACGCAAGCGTTCTCGGTCACCGTCAGTTTCGGACTCTGACAGTGAGAGAGAATCTCGGCGGCGGCGGCACAAGAATAAGGTATGTCATTTTCCTGCCTGGGAAATGTGTGCGTGTTGGGTGTGAATTGTTATGACCCTGCTTAGGTTGCGTTTGGTTGGGCAATTTGCCAATTTCAGAATGTAAGTGACAACCAATCTGGGATGGGAATGTGTAGGAATCACCTGACCAAACAAACTCACCAGAGTCAACTAGGAATCACTTGGCCAAATAACTCCATGATGTTGTTGTGGAACAGCGGCTCTCATCTCTTTTACCTTGCGCCAGTCTCCTTGACAAAGTAAAGGTACTTCTGAGTGCATGATATGAGGCACTTGAACCTTTTGTTACATTGTTTGTCTACTGGCAGCCATTATCCCTTTTGATTCTGGAATGAGAATGCTCATTCCAGCATGCGAGGTGGAATGATCACTCTCCAAAAAGGACCATTCTCGGCTATTCCCATGCTGGAATGGGACTAACCAAACGGAATTTATTGACCAAACAAACGAGCAAGAATGATTCCCACTGTGGAACATGACCAACCAAACGCAACCTTCAAACCAATGTCTAGATATTCCTTATTAGTGTGCACAGTGCTCAGTGGCTGTCATTGTACTGTCACGAATTATACCGTACTTCCGCACATATAAGCCCATGGGCTATGTCCGGACATAAGCGCATATGCTTACCGTAAATATCGAACTTTATCACCAAATGAATTATTTTAGTTTAGACCCAACCCCTCCCTCCCTCCCCCTCAGAACGTAAAAAATGTTGACAAACATTAATATATGTAGAAAGGAAAAAGACATTCTGGATACGAGTTAAGAGTAACTCTCCATCACTGTAACATGATACTTTATACAGTCAGAAAGTGCAATAACTAGGCACAAAACTGACAGAGTACTTTATTTATGGCTCAACATCCGAGTTTCAAATTGCACACCTGATGAGCCGTTACGAACCATACAGCGAAACGTACGTCATGTGAAACAACTTGTTTTGTAGTCAACTAGTCCATCACAATGTCATGCATGAGGAGTACTGTAGGAGTTTGGCTTTCGGCTTGTACAATTCGTTTTCGCAAAGCTTCCCATTTCTTTACTTATCTTTGATATTTATGACCCACCCAAGTTGGGTGGTGTGCTGCTTTGCTGCTTCGAATTGTAGTTAGACCGCTTTGTCAAATATCGTACTGGTCTCGTCATCGTCCAGTAACAATCGACATTCTTTGTTCCGTTGGGACTGTAGCTTTTGCTCGTTTTCGTTGCGCTTGCCTTCCCCTCTTTGGTCTTTCCGTAACCTTGAACCTTCCAAGTTGGAAGGCTGTCGGTTAGCGCTACGGAGATGTGTTGAAGCTAGGTGTCAGGACGTCGAATGTCTCAGTACTCTGTCAGTTTTGTGCCTAGTTATTGCACTTTCTGACTGTAGAAAGTATCATGTTACAGTGATGGAGAGTTACTCTTAACTCGTATCCATAATGTCTTTTTCCTTTCTACATTTTATTTATGGCTCAACATCCGTGTTTCAAACATTAATATGTTACATTATACATTACAACAAATTCGCAAGTGTGTTACTGCTCCCACGGCCATGTACATGTATCAATGTTTTCTGAAACGAAATTGATCAACCCTGTCCCACCCCGTAACGAAATTAGTTTGTTTGATGAAAAAAGTTCGAAATTTGTGGATGACCCCTTCAATATGTGTGAACATAATTGGTAAAACACCTGGGAGCTGACAAACAGACATGCACATATAAGCGCATGAGCTTCAACCCGGACATGTTAACACAGCAAAAAAGCAGCAAATATTCACTTATACCGTAAAGTACCGTTGATCCCCACCCACGCCGTGTCGCTTCCCAGCTGGTTTTTCGGCAGGGGGTGGGAATTAGATCAAATCGTTCACGTGCATTACGATGTACAACAAAGCAGAAGATCAGACCTGGAATGCTGGATTTGTGCACATCCCCGCGTATATTAATCTGTGTGCTGTGTTTTGGGCTACGTGTGTCCCCTGCAGAAATCTCGAAAGCGGAAGCACCATGCGTCAAGTGGCTCTGATTCCGACTATCACCGACACAAGGCTGGTCACAAGGACGAGCGCTCTAGTCGTGGTGATCGGACTCGTGCCGAGAACGGCGATAAAAAGAAGGCAAAGGTGCGGGCGTGAGACAGTTGGGAATGCTGTTGCTGCGGGCCCACTCTTGGGGTAGCAGTTGTTTTTCGTTACGTTGACTGACGTCATCTGTATTCTTGTAGATGCACACTGCTTCATCTCTTCACTAGACCCTAGGTTGCCAATCTCCCTTGGCTAGGAGGCCGATGGAGAAACCATTGTACGGAGATTGTTCATGTTCCGAATGTTGCGCGGAGATTGTTCATGTTCCGAATGTTGCACGGAGATTGTTCATGTTCCGAATGTTGGCACGATTGCATGCATTACTGGTCGGCAGACTTTGGCGGGCTGGTCGTCAAGCTCGCTCGGTCGTCATTGCCAGTCTGTATAGGGAAGACCAGTGTGGCAGCAGTCAGTCGTTTCAACCCCTGCCGCTTGACTAATCTCTGCACAGCGATGCTCCTCACTTTGGTCTTTCCATTTGTGCCGTGTGCACATCACCGTAACTTATTGCAGAATGGGGGAAATGAGGGTCCATGTACATGTAGTTTGTATGAATGTACATGATTGTATAGCATAGAGACATGTACAGTATACATGCAATCCACCAGTCTCAAGTCTGCTCCATGTCAAGTTGGTGGATGCCGGCCTTTGCCTTTGGCAGAACACACCCACCCATCACACTGTAGACATAGTGTTGTGAAATCCAGTGGTAGTCTGAGGGTGGTGAATTGCCAAGCCTGTCCTTTTTTATACTTCAGCATCATTTTCTTGTGATGAGTTTCACTCCGTGCTGTCTAGCTGGCTTCTTACTTACATTTCTCTACATTTTTACCATACTCGATTACAATTCTGAACTCTGGTGGCTTGATGAGGGAGCAATGCTTGTGACGCGGGACATGGATTGCAGGGTTGGAAGGCCATCGAGAGTAGGTAGCGTCTATTGCCACACAAATGTCTTCACCTTCTTTTAGCAGATTAATGTGTACTGAATCGAGTCCTGGAAATAAATGCTTCAATTCTGTAGGCGCTTTTTGATCGTTCACACTGATCGAATCGACAAATTTGCACACTGGGCTTGACAGTGGAAGGGAGCGTTGTCTATCCTAGATGTCGGCCATGTCGCGACCAATTCGCTTTTCACACTGCCATCACAAGATAGTGCTCTGCTCGCCGGAAAGCAAGTGAGCTGAGTGAATGCTGCTACATGGCAGTCTTTGCTGGGAAAGTCGCCGTTTTGCCATGGCATTGGGATGTTTTCTAGTCACGGGTGTGGCACTTCTCTTCTGTAGTTTTGGCCGCTCTATAGATACTCGTGGCTACCATGGAGATAATTCGGTGGCCACTTTCTAGCTACGTCAGTATGCAGGCAGTCCTTACATACAATGAAATGCCGTTGCTCATTTTGTTACATTCTTATTGGTGGTGTGTGTGCGTACATTGTCTCCTCTCTTTTTCTTGTAGCGTGCATCCTCACACCAACGGGGAAGCAGCGAGAGCGAAGGGGAGCTTGAAACTCGAAGGAAGATGCTCCTTCAGCAGCTGAGTGGTGATTGAGCACAACGGACAACTTTTCCTGTTTACTACTACTTGATGCTAACTGGCATCATCAAGACCCTTGACGCCACCTACACCATGCAAATCTCGTTGGTGCTCTGTGCTGAAAATGCACATCCCTGTGTGCAAGCACAGCGGGGGCGTGGAAAACTAACTGTACTGCGACCATGATCGCTGATTGAGCAGACTTCCTGATTCATTTCGACCTCCTTCGGCATTCATCTGTACCAATATGGTGGTCCAATGTGGAAACTGCACCGGTGTCTCGATATAAGCTGTTTTTATGTTGTTGTCCTGCTTCGTACTCGAATTGGTCTGTGCCGTTCTATGGAAGCTTGTTTCTGGGCCTGGTGGACCGTTTCTTTCGCTTCATTTTTTTTCTTCATTTAGTTCTTTGGTGATGTTCCCCAAGCTGCAAGTGGTGCGATGCCTACTTTGTCCATGCCACAATCTTTTTTTGCGAAAGTATCAACATGCCGTGAGTTTTTCTGTCATTTTCACTTGTGTGCACATGCTGGTACTATCTGGCTTGAGAATGATGGCTTCAATCAAGAAGGGATGATGATCAGGGATGTTTATAAAAAAGAAGGCTGTGCGAAATCTACCGAACATGCCCATTATTGCACTCCTATCATTAAGGGTGCGTTCTTATATTCTCTAGCTTCTAGGAGAAGAAGAAAAGAGAAGTCGAAGAAACTGGAATAACTCAAGAACGGGTCTCGAAGAATTCGGAGATATTTTGCACATGTGAAGCAATATGAAGCGCCAAAGGGGCCGCGATCTTGAGTTATGAACGTAGTATGCACATGTGCGTATTAGAAAAGGGAAATGCGTACACTCATGATCAACACGTGGCTTTTAGCCGTAGTTCGCATGCGCTGATCCCAAACCGCGGGAATCTCCAAGTTTCAACCGCCTCTGAAGCTTGGAGAGCCTCCCAAAAGTCGGAGAGAATATAAGAACAGCTCTCGAACTTTTCAGAGTCTCCAACTTTTCCGAGAGGATTTAAGACCGCACCCTAATGTTCGACACGCAAGTCTACAGGCAATAGCTCTGCACCCACAGTTGCTTTTGTAACTGAAAATACATCATTCTATAGTAGACACTCATTCACTGCGGTGTGCGAGCTGTTTTGAGGTCAGTTTCTGCCGTTGAATACACACGTAAGCAATATACATGATTGCACAGGAAAAGCTGCACCGCCTGCCTTCTTCACTGGCTTCAGGTTTGGGGACGCAACACTTTCTGTCTTTGCTTCGTAGATCTACAGTCCTGCTCAATGGAATCCAGGTCGTGGCACTCTTAGTTTGCGCTTTCCATCATTTCGAAGCCTAGTGTTCGCAGCCCTAGGGCTGCGCAACGCCCGGCGTGCACATGAGTGACGCACCTGGATTGTACTAAACTGAAAGTCTGTGGGAAAGAAATTCATGTTCAAAAAATTAATGAACTGATCATGGCCCATATAATTGGCTGAAATACTGCCTGCGACGTGACTACACGTACTGATGTGAGCCCTTCCGTAAACTAATCGGTAACAAAATGAATGCAATATGGGTAGTAATCTAAATCTTATCATGCATACATAATGATACCGGTATGTAGGGTTTTGCTACAAAAAGCACTTGTGATAGGTGGCGTGAACAGACAACCAAACTACTTATCAGACTTCAAACCTCAAGATCGCATTGTGCATGTATCTCGAATTGGCTATCACTATCAGGCTAACATCTAGGCCCAAGACAGTCAAAGGCCCTCAGCGAAAGTCAACACTAGAACAGAACAGACCAGCAGCTGGTGCGTGCTCGTCTTGCGTGGTGCCTGGTGGTCCTTCAAACAAAATTTACAGAGGCATTATGGTTCGAATCACTCCAGTCCACACGGCAGTAGATCTACGGGGCAAAGACTTGACCCTCACTAAATACCAGAATCCGAATCTACTTAGATTGTTCTTTCACCTTGAAAGTGAGGCGAACACTACGTACGTTGCAGTAACCTCATTCCGCCTCCACAACTGAAACAATTTTGATTCCTCAAAGGACACTATTGTTTTGGCGACTCTGTACAGAAAAGGTGTAAAATATGACGTCAAGACATTATTGTGCGCATTCTCTACTGCGAGCAATGCAATTTTTTTCCTGAGTTCCTGATTCTCCATTTCGACTATATATGCGCAAGCGCAACATAGCGCCGACCTTTTTTTCCTGGCATAGATTCAGCCATGGCGGTCGGCAAGAACAAGCGCCTCACGAAGGGCAAGAAGGGAGCAAAGAAGAAGATGTATGTTGCTGTTTAGATGGAGACGTATTCATTTAGAATTTAGCTTTGGGCTGGTAGCAGAAGTGGAGAGTTCCGGAGCAGATTCGAACAGTTCGTGTGGATTTTGTGTTTGTTCATTTTAGTGTTGATCCCTTTACCAAGAAAGAATGGTATGATGTCAAAGCTCCCTCGATGTTCGAGAAGCGAAACATTGGCAAGACCATGGTCACCCGTACCCAGGGTACAAGTACGTTTGTGGATGCCTGTGTTGGTTCTGTTGTGAATCCTGGGCCATGGACTGGAGGTTTGTTTGTACGTGTATTATACAGAGATCGCATCTGATGGTCTGAAGGGTCGTGTATACGATGTATCGCTTGCTGACTTGCAAGGTGGAGAGGAGGTTGCTTTCAGAAAGTTCTCTCTTATCTGCGAGGATGTCCGTGGCAAACACTGCCTCACTAACTTCCACGGCATGAACATGACCACTGACAAGCTCCGCTCGTTGGTCAAGAAATGGCAGGTAATTTGTTTTTTTGCCATCCATTTCTAATAATAGCGCTTGTTCGAATTTCACTAATTGGGAGGAAACTGTCTGAGCATCAGGCTATTTTAACAAACTATTTTTTAGTGTGTATGATTGATATTTCAGCTCACTATATTTTTGTCTACAACCGGAAACAATAGGAGTTGAAAAATATTTTATTGAAAATGAATATTGAGGATAAGATTGATCTTGCTTCTGCGCGAAGTGCATTCGTTCCTGTATCTCGTCTGGTATCTTGCTCAGAATAAAATATTATGTCAGGAGTTGCATTTTTCATTGGAGTAAAGTCCTTGGAAGTTTTTGCCAAATTCAGTTTCATGGAGTACTCCTTTCCCATAATTATTATTGCCATAATTAAATGTGCGCATTTGCGAATGTGTCAGTATGGTTCATTTGCTGCATTTTCTCAGCAGCAGTCCCTGGACATTTCTTCAATGTGCAATTTGGCCAAATTTGTGATGTTTGAACAAAGGCATTTTGGCCATTGTTTGTATCTTTCATTCCTAATACATGTCCTTATTTGTGTTTCTTTTCAGACCATGATTGAGGCTTACGTTGATGTCAAGACCACCGACGAGTACACCCTCCGTCTCTTCTGCATTGGTTTCACCGCCAAGTCCCACCCGAAGACCCAGGTGCGCAAGACCAACTATGCCCAGTCTTCCCAGGTCCGTGCCATCCGTCGCAAGATGGTTGACATCATGACCAAGGAAGTCCAGCAGGCTGACCTTAAGGATGTTGTTAACAAGCTGTAAGTATTATCTTCTGTCACCCTTGTTGTCTGTTCTGGTGACTGTTGTATTCCCAAGGATTTCCAATTTCAACTTTAGTTATATATCAGTGTAGTATACTGGATATTACCTCAGTTTCTTTTCCATGTGTAAGTCCAACACTATGGTGTGTGCTTTGTCATTGAAATGTGCTTTCTGTTTGTGGAAATGAAACCTAAGTATGGTGTGCTGCATGTTCTGCTGTGCCTGTTTACAGCATCCCCGACTCTTTCGGCCGTGACATTGAGAAGGCATGCCAGTCTATCTACCCCCTTCACAACGTCTTCATCCGCAAGGTCAAGGTTCTGAAGAAGCCCCGCTTTGATGGTGAGTGTGGATGACAAATCCGCGCATTCCCTGAATTGTAGTTCTATTGCCCAGGGGTTTATGTCCTATCCAGGAGGGGTTTCTTGAATAACCAGCGTGCGGCTTAGTCGACTGTTTGATCTCTATATCCGGTTTTTCTGATAAGATCATGACAAACCCTGCAACTCGGCTGCCTTGAGTTTTATTGCTATGTGCCAATGTGATTTTTCATATCCCATAGCTCTGTCCAATGTTCCTTTATGGAGTTGGTTTTCTTTGTAGACTCTTGTCAGCCCCATATCCGAGGCCAACACCTGTGGTCAGTACCTGCCTACCCTATAAAGTCCACTACCCTTTGAGTGGGAACTATTGCTTTATTCGCACTGCTGACCATTACCTGTCAGCCGTGCATAAAAAGGGCTCCACGACTTCCAACGAGTTTTGATGCGTCATTTTTCTAGTTCCCAGTTTACACTCTAAAATTGGTGGTATTCCTGGTTGTGATTTGAATGGGAGTTTTGAATTTTTTTCCTGTTTTCTCTTCAGTAAACCGCCTTATGGAACTCCATGGCGAGTCTGCAACCACCGGTGGTGACTCTGGTGCTGCCGTCGACCGCGACAACTACGAGCCCCCCGTACAAGCTGAAGTATGAGGCAACCACTTGTTTTATCCAATAAAATCTGATGCTCCAGGACAAGTTCTGTGCCCTCTGACGTGTGGTGGTATGTGTGTTGGGTTCATGTTGAGTTCTGTTAAATCCCACCTTTAATTGTGTTAGTGGCGTTACAGGCTGGTGTGTTGCGAAAGAGAAACAATCAGCAGAGTTAAGTTTGTAAAAAGGCGACGTGGGGACAATACTCGTAATAATGCAATGAATGAGAGAACTTGGAAGCTCAGGGCCCTATGCTACTGTACAAGCAGAAACATTCGTCTGGAATTTAATTTCGTCTTTTTCGTCCAACGAGCTGTTGGACTAAATTAAACCCTGGACTACTATTGATTTGTCCAGCTTTTCAATACTGTAAGACATGTTGTTATAACGATTGTCCAAAATTCATAGGTTAACGAGAAGATATGTTAATAACGATCTTGCAGTATTCTGCCATATCCACACACAGCATATATGAAGCAGTACGGCTTCAACGGATCTTATTATAACGAAGAAATGTCATCCGTTAAAACGTTAGATTTGCTTCCTCGTTATATATACATGTCTTACAGTACACTCTTATGATCCATGGACGGAATTTACAACCGGACGAACTCCCTTTCTTTGGAGTTTGACGAAATTATTGACCGACGAAATGTTCTGCTTATACAGTATGCTTTGGCTAGCTCATCAAGCATGTTTACCACCTTAATGACCTGGGCAAAAAAGCATAGGGATGTTAAATATAATTTTTTCATTTCTCCTATTTTGTTTTTCAAGACATAACCTAGGATTCGAACCTGCACTATCGCTCTGCATTCATTCTCCTGATACACTTCGCATCCAGAGTATAACCCCCCCCCCCCCCCCCCCCGCAGTGTGTGCAACTCTGCATATGGGTCTCCGGCTGCGAAAACTCACATCGCGCGTCTCAGATACGTGCGCACTACGTACAAACGAAGGATAGCGTGCGTGCAATCCGAGTTTCTGCCATGATCATGCTGGGGATTTGCATACCGGGGATTACAGTAGTCGCGTGCCCAAGAACGTTGTTTCCGAGGGGTTAGCCTGGGACGTTCTTATTTTTCAACAATCTGGCTGCGTTCTTAGTTATAGCACGTTCTTAGAAACCATCCGTACTGGATGATACGTATCCCACAAGCTGCCAGATAACCAACACCGCCGTTCTTAGAATTTCAGGCTGGACGTTCTTGGGCTCCACGTTCTTCAGCGCGCGACTCTACTATGCTGTACCCGCAGTGGGTTTTTGTCAGAGTGCTTTTTTTAGGAGTATGCTGCTCGCTAAAACGGGCTGGAAACGTGCAACTGCGACGCTGCACCACGTGATATGAGTTTTCGCCATCGGCGTACCCCATAGGCATAGGCATAGAAAGGGCTGTCACGGAATTGGTGAATACGTTTTAACGGATGACATTTCTTCGTTATAATAAGATCCGTCGAGGCCGTACTGCTTCATATATGCTGTGTGTGGATATGGCAGAATACTGCAAGATCGTTAACATATCTTCTCGTTAACTTATGAATTTTGGACAATCGTTAAATTTGCGACTCGTTATAATAACATGTCTTACAGTACCTGCTGAAGTGTTGGGTCATAAGGGTGTTTTCTCCGGTCGCACCAGCGCTTCTCCTTCTCCCTCTCGGTCTGGGTGCATTCAGGCGTCCACCATACCGGATTGGGAGGCCTCGTTTCCAGAACTTTGGATGGGACAAACTGTGCAACAACTGCAGTTATTGAAGCGGTAACCTGCTCACAGGAAGTTTCCTCCGTGATGATATCACCCCCCTCCAGGAATCCGCGATTCCGCGGCCGCGGTAAAATCCGCGGAATTCTTTTTTTTTATCCCGCGGAATTCACAGTTTTCACCGCAGAATCGTGAAAAATCACGGTTTGGGGGTCTACTATTTTTTCAACCTCGTCCTAACCCGGCCTTATAATCGAGGACGGTCTTTTATTCTTTCAACCCAGTTTGACCCGGTCTTCTATTTCTCGCCACACAGTTTGAGCACGTTCTTCTATTTTTAACACAAGAACAAAGACTCATTTAGTAGGCCCGGTCTTCTAATCGGAGACGGTCTTTTATTTTTCAATCGCCCCCCTGCCCCGGCCTTGTATACGAGGAAGGCGTTGTATACGAGGACGGCCTTTTATTTGCGGAAATACGGTACTCTTGTTCACATACATACTCATTCTTCCACGTTGCTTCACGTTATGATCTTGCATTTGAAAGCCCTATTTGAATATTGTGGCCAGCTGTCTTGGACGGTACGATACGGGATAGCGCCAGGCATGCCGACGGCACAAACAAACACGGAATTAAAGCTGTGTGGACCCTGGCTAGCGCCAGACGTTACTGAAGTAACGTCTTTTGCATAGCTATGGGAATAAAACTAAATGTGCACTCAATAGTAGTACCGTAAAATCCCGCCAGAGAGTCTTTCCCATCCGCCCCTCCCTGACTTCTTGTCAGGGACGTGATCCTCGTATGACTCTGTCACAGTCTTGTGATGCCGTACTGTACTGCAGACGCGTGCTCGACCCCATTGGAAATGTACGCAACAGTGCCCACCCTCTTGACCAGGGATCGCACAAACCCTGAGTTTTGACGGGTTTGTACGACTCCTGGCTCTTGACCTTTGGTCGGTGTACGAGATGCATGAACAGTTTTCGCAGGGTGAGTACTTTTTCATGTACAGTACTGAATGCGGCAAGTAGGACTCGCCCATCCGCCCCTCCCCACCCGAAGCGTCGAGGAGGTAGGGGCGCTCTGGTGGGATGTTACGGTACTGTTCTTTCAATCAAGGGTGTGTTTGGTTGGTACGGTCTAGAACAGGATCGAACAGCTGGTGCACATAGAGCAGCCTCATGCCAACCAAACAGTACTCCAGAAACAGAGCACATTTTTGTGGAAAGGGTACCAAACTCGGAGCATTCTTCAAAATGTGTACGGGTCACCATGGTCACTTTGACCTAGGGGTGAAACGGCTCCAGGTTTTTCATGTTCGGGTACCCGAATGCCAGCATTGTTTCCCACGGTTCGGGTATCGGTTCCATGCACTCTTCTCTCCAGACCGACAAAATGCGTTCGCGACAATTATTTTTTAGAAAAACATTTTTACGAGCAAAAATGAGACATCGGAGAGTCAAGTGCGAAGAAGAGAACTCTTTGGAAGAGTGGGGATCGCAAGGTAAGACATTTAAAATCTTGAGTAGACTTGACGTCAGGGAATTTTCTAGAACCGCCCCAACCGGTTTTCGACCGGTTGAAATTGTTGGCGACCGGTTGAAAAGTTACAAATCAGTTCCAACCGCCCGTACTTTTCTGTGGGTGAATGGAGCTGTGAATGGTCAAACGCTTTTTTCTGGACGGATACTTCCAGCGAAGCCGCGTGGGCTGGTACTAGGGTCACGAGTTTGTACTCCAGCACCAAGAAATCTGTTAAATTGCTGTCGAGTGCCATATTTGGGTTGTATTTTGAAAAAAAATTCCGGGGTGACCCCGCACCCCCCGACTCTTCATTGGACCGTAACCGGTTGGAAATTTGTCCTAGAATATACCCTGGACCGTCACGTGTACATGTATTTGTACAAGAACGAGATTTTTCGAGTTTCGGGTCGAAATTTGACGGAACGGGTACCCGATTCTTTTCAGCTGGCGGTTCCAAAACCGGTTCCTTAGGGCCTGGTCAGACTGCGGCAAATTTTGGTTGCCTGACGAAAAAAGAACAGATGGCTCCCAGACAAGATGCTCTGTTGCCCTCCCCTTGGCTAAAACGTCCTCCCTTGTACGCTCTCCACTCTTTGTTGCTTACTCTGCTTGGCTTGCGCTTGGCTAAAACGTCCTCCCTTGTACGCTCTCCACTCTTTGTTGCTTACTCTGCTTGGCTTGCGCTGCCCGCTACTACGCGCAATGCCGGTACCCTGGACGCATTTAAATCTGCTCACTAGATTCACCATCACCTGTCCCGCCCATGCTTCTCCGTCTTGACCATTACTTTTCTTCTTTTATTCACCATGGTTGGTTAACACCCACATCTCCCGTACTGGCTGATTTTCTTCTCATGCCATGAGGTGTTGTCTATAATAATAATAATAATAATACAATGGTGTAGCCAATCAATGGATAAACATTTCCATCAGTTCTAATAACATGCATGATGAGCTAGGCAAAAAAAGCATAGCGTAGGGCCCTGAGCTTCCAAGCTCTCTCGTTCCTCATCTTTGTTGTTGTTATTTGTTTATTTAGAGTCGAAGAACAAACAGGCAAATTTACCTACAGTAGAGTCGTGCGCCCAAGAACGTAGTTTCCAGGGGGTTAGCCTGGGACGTTCCTATTTTCCAGCAATCTGGCTGTGTTTTGATATCATGTTCTTAGAAACAATCCGTACTGGATCATATGTATCCCACAAGATGCCAGAAAACCAACACCGCCGTTCTTAAAAACACAAACACAGCCAAACACAACTCCTCTGTCTCTTCGCGGATGTTATGTTCTGCCCATCCACATAGTCCTGAAATGAACTTTTCCACCTGCGCCATCTTGCCGAAACTTCATGGGCAAGACCCTCGAGATCGAACGGCTCCCAAACCAGGCCTACTCCTGTGAGCGCCATTGTCACTGAGGCCTACTCGGGTTATCTATAACTATTACCAAGAGTACATACCCCCCCCCCCCCGGGGGATTGCGGACTCTTGCTATTACCAAGAGCAAGGGTATTCTACTCTTGCCAAGAGTACATAACTCCCAAGAGTATGCACCTCCAGCTATGGGGTCTGCAGCGGCAGAACTTCACATCACGTGAACCCGTACACATTTTTTGCACTCTGTGCATGATAGATACAGGGTTGTGCACAACCTTGCTTTTAGGCTATCTCTTGTGGTCACTTTGCACTGTTTGCCAGCGTAACCTTTTGAACCATATCACGTGACGTGAAGTTCTGCCGTCGCAGCACAGCATAGAGCATTAGAGGTTGTGCAGGCAGTTGCACACTCTTGGGGGTTGTGTACTCTTTGCTATTCTAAGGGACCATCGCAAAAGTTCGCAGAAGCCCCCGAAACGAAGACCGTGAGTTTCGGGCCTGACCCCCCTCAAACGAAACGACAGTCACAATATGGGCTTCATTATTTCACTTGGATGCTGCACACATAATAATAATTATTATTATAATATACTACACAGCAGGGGTTCATAAACCCTATGAACCCCTGCTAGTACTAGTACTACTAGCAAGAGTCCATAAACCACGCGTTTTATGGACTCTTGGTACTAGACTACACACAGTGTACAGGCAGCCAGCTAGGCGACACGCGCAGTTGCATGAATGGACTACGCGTCCTGACAAGCGATCTACGCCGGCTGTGATGGCATGCTAATCTATCAGCTCCTACATGTCGTCAATACTTTTTTGAATTGAAGCCCGGTTTGCGATTTTCGACACGACTCCCTCCCCCCCCAAACGTATGCTCTTCGTTTCAGGGGCTTCTGCGAACTTTTGCGATGGTCCCTAAGTTAGTTCATCTTCGTCGCCAACGTTATGTTCTGGGACATTATTATTATTACATTATTACTGGTCAAACCAAAGCACTAACAAAGACAAAAACTAAAGACCAGGAACCAGGAACACAAAACACAGAGAAAGGAAACAAAACAGATACACATACTTCTGAAGTACAACAGATACACATACAAATGTTGTCCCAGTATGCTATAGACTCGGATGGAGAGCCAAGGATTAATTTATACAAAAGAAAAATGTATTTACACAATTGGGTGAACTCACCCATTCCACAATTCTCTGCAAATCTGAACCATTCCAATATAGTACAACGTTTCGGCACTTGGCCATCGTCAGGTAATAACAATGAATACCGTGGAAGCCACACAAGAGCCAAAACTTCTTCTCAAAAGAAGAATGGACCAAGGAACTACCGTACTGGCAATATATGTTGCCGCGTAACGCGTAACGCAGGGGGGTGCGGCGTAACGCGCGACCAGGCTAGTGCGACAAATTTTCGTTGCGTTCGTAACGCGCGTCAGGCGGGGTGCGGCGATCTTTTCATTGCAGTTTGCACTGCAAAGGCTGAAAACTGTGAAAGCACGTGTACCGCGTGGCAAAAAAAAGGACTGCGGCAATATAGAAACCTGTGTAACGGCTCCTGTGCGACTTTGCATGTAACGCCCTGCGTGCGGCAAACATGTGCCAATGTAACGCTTCATGGCCTCACTGCGGCAACATATATTGCCAGTACGGTACAAGTTACGCTATAATGTCCACTAACACCACCAGTTACTTTTACAATCAGCTCATGCGATAACATTGCACGACACTGACCGACAGTACTGACGTTCTACAACTAACCGGCTAACAGCTCTAGCACATCTTGGATGCGCACTCCAACAGCCTTCCAACTGATGAGCCGTCCATATCTATACGGCGAAACGATTGTCGTGTGAAACTGCTGCTTGTTACCGCTGCTTATTGTCCATCTAAATTGTCATAGTCGAAGTACAGCGCTGTTTTACTGAGGCGTTCGGTTTAGCATGATTCCTGTTCGCATAGCTTCCCCTTTTATTGATCTTCGCATCTTTTGAGCCACACAAGTTGTGTGGAATGTTGCTTTGCGTCCTTGAATCGTGGTTTGACTGTGTTGTCCAATGGTCTTGCCAGTATCATCGACATGCATGAACATCCGCCAACGTCCTTCACAGCTGAGACTTTCAGCTCGTGCTTATCTTGGTTGCGCTCATCTTCCCCTCCTTATGTTATTTCTATAACTAATTTACTTAGAACCTCCAAGTTGGAGGGCTGTTGGAGTGAGCATCCAATGTGTGCTAGAGCTGTTAGCCAGTTAGTTGTAGAACGTCAGTACCGTCGGTCAGTGTCGTGCAATGTTATCACAGGAGCTGATTGTTTAGTAACTGGTGGTGTTAGTAGACATTATAGCGAAACTTGTAGTTCCTTGGTCCATTTTTCTGTGTGCTAACTCTAACGAGTTAACGAGGAGAAATCTGTTGCTAAAATAGAGATCGTTATACAGAAATCGATACATATACTGTCCTATTGTCCTATTGAGCGTTGAGAATGAGTGAGAATCGTTACCTTTGGTACACGTAAACTAGTCAATTTAGGGAAATCGTTATATATGCGCCAGAGTTAGAATAATGGCTTTTACAGTATACTATAATAGTACAATGCCATATTATAGTATTAACCAGGAGGCCTGCAACATCACAGACATGACGACGGCAATGATGATGGTCACGGTGGTGGTGGTGTTGGAGGAGTCTGAGCAACGGAGCACAACAAAACATGCATGGACGGCAAAGGAACAGGTGAGCACCAATGCACACAATCCTGTCAGGATAGCAGGTCATAGCCATAGGGCTGCATGCCTGTATGTCACATGACTGCCTGTTTGTATACATGTCACATGACTGCATGCCTGAAAGCAAGTCACATGACTGCATGCCTGTACACAAGTCACATGACTGCATGCCTGTACACAAGTCACATGACTGCATGCCTGTACACAAGTCACATGACTGCATGCCTGTACTAGGCCTAGCCCAAATTTGCTCGGGGCGCTTCGATATTTTGCCGGCAAATTTTGCCCGATCACTTTCCATATTTTGCTTGGCATTGCCTTTCGTTTCCGATATTTTGCTCCATTTTGCTCCTGCTTTGTGGCAAAAATGGCTTCGAATGAACCGTCTACTTTGGTAAAAGTGGATGGTGACTCTGATGAGGAAAGCAAAACTTATAATGGTGTCAGTATTACGGATTTTGGAGCATGATTTCAAATTTATGTACCCCTGACAACCTGCACGAGCTATTTCAGCACGACGTTGGCCCAATGAAACCAACGAAATTTGAATAAAATTACCAAAACACACCCGGATCCTCTGTAAATTCGATATTTTGCTCGGAATTTGCCAGCAATTTCTTTTCGTTGGAAAATTCGATATTTTGCTGGAAGAATTGCCGGCAAATTTGGGCTAGGCCTAGCCTGTACACAAGTCACATGACTGCATGCCTGTACACAAGTCACATGACTGCATGCCTGTAGAAAGTTAGTTACATGCCCGATGACAGAACTGCATGCCTGTGTTGCGAATTTGTATTACGACTATGATTTACGCATGTCGTTGTATTTGGTCCTTGTCTTAATCTTGTGGAGTTCAGTGTCTGATGTCATATATTATGGTCTAAGTGTAGGTGTACGTGCGAGTATGGTGTGATGTGTGACGTTTATGGTATGTGGTGCATGCAAGAGTACGCGTTGTCAGAGTGTGAGGATCTGCTTCCGTCTGTGTGAGAGTGACTGTCAAGTGAATGCTGTACATGCGCAGTGCTAGTTTGGTCTGGGAATGAGAGTCATGTGTGATTCGTCCGTGGTCTGGTTGTCTTGGTCTTGGTCATGTGTTCTGTACGTATTAGTCCCTGATTGGTTGTCCCGATTTGTCGTCGGTTTATTACTGCTTGTTCTTTGTTGATTCTTCTTGTCTTTTTCCGTTTTCTTTTCCCGTGTCCATTTTCGTCTTTCTCCTCCTGTGCCCTCACCGTTTATTATTGACAAGTGAATACTAGTATTGAAGCTAACTGAACGGTGTGTTGCTGTGTGGCGGGGGCCAGGGAGAGAACAATTTACTATTTCACCTGTACACCCTCGGACAATAGAGAAGAACCCAGGAAGAAGCAAACCATCAACTTTTTCTTCTTCTGGAAAGATCAATTAACCCATGAGTAATACAAAGGGCCCTCACTCTTCAGCACTTTGTGCACAATGCACAGCATTTTGGTAACACGCAGCACAGGATAATACGGAGGATTAGCAAGACGAAATTCGCGTTCGCGTTCGCTCTCCAAAGAAAGTTGAACTCAGTGACGGAATTCGCGTTATGAGAAGGATTAGCAAACAGAATTCGCACATGCATGATGTTGACACGACGTAGGCAGTACAGCGTGGTAAATTTATGACTGCCCTGACACGAATCCACGATTCGTGTTCCGACTACTTTTCCGAACGAAAAATGCGAAAGTTCGCAATCCAGTTCGCGAACTGAAAAATGTTTGCGAACGCGAACGCGAATTTCGTCTTGCTAATCCTCCGTAATACTGGGAATTCTCTGGTTCTGCAGGTTCGAGGCCGCACTATCACAACTTACCATCTACAAGCACATTCAGCCATAGGCACAGCCAAAAAAAATAGTGACACCATATGCCATATCTATGGCCTTTCCCCATCAAAATGTATGTGATTCGAAGTTACGAACATTCCGAAGTACAGGTCCTCCCTCGTTAGTAGATAATCTCTGGGCAATCGAAAAAGTTAACTTATAACGAGTGTTGTGTATCAGTAGAAAGACTTTTCATGGCTCATTTTTGTTGTGGTCCCTTTTGTTTATTTTGGTTTGTTTTGCGTTCTGCTTTTGCCGTTTTGGCTATGTTGGACGGGTTTGGTTGCATGTACAGTTTGTACATGAACCAAGTAACGGTTACGTCATTGTCATGCGTTGTGTTTTGTTGCGCGCATGCTCATATGCTGCCATAAATGTTAGTCTTGTTCTTCAGTTATCAGTTTACCTCGTCGTGTCCGGTCTTCTTCTCTGTCCGTCTCCGTCTTGTCAAGAAATTATGAAGAACTCTTAGTTCAGTTTCGTTGTTGTGTGTGGCGGGTCGGATGGGCAGGGAGGCTGGGCCCCTGACGCCTGGACAACATGTGCGAGTGCACTAAAACGAGACTTATCTTGTAGCAGGACTTACAGCTAAAGGTGAAATAGGCACTACTTCGTACTTACCGGGGCTACCCTCGATACAACATAAATTATCGATGCTTCAACTCGTTATAAGATAATTGAAAATCTCCAACATAACTCTTCCTTGGATGAAAAGGATCATCCATATTCGCAAATACATAGATAAATTGTATATTACGTTTCGTCTTTCTGCTTTATCCTACGTGTTTTTGCCTTGGTCCTGCATGGTCAGTATTATCTTATACTGAGGGTTTGGCACTCCAGGGACCTGGGCAAAGGGTCGTTATAACGAATTTTATGTACTAACGGATCATGTTGTAACCGGACCTGTAAACAGTTGTATAGACCACGTTTCGCCAGGGGATTTCAGATTTCTATTTACTAACGGGGTTTATGTACTAACCGGACTCGTTATAATGAGGGAGGACCTGTAACGGGCAGTGCCCGGTCCCGGACTTCCCGGATAAATGAGGTATGAGTGTAGTTGATTTGTGATGCATACCACCATTTTCTTTTGCTGCTGTTGTTATTCCCACTTTATTCTCTAGTGCTGCAGTAATATTCCTTTTCGTATAACTATAAGGCCACACGTTTTTATTTCTATGTTTCTCGTCACCCGAAAATCTCAAATCGTATGCGAGAGGTGGAAAAAAATAGGAAATAACCGAAAAATATAGAAAAAAGTTTACTAGACCGTAGAAGCTGGCACCAGAATCAATCACACTCAAACTTAAGTCGAAGCACTCACTTTGTAGCTTTACAAATAATCGTCAGGAAAGAGTATTACATACACACTCGGAAGGCAAAGAAAGTAAAGAAGAAACAAGAAAGAAGAAAGCAAGGGAACAAGAGTTTGTCAATTTGGTCATACTAAAATCGACCAATAGACCGTGTAAAATAGCATCCAAAGTTAGCAAGTACAGTAAAACCTGTAACTAAAGACCGGCACCGTGACTAGCGACCAGCCTGGTACTACCGACCACTTCGCCAGGCACGGACGGTCTCACATTCAAAATTCACTGTGACTAGCGACTACCTGCTGAACGCGACCAGCGACCGCCTTTTCTTGTCCCAAAGACGATTTTTGACCCGTAACTAGCGACCGCAGTGTAAGAAATCAAAATGTTGCTCGAAGCTCCTTCTTGAAATTAATTTTGATGATTTTCCGTGGTCCTGAAAGGAATCTTTCGATACCACAGCTGAAGAAATGAACGCAGGTCATTTTGACTGTGGAGTCGGTGTGGACTGCACTACACCTGTCAGAATTTCAAGCTCTGTCAAGAATAGACATGATTGGAAACGTCTTGGAGAGCGCATCGAAAGCGCTCTCCAAGACGTTTACTACTCGGAGGAGAAACGAAGACTGAGCGGCTCTGTCACCCTAGTCATACAGACGAATCGACGATGGCATAAAGGAATCCAAAAACAAAGCAGCACCGCAAGGTCCTGATGCTGAAGGGTCGCGTTCAAGCAATCGAGAAGTCGCAACAAGGACAGTCAGTACGATTGATCGCATGAACACATTTGAAGCCCAGCGCAAAAGAAAAAATTTCCACAGGGAACGTTTGACTCCTGGCTTCAGAAGTAGGAGCCAAATTTGATGTCCGCAAAAAATAATCTTCCTCTCTCTCTGCCTCTCTCCATCTCCCCGTCTTTCTCTCCAAGTGTTGTTTGACCTGAAATAAGAATGGCATTGCGCAAGTCTTGGGGATTTGTATTAGCTGCATTTTGATATACATATAATGGGATCCATATATGGTCGCGTGGTGCAAACCTCTAACTAAAGACCACCTGCTACTAAAGACCGCTTTTGCTGGCACCAAGGGGTGGTCGGTAGTCACAGGTTTTACTGTAGTACGTAGTAGGAGCTTCTGTGTACATGCAGCTAACAGTTAGATTGCGCAACAACTTTGACTGCCTGCAGTGTAGTGTACTGTGTAGCAAAGAGTTGGTGGACAAGCCGTTGATTATTCACTCTCATTGTAATATCAAAAAAGTATTCTTTCTAGACCAAAGAGTGGTATATTTGATAAAATTTAATAACGATAGAAATATTTACGATACTTCTCCAGACGTTTCGTTGTTCTGAACAACATCGTCAGTGGATAAAGAATGGAGGGCTATGGGTGGTGGCACGGGTTAATAGGGAGTGATGGTGGTGATATGAGGTGAGAAGGTGAAGGTGGGAAATACATATATCTAAGTTAATGGTGAAGGTTAGGTGCGGGTCGATACAGGTGGAAGGAGGTACACCCTTGGGGTAGAAGTGTAGGTTGGTAGAAGGTGTTGGTGTGCGTAGAAGGTGGAGTGGCGTAATGGAAGTGTCGGGTTGATAAATGGTGGATCAGCAATAGGTGTTGGTGTATGTGGTGGGTAGAATTGGCAAGAGGTGTGTGTGTGTGTGTGTGTGTGTGTGTGCGTGCGAAAAAGAGAAAGGCGGGAGAGAGCACCGGGTGCGGGTGTTCTTCTTCTATTGCGAAGATTTTTGGATGGGTTGGCAGATAGTGGATGGTGGTAGGCAAGCTATGCCAAGAATCCAGTTCCCATATCTTCTTTTCTTCTGTTGATAGTAGGTTTCTTGTCGCGAATGGCATATGCCTCACGGATCCGGAGCCTCAGTTCATCCCTCTCCGTGAGCTGAGCAATCTCGTACATAATCTCTGGGGTGGCGTTCGGGTGTTCCCTAGCGTAGTGCACACCGAATGCAGACTTCTTGTCATGAGATTTTGCAGCATTTGTGTGCTCTTGGGCCCGGGTGTGCACTTGCCTCCCAGTCGAGCCGACGTATCTCTCATGACAAAGGTGGCATGTAGCTTCGCACACGGCAAATCTGCAGGTGCATTTCTTCCTGAACATAGGGCATTCGGGCATTCTGCATTTTTCCGGTTCTAATTTTTTCTTCGTGAGTTCTTGGATGGTTGGGGGTCGAGGGTTAATGAGGCGTGCCGTTATGCCGTTTTTCTTAAGTGCCTGTCGTACTTGGCCGTTAACCTTGTCGGAGATGTACGGTATTCTAAATACCAGTTGTTTCCCTTTTGTTTGTTTACTTGTGTTGCTTCTTCGGGCTCGCGCTTTGATGATGTGTTCTGCAGAATAGCCGTTCGCTGCAAGTTTATCTGAGATGAGGCGTCTGGCTTCCTCCGCAAACTCAGGCGTGCTGTTGTCTTGTGCTCGTTTGTATTCATTGTTAATGACCGCCATCTTAACCGCCGTTGGATGGTGGGAATCTGCGTGTAGTGTTATTCCTCTGTTTGCTTCTTTTACGTAGAGCTTGTGTGTGACTTTGCCGTCGGGAAGAATCTTTAGTCTGATATCCAGGATTGGTAGGAAACCATCTTCGTCCGGCAACTCCAGTTCAAACTTGATTGTCGGGTGTTTTCCGTTGAGTTTGGTCAGTAGAGACCGTGCTTCCGCAGGAGTGTCAACTGCGGTTCCCGAGTCGTCTACATAGCAAACGAATACTGGCAACGGCGGCGAGATGTTTCTGTAAATGTGGCGCTGTTCAAAGCGGTCCATGACGATGATGGCTATTGTGCCGCTCAGTCTGCTGCCCATCGCCAATCCCCTTGTCTGTTTGAATGTTCCAAGGGTTGGGTGTTGGAACACGTTGTTACATAGAATCAGACCGAGTAGCTCTTTTAGGTCGACCGGTGTGAGGGAGTAGGTATTGATTTTGAAGCGATTCGCGTATTCGAGGACGGTGCTGATTCCTTCTTCAATGCCAATGTTTGTGTACAGCGAGATCACGTCGAATGAGATGGGGATTTTCTTCTTCAGTTTGTTTTCGTTGCTCGTAAATTGGGCTATTAGGTCCCGCGTGCTGCTGATGTGGGCGCTCACGTTAAGCAGCAATGGCTTGAAGATGAAATGGAGGATCCAACCGAGTCTTTCGAAAATGCCGCCTGATCCCGAGACGATTGGGCGAATCTTGAGAGATTTCTTGTGTGTTTTCGGCAGTGCGTAGAACCGTTGGGTTCTTGCGCAGGGTGGCGTATTGAGTCATCTGATGATGATCTTGGGGAAATCTCTGCTTCTGAGAATTTTCTCTAGAGCTTTGTTGATGGTGAGGCGCAGTGTCAGTGTTGGATCTTTCTGAAGTTTGCAGTATGTTGTTGAGTCGGCGAGGTGCTCCCTGCACAGTTCCTGCATGTCCTCCGCCTTCATGATCACCATCTCGCCTCCTTTATCACTTCGAGTGACCACGATGTCTTCACGTTCTCGTAGTTCTTTAAGCGCATGCCGGTCTGCGTGGGAGATGTTGGGTTTAGGATTCTGCCATTTCCCCGCCGTTCTCATAATGCGCTCCATGTCCGTGATGAAACCTTTGATGGATCGCTCGGCTGGGTCTATGTCCCGTGGCGGTGCTTTTCTCCTGATCTTGAACGGACATTCTGATTTGATAGGGTCGAAGGTTCCACCAATACCGGTTCCGATTCTCTCCCCAGCGGCTTTCCATCGAATGCCGTATGCGAGTACAGCGATCTCCGTCTGTAACTTCTGTTGCAGTCCTTTCTTGGTGAATTTCGGTGTGATGGCGAATTTTGGGCCTTTTGCTAGAAGCGACACTGCCTGTTCGGATACACTGATATCTCCCAGTATACTGACTCTCTGTGTTAGGTTCCTGTGTCTCTCAGTGACGTTGTCTGGCATCGAGGTCTGAGGGCTGTTCGGCACGCAGCCGGGTCCCAGTAGTAGTGTACCGTCTGGTTGTTCTCGGGATTCTGTTAGTCTCTTGAATTTCTGCTTCAAGGATGATTTCCATTTTGTCTTGCTGGCATGGGCTGCTGCGTTGACCAGATCATTTAGTCGCTGGTATTGGTCGCTTCTCCGGTGCATGGATGCCTGCGGCTTGTTGGCCTTTGATTTTGAGGCGTGGATGGCATGGTATTCCGCGCGTATGAGTTGTCCGAGTACTCGTTTTTCGGTTTGCGTTGATATCGTTGAGTATAAGCCAGGTTCTTGATGGCTGTTGGGAAGCGGATTGGGTTGTGTAACGCGGGTGGACATATACCAGCGTTTCTGCAGCGCCGAAGAAAGATCACATTCTGCTCCCGATGCTTGAGTCTCTCCACATTTGCCATCCATTCTGTTGCTTGTCCGCGAGTTGATCGGTCCAGTCCAAAGTCAAAGAGTTGGTGGACAAGCCGTTGATTATTCACTCTCATTGTAATATCAAAAAAGTATTCTTTCTAGACCAAAGAGTGGTATATTTGATAAAATTTCCACGCATACCAATATTCACTACCTTTCTCTTTTTCGCACGCACACACACACACACACACACACACACACACACACACACACACACACACACACACACACACACACACACACCTCAGACCTCAGACATGCCCATCGCGAAAGCGATGATAGCGAACAGCTATGTTAGACATAGCAACTTGTGCTGGGATTACACCATTCAACAGCTTGCAAGGCTGATGAATTGACCGCCACTATTTTTAGCCTGGTATCCACCACACAGCTGTTTTGAAGTGACTTTTTTCTGGCCAGTGAATCCCTATTTTTCATTTTTCCATTTTTTTCTACACACGCACACCACACCACATACTCCGGCATACACTGGCTGTTGGTAACCACCCAGGAGAATGAAAGAAAAGTCAGGAGAGTCCGAGAAAGAGAAGAAAGACGTGTGCGACCATAATCGTCGGGAATTGAACCCGCAACCTCTCGATCGGAAATCGACTGCACATACCACTGCACCATATGGGACACACACACACACACACACACACACACACACACACCTCTTGCCAATTCTACCCACCACATACACCAACACCTATTGCTGATCCACACCCTACCTAGACTCTCTCCCACATTTATCAACCCGACACTTCCATTACGCCACTCCACCTTCTACGCACACCAACACCTTCTACCAACCTACACTTCGACCCCAAGGGTGTACCTCCTTCCCACCTGTATCGACCCGCACCTAACCTTCACCATTAACTAAGATACATGTATTTCCCACCTTCACCTTCTCACCTCATATCACCACCATCACTCCCTATTAACCCGTGCCACCACCCATAGCCCTCCATTCTTTATCCACTGACGATGTTGTTCAGAACAACGAAACGTCTGGAGAAGTATCGTAAATATTTCTATCGTTATTAAATTTTATCAAATATACCACTCTTTGGTCTAGAAAGAATACTTTTTTGATAGTACTGTGTAGCATCAAGGTTATACTCTTGGTAGAATCAAGAGTATATAATCTTCCATATACACACACTTGAGAGGGACGAAAAGCGTTTTCCCTCTCAAGTGTGTGTACTAGGCTCTGCACCTTGGTGTATTGAGCACTCTCACGAGCAACCACAACTCCCTCCGAGTTCGTATTTACTTAGAGTCGTCTATTGGGCGTTTGTGGGTGGGTGGGTTCGCCTGCAAGGCGTCTCTAAAAATGCATTTCGGAGTGCACGCATACCATACCGCATGTGCTGGAAGTGCTGGCCGAGGTCGAAGCTGGGCGTTCATCAACTGTAGATGCTGTTGCGGTTATTGGAGGTCCTGGGGTCGAAGCTGGGCGTTCATCAGCTGTAGATGCTGTTGTGGCTATCGGATGTCCTGCAATGGACCAACGATGGGTAGACCACAGAACACGGACAAATGTTAAACTCATTCACATCGACATTCTCATACAATAACAAAACAACAAAGAAGAACGATCACCAAATCGCTGTCATGAGCAAAACGTGCACGCGTGCGTGCATTCGGCTTGCGTGTACGAAGCATACATCAGTGCATGCATGAAGAGTAGAAAAGCAGAGCAGCACGGAGATGATCACATGCATGAAGAGTCCACATAACCATAGGGATAATATGGTGACAGCAAAAGTCCGCGTTCAAAAGTGCAGGTGCAACAAAGAAAAGTCAGAGTGCAGAACAAACAGAAATTCAAATCGAAAGGTCGTCCTCGCTAGCAGTGAGACAAGTATCTTATTTCCCCGATTACAAGTCACACTCGGTTATAAGTCGCACCCCCATTTTCTGGTTTGAGCAATATTGATTATTTTGATAATTATTTTTGACTTCAGTAGTAAGTTTTGCTCGATTGTAAGTCGCACCCCTTTTTTAGCCTTGAATTTTAGTGTAAAAAGGTGCGGCTTATATTCAGGGAAATACGGTAGCTGTTTCATGGATTTGTTCTATGGAGGTATTTGAGAAATGAGAATGTATTTCTCTACTCTTAGCATATATTGGTGTTCTATATAGAGTTAGCCCCATCCCTCACACAAACAAGTCAACAAAGAGGCATCTTTGGATTGAGGAGTGCTGGTTTCGAAACAACTGGTTTGAAGCTCAAAGTAGAGCTGGTGTTAGCTCAGAGCAGAGCTGCTGTTAGCTCAGAGCAGAGCTGCTGTTAGCTCAAAGTAGAGCTGCGGTTAGCTCAAAGTAGAGCTGCGGTTAGCTCAAAGTAGAGCTGCGGTTAGCTCAAAGTAGAGCTGCTGTTAGCTCAAAGTAGAGCTGCGATTAGCTCAAAGTAGAGCTGCGATTAGCTCAAAGTAGAGCTGCTGTTAGCTCAAAGTAGAGCTGCTGTTAGCTCAAAGTAGAGCTGCTGTTAGCTCAAGGTAGAGCTGCTGTTAGCTCAAAGTAGAGCTGCTGTTAGCTCAAAGTAGAGCTGCGGTTAGCTCAAAGTAGAGCTGCTGTTAGCTCAAAGTAGAGCTGCGGTTAGCTCAAAGTAGAGCTGCTGTTAGCTCAAAGTAGAGCTGCTGTTAGCTCAAAGTAGAGCTGCTGTTAGCTCAACGTAGAGCTGCAATGCTAAGTGGATGTAATATAGCGCAAGGCAGAGCCGCAGCAAATAGCTAGATAACACCAGTTGTGAGAGTGGACCCGGTTAGTGGGTACGATAATATTATGATGGTGTGAATAGGTTGGATAGGGAGGGATGGTGGGAAAAGAAACACTGCTGAAGCACGATCCGTTGTCTGGAAGAGCACAACACGGCAAGCAAGATTTGTTTTTCTTTTCCGCAAAAATGGGCTGGTGCCATTTGTGATTACGCAGCAAAACAAAGCGCATGACGTCAGTCTTGAATGCAGTACAAAGCAATGCAGTGCAGTGTGTGCGCTAGTTCGGATTGTTGCTAACAAGTACTAGCACAGCTAGTACACCATTAGCCCCATCCCTCACACAAACAAGTCAACAAAGAGGCATCTTTGGATTGAGGAGTGCTGGTTTCGAAACAACTGGTTTGAAGCTCAAAGTAGAGCTGGTGTTAGCTCAGAGCAGAGCTGCTGTTAGCTCAGAGCAGAGCTGCTGTTAGCTCAAAGTAGAGCTGCGGTTAGCTCAAAGTAGAGCTGCGGTTAGCTCAAAGTAGAGCTGCGGTTAGCTCAAAGTAGAGCTGCTGTTAGCTCAAAGTAGAGCTTCGATTAGCTCAAAGTAGAGCTGCGATTAGCTCAAAGTAGAGCTGCTGTTAGCTCAAAGTAGAGCTGCTGTTAGCTCAAAGTAGAGCTGCTGTTAGCTCAAGGTAGAGCTGCTGTTAGCTCAAAGTAGAGCTGCTGTTAGCTCAAAGTAGAGCTGCGGTTAGCTCAAAGTAGAGCTGCTGTTAGCTCAAAGTAGAGCTGCGGTTAGCTCAAAGTAGAGCTGCTGTTAGCTCAAAGTAGAGCTGCTGTTAGCTCAAAGTAGAGCTGCTGTTAGCTCAACGTAGAGCTGCAATGCTAAGTGGATGTAATATAGCGCAAGGCAGAGCCGCAGCAAATAGCTAGATAACACCAGTTGTGAGAGTGGACCCATGAAACCAGCACTCCGTTAGCTAAGCACTATTGACGCACAGCAAGGGTCAATTAATGTCAGCACAGGCAAGCATTGCGCAGCTAGAGTTCAGTAGCTCATTACTCACCCGAGTTGGGGATCACGGCATCCATGGCACGGCAGCAAGCCGGGACGATAGCTGGCGCTATGCGCTTGTTGTAGTCTGGATGTAGCATAGCCACGCATCGCTCTTTCCACTGACCTGCCACTCGGAAGAAGGAGTCGGGGGCACTAGCCATAGCAGCGGTGGTGGCTGCACCAATGTGGGCCGAATGCCCGGAGTAGTTCGACTGGGATGGTACACCGGCCGCAGCGACAAGAGACCATACTGTTACTGTGAATGACTGCCTGGTCAGCTGCTGTCTGTTCGAGAGTACGAACAAGAGTTGCTCCGGTCCCTCGCGACGAGTGACAAATGGGTAGCTAACAATGGCACGGACCGGGCAGTACGGCGGTACAGACGGGCCAATGTCACTAGTAACGCCTTTACCGAATGGGTCCGTCTTGGATGACAGCAGGAAGAGTTGCAGGCGTCCGTCACGAGGGGAGCTAGTACAGCCCCGTGTGATGCCATTAGTGAATTCAGCGCACCGAAGAAATCCAAAGAAGCAGCATGGCGGCTTGGTAGAGCAGCTTGTCATGGCCATTCAGGATACTACTTTTCCGGCGTGCATCCGTCAGGTGTCGTAGGATTGGCATAGTTATAGGAAGGCGAGGGGTGAGTGCAGCCGTACCATGGCATCGCTGGATGCCCTTCAACACCCTCTTCAGAAGCCATGCATCTACTATGGGGCCGGCAAACCCATTCTCAAGGTGGGCTTTATGCACCGCACTCGCATACACAGATACAGTTCAGGGCGCGCTGATCATAGTTCACGCATGAATGTGTGTCCAGGAACGATGACTCGGGCAGCAAAAGTGAGCTTCCCCAGGAGGGACTCGAGTTGACGCTGGCCGATGCTGCGCTCGCTGATAGTAGCCATGAGTGGCGCACGGATCTCGGACAGCTTGTCCTCTGGTAGCCGAGCTTCGTGGCGCTCGCAGTCTAGGACAATACCAAGGAAGGTCAATGATGGTGATGGCCCTTCGAGCTGGGATGGAGCAAAGAGGAGTGCCGAGATACGTGAACGCCCGGAGGGGGATGGTGAGTTGCTGGTTGGCTGCAGCCAAACCAGTGGAGATATCGAGAAAGTCATCGAGGTAGTGAAGCCGGTGATCTATAGCAAACTCGTGCTGCATGATCCAGTTGACTGCTGTGGCTACTGAGTCAAAGACGGCTGGGCTGGAGCGGAGGCCGAAAGGCAGAAAGCGCTCGTAGTAGTAGGAGCCTTCCCAGCGAAGTCCTGACGGCGGACTGGGATCTGCCGAAATGCACTGCGTACATCGAGCTTGGACAAATACACAGGCTGTGGGCATGACATGATGATGTTGATCGCGTTGTCAATGCTCGCGTAGTGCAGAGAGAGCGGCTCGGCAGGAATGCTGTCGTTCGCGCCGGTGCCTTCCGGACTAGACAGATGGTGGATCATTCGCGGCTTGCCGTTCTTTTTGGGGATGGCACCAATACCAGAGCGGCGCATGAACTGAAATGGAGGTGACGGAAATGGGCCTGTGGTCTCGCTGCGGGCGCAGGAAGCAGCTAATTGCTCGGATATAAATGCCGAGTGAGTGAAAGCCAATGGTAGATTATTAGAGAAAACCGAAATGTCGTGTTGGCCGGCAGATCCAAGAGTAAAGCCACGGCGCAGGCCATGGAGAACATACGCAACGCATGATTGATCTGAGTGGTTACGTAACAGGCGGGCAAAGTGGTCAGCTAGCAGTGTGGTGTCTGCAGAGTGTATAGGAAAGAAGCTACCTACTGAGTCAAGCGATTCAGTAGCCATTCTGCTAGGAGCGGCGGGGTGGCCGATTGGCTCCGCGCTGCTGCTGGTTGCACATGATGCATGGGTGGTCCTTGCCACACTGGCTGCAGGTGTGGGAGAAGCGGCACGACGACGAAGAACAGCGACCTCCATTGAAGTTGCGGCAGATTTCTTGGCCGTCGCTGGTATGGTTGCGACCACTGGAGGTAAATGCTGCTGGCTTCGGGACGAAAAGGACACAAACCGCCCCTGGATGGACCGTCTTACATTGAGCGCATTTTGGGTGTGCATGGCCTGTGACAGCTATCTGCCATAGGTTCACGTCGATGGTGTCCAACCTCTTCGTGCCTTGTTACTGGGCCACGAGCATCCGCAGCTGGCGGTCGTACTCTAGCCGCGTGCTTGGGAAGAACTGGCAGTTAGCAGTCAGGATCAACTGCTGGTACGCAATCAGTTCAGCAGTGCGGTGTAGGTCAGCAGCCGTGATAACAGACATGTATGTGGTCCATGCCTCGAGCCGGGTAGCTACATGTGTAATTATCGTGAACCTTGCGACGCACCTGCTTCGCGTCATCCGACTCAACGATATTTAGCTGGCTATCGTTATTCGGGCTGTGCACCAGCCGGAATGTTGGGCCGGAAGTGTGCAAGAATTTCAGGCAACAAACTTGAAAAATCTACGAACTCCCCTCGCAAGATACGTTCTTGCACAGCCTTGGGCACAGCTGGTTCAGGTGGCTGATCGGGTGGGTTACAGGAGCTTGGCGTGGCGTAGTGGCGGCAGCTGCCGCATTGCCTTGGCCTTGGGTGAGGAGCGGCACAATGCTCTCCGATAATAATAAAAATTTAAATGGCGGCCGACAAAGCCGACTACACCTCGTCCCGTACGGGAGCGCAGAGATCCGTTGAGCCCGCGTCACCTGAGCTGGCGGAGGAGGCATTGGTGCACGTCGGGCTTCTGGGCTCGCGAGCCGTGTCCGCACTGTCATGTTGCTGGTTCTCCTGGCCAGAGCAGACCTCACTACCAAGGGCTAGTTGTGCCAGCAAACGGTCCTGTAAAATACTTTTACTAAGTTTCCTTTCGGATTCAAGCCGCGCTGAGAAGGCTCGCCGCGGAGGGCTTGGCAAGGCATTGCCTTGACAGTGTCGACAGTGAGGTCAGCCATACTGAAGAAATACAGTGTCGAGGTGACACTCGGGCTGGCAGCAAAGCTACGAAAGGAAAAGAAACACTGCTGAAGCACGATCCGTTAACGTTGTCTGGAAGAGACACTGCTGAAGCACGATCCGTTGTCTGGAAGAGCACAACAGGGCAAGCAAGATTTGTTTTTCTTTTCCGCAAAAATGGGCTGGTGCCATTTGTGATTACGCAGCAAAACAAAGCGCATGACGTCAGTCTTGAATGCAGTACAAAGCAATGCAGTGCAGTGTGTGCGCTAGTTCGGATTGTTGCTAACAAGTACTAGCACAGCTAGTACACCATATAAAGACTACGGCGCTGAAGAGGGCTACTGTGTACAAGTAGTATAACAGTATACTGTATGAGTGCGTAGTACAGTCGAATGTCACTTATCCGACCACTTCGGGAATCAGGCATGTTGGATAACTGGATATGTTGGATAACTTATCATTTTTTATGTGCATATATGGCTGGATTTCACTGATTTATGTACACAATACCCAAATATATTCATGCATATTCATGAATTGCTCCATGTACACATACATGTTAGCATACTTGACCACATCTACTTCAAGTAAATGCATATTACACCGTATAATATACACACACAAAAAAGTTTATTTTTTATTTTTTAGAATTTTACTACAAAAGAGAAAGACCAAGGAACTACAAGTTACGCTATACTGTCCACTTACACCACCAGTTACTAAACAATCAGCTCATGCGATAACATTGCACGACACTGTTGAGAGTCATAAAATTACCACTCCCGGGCTTGTCGGATAACCGACGTGCTCGGATAACTGGCGACCGGATAAGTGACATTCGACTGTGTATACTGACACTCACAACGGTGACAACCAAATTGAACCAATGCATGCCTATGATTCGCTAAGTGAAAATGCTTCAAACGCTGGTCAGACTTCACGGCTGTTAGCTGCACTTGGATCGCGGCAACTTAGTTTTCTGCACGTGAACCATGAAAAATCAATGCATGCTCATGGCATGTTCATGCATAACCAGTCAGCTGGCCTGCTCGCCCACGCATTTGACAGGTAACAATTCCATCAAATTTGAGATATCGCTTCGTTCTAAGTCTCAAAACAGTTCTAAAGTCACCAAACCACGCTGGTAATCGATGGCTATTCAATGTTAACATCTTCAGGAAGACTTCAGCCGTTTCCCGAGAGTTTGGGCATCGTTGCCGTTATTTTTCACGGTGTTCTTCTTCCTCCTGTTTGGAGCTGCAATTGCATCCTGGAATTATTTGAAAGGTATTTCGTGCGGGCTGTGGGGGGTTCCAACAGGCATACACTGACATCGCTATAGGATAACTGGTAACTTTCACCCTTCAAGGAGGTAGAGCAATGAGAATTTTTTTGTGGCGGTCGTCAAATTTTTGTGGCGGTCGTGGCTGTATTTGTGCACTTCCAAGGCTTTCATTCTGCCTGATACTACTCTGTACTGTATGGGAATCGTTGTTTAGACACATGTAGCTGTCTTATTTGGTAGATCTGCTGTTTTCAATCACTTGGGACACTTTGTCTAGCCTATTTGTCTTTCGTTCGTGCCATCTATCAGTTTTGTGGGGTGCCTTGACCTGTATTTGTGAAGTTCTCGAGTAAAGACCCTAATTCTTGACTGGAGTCACGTCTTGAATTGAATTTGCTGCGTGAGCCCTCGTTCACGCAGTTGTACTTATCGTAATAGTCAATATCTGCTTGCCGGACGGACTAGCGGCTAGAATAGGGATGACCAAATGGTCCAAGTGTGTACTAGTACACGATTATTGTTTCCATCATCGTGAAATGCTTGTTGTGGAATTGCAGTCGTCTGCCTTTGGCACTTAGGACATGAGGAGAGTTGATTGTTACTTCTGCTCAGCAATGAAGCGATCATCAGCTCTCTTTGTTCTAATTATTGAGAGGACATACCGGCATCGCAATCAAGTAAAGATTAGGCAAACCTCGCCAACCTCCAAAGAGAGTCGAAGATATTTTCTCCAAATGCAAAGACGATCTTTGTGAGTTTGTGACTTGCATTTGCGTGCATACATGAGCAAGTCACGGACCACGGCACGTGCGCGGTTACCATGCCATCTCGAACCGACGCCATCTTTCTAAGTTGCCGCTTCTTGACAGCCGTGACTTACCACCTTTCTCTTGTTATGTCATGTATGTACGTTGTGTTAAACCTACGTCACCATAACGTGTACATGTGTGACATGGTTGTGCTTGTCCTTTTATACCGTATATGTGGAGGAAAGAGTGATGTGGACGCCAACCGCCACTAGTGTACCTCTGCAAGGCGGCGGCGACCAGCATGTCATCTCATAATGCAATTGCATAGGTTCTAACAGACTAGAGCCAGTGCTGCATGTAGTTCCTGGCATATCAGTACCGTATTTACCATACTCACTTGAAACAGGGTGCAAATTGGCTTCGACAGCGTCAGAGCTGGACAACAGACTAGCACCAGCGGTGGATGTAGTTCCTGGCATGGTATTGCGTCGGTACGACAGCACACACCGGTATGTCCCGCTGCTACCAAGGTTGCTTGCCGACAGCACAGATACGGTATTCGGGCCATCATTCACTTGCACGTAGGCGTTACGGATATCGTTGCCGTCGAACGTCCAAATGAGACTGACCACGTCCAAGTAGGGAGAGTTGGTGACAGAACAGTTCAGGGAGAGATTGCTGCCCTCGGGAAGGTTCACCTGACCTGTCTGCGTGGTACGCACATTAGGAACTGGACACGTGTACATGCACACGTACGGATAGACAGACAGGCAGACACACATGTGTACAGGCACAAATACATTCAAAGGACACACAGGGAAGGGGCTCAGGACCTGTCACATGATTGGTCCAAGAGCTCAGGCTGAGTTTCCACACGTCACTCACGTGCATGCAGTGGCCCCTGCTCTGTCAGTTGTCAATGCTTTAATTCATGCACTCACTTCTGAGCTTACTTCAGCTCTTTTTTTGGTCAGCATGCCAGTCTGGACAGCACTTGCAGTCACTGTGTGCAGGTCAAGTATGGCACTTCCGTGTACTAAAAGTCGGCCGCTGGTTGCCAGGTTTTACTGTACACACTGTTACCGTACACACTCCACATGGCACTCACCTGCTGAGCAGTTGCGTCGGTTGCTGGCCAAGAACGGTTTCGTGGGATTGGGGTTGCAGGAACAGGCGGCAGTGGATCCAAAGGCAAAGCAAAGCCCCTCGCAGCCACCGTTGTCAACACTGCATGGATGTGAGGGATCTAGATGATGCAACACAGACGGAAAGACAGCAACAGTAGTGACAGTAAGATACCGGCAAGCATACATTCTAGAAGGCAGTACAACGTCTCAGTTTTACATAGCTGAGTAACAAACACCTACACAAGCCAGTTAGCATTGTGAAATTCATCATCCAGGTGCTTGTATGCGAGTGTACATCACGGCACCATGCATAACGTCTGCCATTCTTACTTGGAGCCTGAGCCGCTGCGAAGACCACGCGCACATCCTGTGGGTCGTGCAGAGTGCTGCGGACCTGCTCCAGGACTGGGTTTGCACTTCGAAGACCGACACGGAGGAGCTGGCCTTCGTTGACATTGGTTGCGCCTAGCTGCGTGACGTACAGTGCATCACCATAGAACTCCAGTGAGCGGATCCGATCCACTCTCTCGCGGACAAGCAGAAGTTCACGAGAACCGGAGTAGCTCAACTTCTCGATGTTACCATTCAAACGATCTGAGACGTACAGGCGGTGATTCTCTACGTCGATGGCCAATCCAGACGGCGTGCCCAAAGGTTCGTTGCGTTGCGGTGACACGACAAAGACATCTTTGCCAAACACATCAGATCTCATGACACGAGGTGTTACAAAGCGCTCAGCCCAGAAAATGTATCTGAAAGGACCCAAATCAGAATAAAACGAACTTCACTAAGACATAAAGAATAGGAACCGCAGGAGGTGGTTAGCACGCAGTGAATGGGAAGAAAGACAAAAGAGAAGTAGGGGGAGACAGGAGGAAGAGGATGGGAGGAGTGTTTGCACAGAAATAAATTACAGCAGACTGTAGCAGAAATGAAATAAAATAATTATATGCATGACATCAATTTCTGTGCCAAACCGTGGGTGGTGCCTCCCAAACACAAGCACAGGCACACACCACACACACACACACACACACACACACACACACACACACACACACACACACACACACACAGACACACACACACACACACACACACACACACACACACACACACAGACACACACACACACAGACACACACACACAGACACAGACACACAGACACACACACACACACAGACACACACACACACACAGACACACACACACACACACACACACACACACACACGTACACACCTCAGACCTCAGACCTGCCCATCGCGGAAGCGATGATAGCGAACAGCTATGTTAGACATAGCAACTTGTGCTGGGATTACACCATTCAACAGCTTGCAAGGCTGATGAATTGACCGCCACTATTTTTAGCCTGGTATCCTCCACACAGCTGATTGAAGTGACTTTTTCTGCCCAGTGAATCCCTATTTTTCATTTTTCCATTTTTTCCATTTTTTTCTTTTTTCTTTTTTTCTACAGACACACACCACACCACATACTCCGGCATACACTGGCACACACAGACACACAGACACAGACACACACACACAGACACACACAGACACACATGCAAGCACATGCAAACACTACTATGCTACTATGATACAGCTACCCTAAACGGGTCACGCCGCCCTCCACCCAAGCATGGGCATTACGAGGCACAGTGGCAAATAAAGAGAATCAGCTAGCAGAACTGGCAAAACAGATGAAACAATGGAGTAGAACGGACAACTGCTGTACTGTAACAACAACCGGACAGTGACAACAACGACTGAAAATGAATAGGAAAGAAAAAAAACTACAAAATGTCACGTCACAAAAAAAACACTGTCCACGAAAGAATCCATCAAGCAAAAGGAGTGTGGGCATCGGAAATCTCACCAGGACTCCACTGGCAGTTCAACGTTGACGATGTAAGCGGCAGGGCAGGGCAGGGCAGGGCAGGGCAGGGCAGGGCAGGGCCTCACAAATCCCACAGACTTCCACAACGCTTGACTAGTGCACACATGACGACGAAAGATTGAAGTTTCAATTCCCGCCATTCCGCCATTCCTCTCCGCACTCGCTCGTCCACTCCACTGTAAACAATGAGTCGTTCCAGCACTCCCCCAACCAATCCGCAATTCCCACCACTGCAATCTCAGGACCGGCGGAAGCAGTTTTTGATTGGTCCGGAAAAACCCTTTCATACAGTTAGTGTATGATATACTGGGTTGTTACTCCACCACTATGCTCTCTATCTCTTCCAGCTAGCACTCCAGCACACTCGCACATGCACTGAGCCACAACTATCAACAAGGAATCAAGAGAGTTGAAATATTGAAATAGTGGTAAAGTTGGGAGAAAAGAAAACTGTTCTTTTTCCACGAGATCCAAGATCCATCAAGAAAAAGGACATGCACAAAATGGCGACCATGTCGTCCATTGACGCGTAATCATGGTAATCACAAACTAGTGCAGCGACCAAAGAAAAGACACAAGTGAAGAAGAAGAAACAGCGCTGCAGCAAGAAGATCGGATCGCTGCAGTCGCTAAAATGCACTACAGTAAGACCGGGCGCCGAAGAACACCCCACCGAAGAACACCCAGGCTGGAAAACCGGCAAAATTTAAGAACAGTCCAGGCTAGAATTATCAGATTTAAGAACACTAGATCTACATTGTACATGTATGGGAGGTGAGTACATGTCATGTACACGTGTAAACAGTAACTGCTACATGTACAGTCATTCCCATTTACGACACCCACTAGTTTAGAAGTACTACATTGCACTACAATCTACATGTACATGTACATGTACATGTACATGACAAACGTCATGACGTCACTCGACTCGCCGCGCGCGTGTGAATAAGAACGGTCTGGCTAGAATCAAAAAATTAAGAACTTTCCTAGGCTGCGCTCGAGCCCCTGCGTTCTTCGGCGCCCGATCTTACTGTAGCCTACTGACTGTAGTTCCACGTGAGCATGCAGTCACGTGGTCATAAACAGAGTGCGTACACACTCACGTCATACCGATACGTCATACATGACAAAAAGAAAAGAAAGGAAAGTCACGCGCGAGTCAAACAAATCAAAGAGCGCGAGACTACGTACTGCAAATACTACGAAGAATTATTTGTTTGAGAACAAATGCACAAGACGAGGAATTTGTTGAGAACAATTGGACAAGAATATATATCTCTTCGAAACTAGAATGGAGTCCGTGATGAGAATTCCAACGAGCCTGGACGCAGCTACAAAGTAAGAATACAATCAAATAACTAATATCATCAGAACTATTGTAACAATACAAGCAGTCGATTTACCACAGTGTTATCTCTATATTTACACCAGTCCCCCAGGTAACACAGTGTCAATCGATGTAGCGACTCGGGCGTTGGATATGACGACGGTTACGCAGACTACGATCGGCGACAGCCAACGGCTCAACATCGAGATCACACCGCACGGGCGACGCAGGCACAGATCCAGACTCACACGACAACACAGATTCAGCAGCAGGTTTAATTAACTGAATGTTAACAGACTTCTGTTGATCAAAATCATCCACAGAACGACACACACGCACGGAACCAGGACCAAGGATCTCGGTGACCTTCCACCCAGCTTCGAACGGTGGCAAGCGCTTCTGCGAACGAGCGGGGTGACGGAGCAAAACAGCATCACCGACAGCATATGGATTGGAAGCGCTGCCCTCAACAAAATCATGAGACGACAACTCAGCTTCGACAAAGTCACGAATACGAGCGGACCGACCAGCAAGGCTGTCCACCCAATCACTAAGGCTAGAACCAACAGCAGACTCGTCAACAATTAACTGACGTGGAAGCCATCCACACATAGCTTCCATTGGGGACACACCAATCGCGGCATGGAGTCGCGTACGGTAGTAGTGCAACAGCACAGGCAACTCAGACTTCCAATCACTCGAGGAGTCGAGCATCTTGCGAATGAGGGTCAACAAAGTGCGATTAAATCGCTCAGCAGAACCCTGAGACTGGGGATGCCTAACTGCACCAGTACGCACCTTCGTGCCAAACACACGGAACAATGACTCGACAATGCCATTCACAAATTCAGTACCATTGTCCATACGAACAACTTCTGGGGAGCCCCACTTCAAACAAACATCGGTCACAGCTTCAGCAACTGACTGACCATCATGCGCACGTAGGGGAACAACCTCGACCCATTTAGTAAACACATCAACTATCACAAGAACACAATGAAAACGCCCACTGCGGTCAGAACCAAGTTCAAGAGTATCAATAACAATCTCCTGCCAAGGCTTACCGGGCAAATCTGGGCGAGCGGGATCAGCCGTCGGACCACTCTTACTACTGGCGGAAACACAAGCTTGACACTGCCGGACAAACTCAAGGCACAACGACGACATACAAGGGAAATAGCACTTAGAACGAAGCAAATCATACATCATTCGCCAATTACCATGGCCAGAATTCACATGAACAGAAGAGACGACAGCATGTTGCAAAGACGTAGGAATAACTGGCACAGACACCAAACCATCAATAGGCAACTTGATACTACGCACTAACATACCATCATCAACAAGCAATTGATCACGCACCTTTATGAACTCAGGAATGGAGACCAACTCACCACACTCCAATTGAGCAACAGCAGCTCGAATGGTGGGATCCACCTTCTGGCCTTCACGTATCTGAGCTAACGTGACAGGGCCAACCACAGACAGGCAGGCGGCCACAACATCAGTCGGTGCAAGAGCCTTTGCATACTTGATCCAGTCAGTCGGGACACGCGTCAGCTGATCAGCACGGTTCTCATTCGTCGGAATCCACACGACCTCGATCGTCAGACTTAGCGTAGCGATGAGATCATCGATGATCTGGAGGCGACGACGCACAAGCAGCTCTTGCAGACCACCAGTCTTCACACGTTTGGAGTTGGTTACTACTTGCGTCAGCCATGCTGCCACTGTCTTAGAGTCAGTCAACAGCTTGAAACGGGAAACTCCCCACTTAGCGGCAAGGGAAATGCCTTCGACAGCGGCTTCCAATTCAGCAATGTTAATATGCCGCTTGTCGTCAGGCTTACGAAGCCACGAACCATCCTCGACGATGTCACCACCGACCTCCAACGCCACACCGACAGCAATATCAGACGCATCGCACCACACCTGGCATTGGCTTTCACCGTTGGGGTCTACGTGCCACACACCGGTAGCAGGATCGTGCTGGCTTAAACGGCAGGCGAGACTCATGCAGCGCTGAACGAGATCTGCAGGCAACGGGTCGTCCCAGCCAAGCTTCTCCAGACATGCCAAACGCTTCAGCCAACTACAATGAGGACGAAGCCATGACGCAACAGGGTAGTGGCTCGTCAACTGGCCACACCACTTGTAGAGCTCACGTTTCGTCGTGACATCAGCAAATGCGACATGCGACTCATCACGCCGGGACCAGCGCACTCGACCATCATCAGACTCGTTGAGCTGCAGTCCTAGAACCCGTGCAGCCGACATCTCCATAGCAGGCTTAGTTGGCAGGCTGTAGCTAGCGAGCTGTTCTGTCAACACAGTCCGTTGACTCTTGGGGACAATGATGTCGTCGACATAGTTATCTGTATCGGGCAAGCTGCCGGTAGCGTACTTGATGATGGTGTCCATGAACTTCGGCGCCACACTCAGGCCAAACGCCATGCGCGTCATCACGTAGCGAACACCACGCCACTCGACAACTTGGAACCGTAGCAATTCCGGGCTGA